CTAAGTCATATCTAAATGATAGGTGTTTTAGTGTTCATATTGAACACTGCTCTTCTCCCAATGTCCCACTTCCATGGGGAGTGCTGCAGGGCTCCATCCTGGGTCCTCTCCTCTTTTCAATTTACATGCTACCACTTGGTAAGATTTTAGCAAGTCTCTGGGTGAACTACCACTTTTACGCAGATGATTGCCAGATCTACCTTCAAATCAGACAACAGCACTCATTTTCTCTATTGTCAGAATGCCTCTTTCAGGTCAAATCCTGGTTTTCTCAAAACTGCCTACGGTTAAATGACAAAACAGATGCCATACTTTTTAGCCTCACTAACACGAATGGTGCTTTAGGTGTCCCAACTCTCCCCTCACTCAATCTCAAATCATGTTCCACTAGCCTAGGTGTGAAACTGGACCTGTCATTGACCACAAGTCAACGCCACTGTCAAGTCCTGCTTTTTCCAACTCTGCCACATCACACGTCTTAAATCAATCCTCAAACGCCCGCATCTTAGTAAGTCATTCATGCTTTCATTACTTCACGTCTGGATTATGAGAATTCTGTCCTGATTGGGATTAATGCTTCAGCCTTAAGCGCACTGCAGAAGTTTCAAAATGCTGCGGCCAGATTTTTAACCAACACCGACAGACGCATGCCCATCACACCTATTCTCGCAGATTTACACTGACTTCCAGTCAAATTTAGGATTCATTTCAAGGTCTTGCTATATGTATACAAGGCTTTGCACTGCCCATCCCCATCCTATCTGACGGACCTGCTGACTCCGTATGTTCCCACTCGTGCCCTTTGTTCAGCAGATCATCTACTGCTTGTTGTTCCGAAGGTTCGGTACAAATCACGGGGGCAGCGTGCCTTCTCTCATGCAGCCCCAAAACTCTGGAACACTCTGCCCCTCCATGTGCGTTTGGCTCCCTCTGTCAGCAAATTCAAGTCAACCCTGAAAACACACTTTTTCAGTATTGCCTTCCCTCCGTGACACTTTACATGAAAATCCGGCACCGAGTTTATTTTTCTTAATTAGTTTTTATGATTCAGTAGTTCACTTTAAACACCTCACACCATCTTGTAGCTTTTTTGGTTTTATTTGTGCCATTTTAAATGGTTTTTATCATTCGTCACATTATTTTTATTTTTGATAGTGCTGTTAACTGTTCTCTTATTCTATTGTTTTTAGTAGGAATTTTTATCCTTGATTATTTATGCTATGTTTTTACGCATTTTACCTGATTTTCATGCCTTCATTGTGTTTTGCTAATATGTTCAAGCAGTTGGCTCTTTTATGTACAGCACTTTGGTTAGCTGCCATGCTATTTTGAAATGGTGCTTTATAAATAAATTGGTATGGTAAGGTATGGTACCCAGTGTCTACGCCTATCCAGTAGCAGGTGATGGTCAACAGTGTCAAAGGCTGCAGTCAGGTCCAGCAGGACCAGAACAGAACAGTCCCCTGCATCACTGTGAGTCAGAAGGTCATTAGAGACCCTAAGAAGAGCTGTTTCAGTAGAATGAGCTCTACAAAAACCTGACTGGAAACGATCATAGATGTTATGTTCATCAAGAGCAGCTGTGAGTTGTTTAACCTTTTCCAAGATCTTGAAGATGAACAAGAGTTTAGAGATGGGTCTAAAGCTGCTATGGAGAGATTAATCAAGATATAATTTTTTTAGAAGCAGGTGGATTACAGCGTTAAAGTAAGCACGGACCTGACCATAAACCAGAGAAGCGTTAATTACAGAGAGCATTCTGGGGCCGATGGATTGAAAAGCATTTTTAAACAAAGATGAAGGTAAGGTGTTGAGAGGGTGTGCAGAGGTCTTCATAGAAATAACTAGTTTGGTTAACTCAGGCAAAGAAACAGGAGCAAAGATATCTAGGATGATGGGCCTGGTTGGAGTCAGGAGAGGCAGAGATAAGGCTGAGGGAGAGATGCTAGATCTAACCTTATTGACTTTGTCCACAAAGAAAGAAAGACTTGCAGCACTTCTTCTAGCAGTAATCTGAAATGAATGTCTCCAAATTGCACGCCGAACTTTAGCTTACCCGTCGAGCAGAAAACCAGCAACAGAGGCATCTGTTGGAAGCCCAACATTCGCTTTCAGGGCACGCCATCGTTAAAAAGTCTTCTAAAAAACCTCTGATGTTACTTCTCACTTTGGACGCCTTTCTCTTCTTATCATAGACTTCAAAGACACTTCAAGTTCTAGTTCAAGTTCATTTTATTTATAATACTTTTTCTATTGCGACTTTCAGCCATAAAAAAACAACAAAAAATGGTGAGAACAGCAAGGAATGAAGGCATATCGCTCTACACATAAACAGAATGTGCATGCGCAAAAGTAAAGACTAACCCAGGAACAAGCACGTATGATGACGGCCTTGCGTGAAAGCTTCATCAGAATGATTGACAGTTATGCGAACCAATGGTTTAGATGTTCCACACGGAAGAACAAGATCCCCCTCTATATCTTTAAAGAGGGACTGCACACCATCAGAAAATGTAACTCCACCCCTAGTCAGGATTTGAAAAATGCAATGAAAGTGGCAGTTGCCAGGAGGCACAGTGGCATGGCCAAGTGTGGGGAAATTTTCATCCAGGGAGGGAGGGGGAATGGGAGGAGTTTGTACCGATGTCATAAAACTGTTCCAGCCCCAGTCAATCACAAGTTTAAAATGCAGTAGCTGCTGTGCTGCCACAGGGGGCAGCACTAAGACGTTTTTAGACCTAGATTCTAGATTTAATCAAGTTTACACAAACATGTCAAAAAATGCACAGAAACAGAAAGATTGCATTTGTAAAGACCCAAGTATACAGTCTAGTAGCAAACAACTTATTTTGGGGTTTAGTTACTCTTTAAGAAAACGAGAACTAACGTGAGCATGAAGTGGGGACGCAGAAATTAACATATCAGTGATCTGAAATATAAATGTCCTTGGGACAAACACTGTCAATATTTAAACCCAGGGTTAAAACAAATTAAATTAAACTCGTTTAAAGCTTTGTCAATTCTGACATGAATGATAAGAGAGTCAAGTTTATTAACTGTAGCTGTCGGTTGCTGCTTAATGAGTTGAAACTACCCGTGACTACCCCTGTTCCCTACCCATTAGAAGTTGTCAATTTATTTAGGTCCTGTTGTGTTAGAATGAGAAGCGAAAGATGTTTAAGAAATCAATGAAGTCCAGTTGCCTTCACTTGAACCCTTTGGATTACTACGACCTGGATGACTGAGAACCTTCACCAGCATATTGTAGACATTAATAATCTATATCAGCACCCCTTAGCTTAATTTAATTACTTAAATAGTCCTTAATCTGGATTAGTGTGTCCTACAACAGCAAGCGTCAGAAGTGAGATTCTTCTTCCGGCTCTTGGCGAGTTCAGACGCTTTTTTCCTCCTCTCCTCCCTATTTTATCCCAAGACTATTTGTCTGTCTTTGGGTGTACGGCGCTTCTGCATTTTTCTGTAAACTGGAAATTATTAAAATGGACCTAGTCAGTTGGTCTCTCAACGCGATTGACAAAATTATTCCAACCATGAGAACGGGAGAAGGGGCTCCCGTTTGCCCCTCTGGGACAGAGCCAGCTGGGTATATCATGGACTCCTGGAAACAGTGGAACCTGATGTGCCTCTCAACTGTCTGTAGAGGATTCTGAAGACGTCTGGATATTCGTTGTGTTGGTGTCAGGTTTCCTGCTGTTTGGCCTGAGCGGTTACCTGGCTTACCGGAAAATTAATGAGCTGTCGAGGGATATTGGCTCAATCCCGGAGCTCTGGGATGGATTACACCGCCCTGTGAACGCACAAACTCATATAATTGTCGAGATGAGTCATAAGCTTGGAACTTTGGCTGAGATTCAGACTCTGGCACAAAAGGTTGATGTCATCAAGGATAGAGTTGACGTATCAGCACGGATTGGGATAGATTAATCTACGCCATTATTGGATTCACAGGGGTTGGAGATCAACAGAACTTTAAGACAGAGAGGAAATTATCTCTGTCTGGCCCCAAAACAAGTTCTTATCTGAATCAGGCCTTGAGCCTGTGAGGCTGAAGAGATTACTCCCTCTCAGAAGAAATGTGGAATACTGCCGTCGCCATGGTAACTCTGTCTCCCTATCTCAGCCTGGGCGGGACTGAGACCAGTAAAGGTCGTTGAATCGTTTCCAGGAGTGACTGTGCTCTCTAACCCAAATAACTTCTTCCCCTGTCCAAACAGAGGTGACGAGCGCTGCTTATCGTGGCTGCATGCACTGATGTGAGGATAGTCCCCAACCCTACCACCCCACCTAGTGGACACTTATGTTGTGTAATGTCTGAAGTCTGCTACATTTCTGTCTGAGGTATTTTTTGCATAGCAAAGCTGCCCTCCCTGTGGAGAGTAACTCTGAAGTGCCTTTTTTCCTCCACCTGAACCAACCCTGATGTAACCCTCTTATCTCTATTAAGGTAGCGCGACTCGGGTTGCGAATGACCACAGTCATCAATTCTTGTCATGTGTCTATGCCTATGTATGTATGTCTGATCTCAGAATTGTGTGTACTGAAACTCTAATTTCCCTCTGGGGTTAATAAAGTATCTTTGAATTTGAATTGAATTGAATTGAATTGAATTGAATTGAATTGAATTGAATTAGAGAGTCTGGCTGTGATAAAGTTGAATGTTACTAATGATGCCAATGTCAAACATGCAGCATCGGCCATTAGGATGGCCTGAAAGTTAACTTTGTCTGCAGAGAAGTAAAGCAGGAAAAGGTGGCCATGTCCTATTTTTAGAGGACCTCTCAACAACCCAGTGGCACGGGTCTGAGTGACAGCGCAAGTGTTGAGCTGGACGTTCCCCTCGCTCATTTGGGGCAGACATTCCTCAGTGTAAGCAGACACAGAACCCCCCTCCCATCATATTTCTCTGTCCCTCTCCCCTTCCTGAGACTAAGATGGCTGTCCCACTCTGGATACGGGTGGGTGCACATGTGTGTGTGTGTGCGTGCGTTTGCAGGTGTGAGTGTTGGCCGTGGAGTTCAGAAGACAGTCAGCAGTGGGACAGAGCACCAGGAAAAGAGCAGATCAGAGCTCTACGTGGAGGCCCTGACTGCCAACCATGGAGCTAAAACACTGAGGGGGGGGAGGGGGGGACCCTCAGGAGACAAATAATAACCAAAGAATTAAAAAAAAAAAAGAATAATGGTGGCAGAAGAGGTGATCATCACACTGTCTGGTGGAGCACCATGGGGGTTTCGTCTCCAGGGAGGGGTGGAACATCAGAAACCACTCCAAGTGGCCAAGGTAAGCTGGTTTTTTTTTTTTTTGGAAGTTTAACAATAGTCTTTATTATAGTGTTCGGCGAAATGCAACAACCAAAAATATATAAATGTACCTTATGATTATCAGCCTTGCCAACCTGATGCGAAACATAATCTGAGATATATTAGGGGTTGATTTAAGGAGCTGTGAACAAAACCAAAATGGAATACTGGCCACTGTACATGTTGGCCCAGAGCCCAAACATGAGTCACAATCTTGTTTGAGAAGGGTGTTCGTGTATTGATGATTGGATGATGCTTACGCTTACTTCAAGAACAAATTTTTGTGATTTAAAGTCAAATCTCTTTTTTTTTAAAGGGCCTTAAATGGCCTAAAACTAAGTTTTGGTGAAACTTCATGCTGATGTAGAATGTGCCATGTTTGTTTTTTTATGTGTGTTGGGGTGGTTGGTATTTTTTGCCCCTAATTGATGGTGGTTTTCAAATTTATTCAGAAGAATATTTATAAGCTTTCATTTAGTAGAATTTGATCATTAATTATCCCTGAATCATCAATAGAATTGTTATTAATTATTATTTACTTCACGAAGCAATGCGTGATTTAGCATAGTTATTGCAATCCACTCTAACTGAAGCAACACTGATTTAAACAAACATTTATGTAAAAAAGAAAACTTTTTGTTTTACTCTTTCAGTCTATATGTTCTTCAGTCAAAATCACAGAAAACCTTTAAAACAAAACCTGTAAAAAGTTTCCTAAATGATAAAAACAGGACACCTGAGTGATAACATCTGAAAAAAGTATAGCTCCCTTTTAGACATCATATTAATGTACTTTTAATTTAATCTGTTGCAAGAAATCAAAATCTGTGAGTGATAAAAGCTCAACCCTCCTCCCAAATTTTGCGTTATTAAGTAAATTATTTATTTTGTGAATTTTTTTATTTATTTAGAGATTGGGTAAGGATCCCCATAGGTGATTCATTCAAATCCTGTTCAATTTTGAGTTAATGTTGAATAAGAAGAAGCACTTTTGGCTATTAATAGCTGAGATGCAGCAGGTCTTTGGATTAGCAAAGGGTGTTTCAGTTCAGTAGTCTCATGCATTTTTAAATTTTTTTTATTCTGATCTGCATTTAACTGAAGAAGAAAAAATACCTTAATGCTTTGAAAATGTTACATTTTAACATTTTATACCTGTTTATAATTTAGATAATAGATTTTTACATCATTTCATTTTTTGTTTGGGGATACACAAATATTCACACAATCTTAAAATGATTTAACAAACAGTATCAACAGTCTTTTAAATTAATTTGCTTTTCAAAATCAATCTCCATTTTAGCCTAATTATGGTCAAAGTTTGCCTGTATGACAGAGATGATAGTGAGCAGCTGTATGTGATCGATGGTGCAAAACCTCCTGCTCCTTCCTCCCTATGAGCAAAGAGACATATTCTTGTCCGGTCCAGTACTGTACGGCTTCTAACAGGTGGAGCAGTGAAAAAGCCAATGTGTCAGGGTTCAGTTTCTGCTCATGAGCCTGCATGTGTGTGTGTGTGTCTGTTTATTTTTACAACTCTGTTTATATTTTGGTATTAGTCCAAGTGGTGCATGACACAAAGCATGTAAAAGTATTATAAGTGTGATGATTTGCAACCACAAGGTGACTGACTGAACAAATAACTTGACATCCTTCGCCACAAGCAGGCGCAGGCCACTTTCAAAGGCTTAGCTAAATGGGGACGAGGGGTTTCATTACAGGGTAACTAGAATAGCTGAAAAGGAAACTAATTAGGGTAACCAAAGATGATGGCTTCTACCCTGAAAAACTGCATTCACAAAATAGATGACCTTTCACTGCATATTTGAAAATGCAGTATGACTTTTAACCCTCCAGAGGCAGGCTTTGCAGGTTTGCAACAGTTAAAACCCCACATACGTATTTCATGAGCATTTTTAACTCAGAAGTACCCCTGAAGGACTTAGTTGTTCATCCTTTTACCAAAACTTATTTTGAGCCTGAGAGGGTTAAGGCATGTTGCTGTGATTTGAAAAGGTAGCTTAGTTTGTGCTGAATACTCATTACAGATCTTGTGCACAAATAATGAAGTCATCAAATGAAGATGGCTGCAGGCTGGCATTTTTCCTGCTACTGTGTGTATGAGTGCCCCACTTGAGCTGTATTATGTGGCATGTGCCCACAGCCTGATCAAGCTGTCAGAACAAAATCTGTTCTCTGTCAGTCACTATCACAAACCTGGACACAACATCAGCAAGGCTCTGTCAGTCTTTTATTTCTATTTCTGGTGTTACAAAAGAGTAGTATAAAGTTTTAAAGGAGCCATATCATTGAAAATCCAATTTTGAGCTTTTTACCATGTGATATTTTTACTAACTCATGAAAACAACCCCAAACCTGGTTTTGGACGCATTCATGCATTTTCCTTTATTAGCTGCAAATTTAGCATTTTGCTTAGAAAATTCTGAAAATGCCTGAATGAAAACTACTTGTGTAGTAATCAGGCATTTTCCCTCTTCCTGAAGCTGGTGGTCTCAGTTCTGAAACCTAGATATTCAGAAAAATTACTTCTGCCATATATTCAATTCAATTCAATTCAGTTTTATTTATATAGCGCCAAATCACGACAAGAGTCGTCTCAAGGCACTTCACATAATAAACATTCCAATTCAGGTCAGTTCATTAAGTCAATCAGAAAAAAAACGTTTCCTATATAAGGAACCCAGCAAATTGCACCAAGTCACTGACTAGTGTCAGTGACTTTACAGCAATCCTCATACTAAGCAAGCATATAGCAACAGTGGAGAGGAAAACTCCCTTTTAACAGGAAGAAACCTCCAGAGGATCCTGGCTCAGTATAAGCAGCTATCCTCCACGACTCACTGGGGATCGAGAAGACAGCACACACACACACACACACACACACACACACACACACACACACACACACACACACACACACACACACACACACACACACACACACACACACACACACACACACACACACACACACACCAAGCAATGTGTCTATGGTTACATTGTGTTTGCTTAGTAAATATTTGGCCAGAGATAAACTTTATTGTATTTATCCTAGTGAATCTATAATTAAACGGGTAAACTAGCAGTAGCACATCCAACGTCAAGTAAAGCAAAAAGTTATTTTCAGGAGAAGGAGAATGTTTAAGTGGTTAGCAGCAATGTGCTACACGATGGCCCCCTCCATGAGGCCACCACAGCTCAGCAGAACATCATTGTAGCTTCTTCTGGGGAGAAAAACACTTAGAGAAAAAATAAAGTTAATAGCTGAAGTAGCAGGAAATAATACAGTCAAAGAGCAGATTGTAGAAGAAAGTAGTAGAGTGTGAAAAGTGGTCACTGTATCCTCCAGCAGTCTAAGCCTATAGCAGCATAACTACAGAGATAACTCTGGATAACCTAGCCTTTTTAGATGGAGGCATGTTGGAGGCAGGGCAAGGGAGAGCCGTCTTTACCGACTGTACACTCCACCTCCCTCTACTCCCCCACTTGTCCAGATTTAGGCTAACATCAGATTTTAACTATAGGCCCTATCAAATAAAAATGTTTTAAGCCTAGTCTTAAAAGTAGACAAGGTGTTTGCCTCACGGACTAAGGCTGGGAGCTGGTTCCACAGGAGAGGAGCCTGATAACTAAAATATCTGCCTCCCATCCTATTTTAAGATGTTCTGGGAACCACCAGTAGACCTGCAGTCTGAGAGCGAAGTGCTCAGTTGGGAACGTATGGAACAATCAGACCACTGATGTATGATGGACCTTGATTATTAAGAGCTTTATATGTGAGAAGGAGGATCTTAAAATATATTCTGAATTTAACAGGTAGCCAATGTAGGGAAGCTAAGACAGGAGAGATATGATCTCTCTTTTTAATTCTCATCAGAACTCTAGCTGCAGCATTTTGGACAAGCTGAAGACTTTTAACTACATTCTGTGGACTTCTTGAGAGTAATGAATTACAGTAATCCAGTCTTGATGTAATAAATGCATGAACTAGTTTTTCAGCCTCACTCCTGGAAAGGATGCTTCTAATCTTAGCAATATTCCGAAGGTGGAAAAAGGAAATCCTACAAACCTGATTAACCTGGGATTTGAATGACATGTCTTGGTCAAAAATAACACCAAGGTTCCTTACTGTCTACAAAAATGCATAATGGCCAACACAAGATATGCATGTTAGGCGACTACTGTTTTGTAACAGACTTGGCAGTCCAGTGGTTAGGGTGCCAGGGCAGGCGCTTAAACCACTGGACTTGCAAGACCAATATAACAGCAGGGTTAATTAAGACACTCTTGTAGGTGCTTTTAGTCGGAATGTGGGTGGGCGGAGTTTCACTGAAACAAACTTTTATTTTCAAGTATAAATTCGGGCTGATGAAAATAACTCATATTTAAGCTAAATGGCATCTCATCGCATGATCTGCCTCCTTTAAATAAATCACATCGCTAAAGAACATTTGAAAAAAATCCTGCACAACATAGCTCTTTACACCGATGACATTTACAATCATCTGACATGACCTTTGGGGTCTCAGCTGCACACCACAAATATTTAATAAGCAAACTGTTGTAAAATGAGATTTGCTTTTATTATATGGACAAATACAGGAAAAAACAGAGATGGAGGAATGCATTTGTTGTCTAACATTTAGCTAGCTGTTAGCATTCAGGGTTGAAACCCTTCTCTTGAATGTCAGCTTACGCTAACATAACTTTAAGCTGTGGTCCGTAGCATGGTGTTGTCAAGGAGAGGAGCAAAAGAGTTTGAAATCTGAACTGCTAAAGTGCTCCCTCTCACCTTCTGGAGCATGCTCAATGTCAGGTCTCATACTGCACACGCACACACAACTAGCCTTGAAACAGACAATATTTTCTACATGTTTCTGCAGACACACCTGACTCTAACTGCTGAATTATTTCTCCAGCCTTCATCGCTAATCACTCATTTGAATAAAATCTGCCGTGTTCAAGCAGGGAAACGTCTCCAGGCAGGAAAATCTGGTGCTGGCGATCATTGCTAACGCTACAGCAGATAAATAGAAATAATGTGGCGTAAAGTTGAATGCTATGCTAATCACTTGGCTCCAGTACACAAAAGATAATTAATTCAATGCGTGCCAAGTTAGCTATCAAGCTAGGCTGGTGTGCGCACTGTGTACCAGTGCATTATCACCCTGCAGTGTATGCTGGGAAAAGGGGCACAATCTATCCGTCAGTTCTTTAGGCTCGCAAAATTATTAATTTTTCTGTAGAGGCCAGGGGAGTGGTTTAGTGGAAATATAAATTATGTAAGATTACATGCTTTATATCATTGAAAAGGAACAGCTAGTCAAATGTAAGTCTTTTTAAGTTACTTTAAAGATTTTAAACTATGTAACCCAGCGTTAAAGCCGATCTCTCTTAAAGGAAAAGTTGTGGCATTGCTAAAGGACTTTTCTGAATGCATATTTACTCAGAACTTATAAAAATATTTTAATCTTTTTCTCCTTTTTCAGGTGCGTAAACGTAGCAAAGCATGCAGAGCTGGGCTGCGAGAGGGTGATGAGTTGGTGTCTATCAACGAACAGCCATGTGGGTCTCTTTCCCACGCCCAGGCTGTCGACCTCATCGACAGTTGCTCTGGAATATTAAACATTCGTGTGAAAAGGTACTGAAGAATCAGAATGTTTTCAGTAGAAATTAGTTGAACAATTCATAGCTAAATAAAGGTTCTACTGTCTGCTAAAAAATCACGAAGGGACATTTTTAGACATTTCGCAACTAATTAGAAATGAACTCTTCAACCTGTTGTTATTGTTTACAGGGCACCTGCTGCTTTTCAGTCTGTAGTACTTGTCACTCGCGCTCCATCTCCTCGAATAGACAAAGAGTATCGAGCTGCACTAAAAGCCATGTCACCAAACCAAGCCCATCATGCACCTGTGCGTGAAGTCCACCGTAGCCGCTCCTCCCTGACCAGTGGTTTGACATCCCCACCTGGTAGCGAGGCTTATTACGGGGAGACTGACAGTGATGCAGATGTAGCTGGTTATGAGAGGCAGCGACGCCAGAAACGCAGAAGCCCCAGCAACTCCAACTCTGGAAAACCAGCGGGACGAACATCTCCAGAAGGTGGGGAGACATCAGAGATGAGTGGCTACGACAGCGCTCCAGATGCACAGATTTTTTCACGGCCCTTAAATAGGCGTGGGGGAGATGGAAATGAAGGCAACTTACCTGGGGTGGCGAGAAAGGAGGTGATTTATCAACCTCCTGGTCCAGGACTGTGGTCCTCTCAGGCATCCACTGAAACTTCCTCCATCATCTCCTCAGCAGATGACCAGGGCCCACGAGATGGAGGACAAGAGGAAGATAGTGGTTTTCTAGAGCCAGCCAATGTCCCATTGGTGTCTCCAGAGAGGGCTAAAGAAGCGCTAATGCTGGGCTCCCGCAGCCAGCTTGTACCTATGGTGGGTCCACTAAACAAACCTATAGATGAAGAACTTACAACAACTTACATGGAAAAAGCCAAGCAAGCCAGTAAGTATATCAAGAACGCAACTATATAGCCAGTGATCTTTTTGGGGGGTGGGGTGGCAGTAATGTGGGTGAGAAATTAGGTTATAAATTATAATCCTGTATTTTCTTTCAAGCAGCTCAGTGAGAATGAGCATGAGCTAAACTTGTTAAAACAAAATACCGTCAGTATAGTTTGCTATATTTAACTCAAGCTCTGTGCATAAAAACCTCAGCAATCAATCTTTGAGCACTGAAAAGCATCTGCAGCTGTTTCCAGGAGTCAAGTAGCAAAGCGAGGACCCCTATAAACCCTCCACCTCTCACTCTTCTCCTTCCTCTTGAGATAAACAAAAAAACCTTTCAAATTGCATTATGACAGTTATTTCTTACACTGGCCGATATGGTTTACACATATGAGGAAATGGCACCAACCCAGGACAATTCATATTGAGCAGATGGTTTGTAACACAATCAGAGTTCATCTTTTAAACCTTATTAAAGACTGAAGAAAAATTCTCTCTCATGGAAGCTGAATGGTGATAAATAGATTTAGGTCATCCACAATAATCTGTCTAATTATATGGTGGCCACACTTTTTTGTTGTTCTTGCAGTAACCTACTTCTGCTTTCCACTTGCTTGCAAACATTTCATTAAAAGACATAAAACTGTATAAGTCTAGTTATGTGCAAATGCACCCAGCATCCAAGCTAAAACGAGACTGTCAGGACTTTACTGGAATTTTACCAGAAGGGCTGGGGAAGGTAAAGAGGTGGATGCCTGCTGGTGACTTGTGCAGTTATACGTAGATGTTCATTTCCAAGTCAAAGTGTAAAGGTTAGAACTTTTGAAAACCTCTTGCTGTTATTTCTCTGCACTACTTCGGAGTTCCTAATAGCTCTGACCTTCATGCCTTGCAGAACTAAACAGAGGAGACACACAGCAAGACAAGCAAGTAAAGGAAGCCAAAAGCAAGTGTCGGACAATTGCATCTCTACTGACAGATGCTCCCAATCCTCACTCTAAAGGGGTGCTGATGTTCAAGAAGAGAAGGCAGCGTTCCAAGAAGTACACCCTCACCAGCTTTGGCAGTGTTGATGAGGACATGTGTCCGGATTCTCAGGAGGAGGATGGGATGATTCCGGGCAGTGAGTCAGAGTTTGATGAGGAGGGGTTCTCTGCAGTTCCAGACCCAACTTGGGACAGTGACTACCTGGAAAAGCTGGAGAAGAGGGCAACAGCAGGTGTGGAAGGTCGTGGGGATGGAGCAGAGGATCCTTCAAGTCCAGGTTTGAGTGACACTGCTGGAAAGGGTGCCCAGTTGTTTGAGCAGCAGAGAAAACGAGTAGATGACCATGCCAAGAAGGTGGCACTACCTACAGAATCTCAAGAGCAGGTGCATTCTCAAATGTATCCAATGCATAACGAGGTACACACACAAATGCAACCGAATCAAAGACCTCAGCAGCCATCACTCGGCCTGACAACATCACAGCCAACTCAGCCTCATGCTCCAGCAGCTGATGCACACCACACAATGCTTTATGGGGACCTATCCCACTCTACAGTTAGCACAGCTAGCATAGTGATGTCTCCTCCACCTGTGGCTCCTAAACCAACTACAGCTCCAGCCACTATTCTGACCAGTCCTGATCCATCGGGTGAAACACCTTTGCCTGAACTGCCCGCAAGTAATGTTCTAAACAGAACAGCACGCCCTTTCACTCCTGGCTTCATCAGCATTCGAGCTGCGACTGCTCCTGTAACTTTCCATCCTGCTGTCAAAAAGAAGGCCCAGCGTCCCGCCTCAACAGCTGCTGTACCCACACCTTTCTCCTCTGCCTCAGAATTAGCTGTTAATGCAACATCTGGAACTTCACATGTATCGCCTGGCTCTCCCCAAGTGCTTTCTCCACAATTCTTCATGCATCAAGGTTCAGTGGCCCTGACACCAGAAATTCCTGTTACTATTCATCCTTCAGCCATGTCTTCCTCTTTTGAGACAATGCAAACAACACCAGCAATACATGGTGTTCATCAGGCCCCATTTACAGCTTTCACTCCAATGTCTGTAGCTTCAGCGCAAAGACCTCCACAAGCACAGATGGCACCAGCCCCTCTTCCTCCTTTATCCCAGATTAGTGGCTCAGCTGATCCAGCTGCTTCAGTGGCTTTGCAAGTTCCAGCTGCTCAGCCACCATCAACCCAGTTTTCCGTTCCACATGTAGCCCAAGTGTCTGCAGTCTCTCAGCCAGAAGCTATAGCTGCAGCCCCTGTTTCAGGCCCAAACAGCCGAACAGGAATTTTACTTGAGGCTCGACGACGCGGTGGCAGACCCAAACCTATGTTCCATGTACCAGAGGTCAAAAAGAACTCCCCAAATCCCGAGCTTCTGTCAATGGTACAGAACATAGACGAAAGGTCCACCAGACACAAATTTGGCCAGCCACCTGCCAACGTTATTTATGATGATGCAGAGGAGAACAGGGGTGGTGAAGGCACAGGAAGGGTTCCTCCTCCGGTTGCACCTAAACCTCGGGTCATCCACGAAACTCCACAGATTCTGCAAGCAGGGGGTAAGGGTGCTGAGTTGTTTGCTAAAAGGCAGAGCCGCATGGGGAAGTACGTAGTGGACACTGCACCAGAGACCCCTTACCAACAGAATTTGGCCCAGTCACATGACTTTTCTGAAAGTCATTCCCACCCCTCTCAATGGAAATACTCCTCAAATGTCCGTGCGCCTCCACCTATCGGGTACAACCCACTCTTAACCCCCTGTATTCCTGTAGGACCTCAGAGGGAAACAAAACCTGACAGAAAGGGTGTAGGAGGTGCCCATAAAGAAGGTATCAGAGCAGTGGATTTTATGAAAAGGCAACCATACCAGCTCAACTCTGCTATGTTTCAATATGGAGGCAGCGTTGCAAATCTATCAGCCATGCCCTCTTATCAGGCCCAGCAGGGTAACTACGCAACAACAATGGTGGGCAGCTCATTAACCACACCTCGACAGATCCCTCTCAAAACAGCAAGAGTCTATGAAATTAAGCGATTCTCCACACCCACACCTATGTCAGCTCCAACTCTGACACCAAAGGTCATTGCACCTCGCTCAGCAACAACCCTCGGAGAACGCTTGTCTCATTCCGGCATGACCTCCCCACCTCCTGCTCTTTTTAATCCGACTCCTGTCACTCCAGTACCAGTCAGTGCTCCAAAACCAGCAGGGCTACCTAGCCTCCCAAAATTCTCTGCCAACCCTATTCCAAACCCTGTACCCCCTTCAGTCCCCATACCTTACACCCCAGTGTCATACAGCCCTGGGCTCCAGACAGCCAAGCAATTTCAGAGCGCTCCTGAGCTCAGCGTCCTCTCATCTTTGCCGCCACTCAAGCCCAGCCCAGTTCAGGCACCAAAACCACGGTTCGTTGCCACCAAGGGAGGCGCACAGCCCCACGTATGGAGGCCCGGGGCGTTCTGAACAGCTACAAGGGCTTTAAGGAAAATGAATTAATGTCAACGAATTGCTTACGTTTATCACAGTATTCTAGTTTTCTTTTGAAACAATTACCTGAAGGGAAATTGAAGGGTGTTTCAGGTGGCAAAGGAAAGATTTAGAAGATTTCATTAATTTGGGCCAATGAGGGTTAGACTATAATTGTTGATAACAATAACACGAAAATAACCATACAGGTATAAGGCCAAGGGGAGGTACTTACCTTTTATTCAAACATCCCAATCTCTTTTTATTTAGGAGAAACATTAGACAGTTAGTTGGCTTAAAAACAAAAAACTTTAAACTCTCAAATTGACTGAAGTTCTTTTGGTCCTTCTCAAACTCAAATCAAGTTGTAATGATAAACACCCATCTGTGTGTTCAAAATACTGTCGATAGCATTTGCTGTGCTGCTAACACATTTAATTGAGCAGGAGTATTAATAATGTCTAATCTTTGAGCAAGTATTTAAAGGTGTGGAATGCTGAAAAAACATTTTTAAAATCTTATTTCTGATTATAATTAGTCACTCTGAGTTTGTCATGCAGGCAAAACATAAAAATAGTCTCCTACTTCTATCTCCTGCATTAGCTTTGGATAGTAAATATATGGTGAAACGCCAGGACTTGAAAAGCCAGACAGATCTACGTCACACTGTCACTTAACACCCAACAGGGAAGATTGCTGTTGTTTTACCGTCCAGGAAACAGAAACGAATGTCTAGGCTAGTAGAAGCTAACCGTTAGCATTAGCAACTTCTCAGAGCTCCTGCAGGCTTATGACATTTGTGGAGATGAAAATCAATGTTGCAAGTCAGTGTTAGAGTCGCTTTACTCTTGTTCAACCAGGGGAGAGATGTTCAAATATCAGGAAATAAGACTTCAAAACCTGCTGTCTGAAGCTCAGCTGTGACATGGCTCACATCTAGCTTCTGGAAATTGTGCACCAGTGTTTTTGCCCCCTAAGTACGAATTACAAGGCATTCATTCCTACTAAAGACCACTATAAATGTATGGATTAAACAAGTGATCCACACCTTTAAATAATTTATATCTGTGTCCTTCTTATTAAATAAACCACAGTAACTTTGTTTTCTGAGAAAAAATGTTAAATGATAAATGACCAGAGAAAAAAGTGAAATTTGAATGACTACAAATCTATTAATAGTATCACATTTTAGTTTTATCAATTTGTTCTTTAGCTTAAAACTACTTACAATGGCTTAGAGACTTAATTGCCACTTCATGTATTTGCTTCCAGATCTCAGTTAGGCAGTTTTCCTGGTGTGATTGTAGCAGATATATATGTACAGTATTGTCTTTTATTTAACAGATAATCATATGAAGGTTGTGCAACTCACTTTGTTTATGGTGATTAAATCTTAAAGGACACAAGAGAAAGTTGGTGCACTTAGACTTTGTGAAAAGGCTCAAGGAATGAGATCAGCAGTGGAAAGAGGACTTCTCAGTTGGGTCTTTGGCCCACATTAAGTTTAACTTCTCACAGCCTGCTGACCTTTTAGACAATGGCCAGGAAAGTTTGATTAGAGGACATCTGTGGTAAAGCTGACGATGTTGATGGAAGAGAATTAGTTTCTCCTAATTCCCAGTAGTTGCTACTACAAAAAATAGAAACGTAAAGACAAATTACCTTGAAAGGTTAGGTATGTCAATGGAGGCAAGTAAGGAACACATAAACATTTGTGTGTGTGTTTTTTTTTTTTACCTTTTTTTCATAATCTTATGGCTGAAACAACTTTGCCTTTAGTCATATTGTGGTGTAAAATATGTGGTACAAATTTCTGGATACAGTTAGATTAAATACTGCTGCATGGATGTTTCCACTGACTATAGTGGAAGACACATTTTTAGAGCAATAAAAATAGATTTGAAAACTTTTCAGTTGTGTGAAATGTCTGATTTAATACTGTCCTCTGTTGTGTGAGCATGCTTTTTCCAACTTTCCTTTCATTCAAGATAAACTATTGTATGGACAAAAGTATCACTACATTTATAGGATTTCTGACACATCTTAATAAAAAGAAAACATTTTTAATGTCTGATGTTTCACACAGAAAAACAAGATAAGATGTTTCCATCAAACAGAGATCAGACAAAAGGAAAGACAGCATGGAAAACAGAAAAAACAACACGCGTGTGTTCATTACTGTCTGAAAAGTACAAGAATAGATCATCTTAATTGTGTTATTGCAATAAAGAAAGTCGACTTTAACACACTTACACAATTCAGAAACTCAACTCTCAGATCTTTAGAAAGATTTTCATTTATTGAGTTTTTCTGTCTTTGTACAACAGCTTAGGTTATAGACGCCCTGAAAGGTGACGGGAAAAAAATTTTGTGGCATTCTTCTTAAGTTTATTTTCTACCTTCCACTTCACATTCAACAATCAGCAAAATAACTGAGTTTTTTTATCTTGTAAAAATTCAGTTTTTTAACTCAGGCAAACATCTTACTTTAAAAGAAAGACAAAAGAAAGAACAATTTTTTTTCTCCTGTAAAATTTCTAAGTTTAAGTAATTTATTTTTGCTCAACCCGCAAAGACTAATGAAAAAAAGGGTATTTCTTTCTCTTGTAAATACAAATGAGTTAAAGGTAAAAAATATATATAAATAAAAATTAAACATTGGAAATTTACAAGAAAATAAACCCACTTTTTTTGGTTTGCCTTTCTGGGTTGACAAAAAAAAAGACACTGGATTTTTTCTGGGGAAAAACACACTTGTTTGCTGTTTGTTGGATGGCAAGTGGGAAACCTATAAAAAAATTCTTAGAAAAATGCTGCAACAAAAAATATACATTTTCCCGTTGCCTTTCGGAGCTTCCATACTTGGCAGTGCGAAAAAAATATATATAAGAGGAAAATGTGTTATATGGTTATATCCTGTTGTAGGTTCAATAGCGCCATTTTCCACTTTTTTCCAAATTTTTTCTATTTAATTTTTGATAAGTGGGAAAAATACATTTTTAACCAGCCCAGTCATTCTCCAAACAAGGCCATACTTCTTTCGCTTTAGCTTAGCATTAAAGACGGTAAGTGAATGGACCCAACTAGCATTGTGGGTAAACACATCCTTTATATCCCTCAGTAGATATCCTAATTCTGCTTGGTGACCCAAATAACCAGACTGACTGCAAGTGAAAATAACTATTAACACAAAGGACCCACAGGTGCCATTTCAGACTTGGGACTACTTTATGACAAAACACAGTTGTAAGCCTCTGCTGAGAGGTTCAAGGCAGCCCCAAAGACACCTGCTTCTGTAAACACAGATGTACAGGGGCCTCATTTATCAAGCTTGCATACGAACAAAACGGGGTTGGAAAACTGCGTAAGCAACTTTCCACTCAAACTTTGGGATTTATGAAAGAAAACTTAGCGGAAAAATGTGCACAACTTTAAGTTGACTAAGGACCTGCTTACGCACATTTTGGACACGGAGAGCACCTCCAAATCTGAGACCATGGTTCTCGACCAGAAAAGGGTGGCTTGCCAACTCCAGGTCGGGAGAGAGGTCCTACCTCAAGCGGAGGAGTTTAAGTATCTCAGGGTCTTGTTCACGAGTGAGGGTAGGAGGGATCGGGAGATCGACAGGCGGATTGGTTCAGCATCTGCATTGATGCGGACGCTGAACCGATCTGTCGTGGTGAAGAGGGAGCTGAGCCAGAAAGCCAGGCTCTCGATTTACCGGTCGATCTACATCCCAATCCTCACCTATGGTCATGAGCTTTGGGTAATGACCGAAAGAACGAGATCGCGGATACAAGCGGCCAAAAAGAGTTTCGTCCGTAGGGTGGCCGGACTCAGCCTTAGAGATAGGGTGAGGAGCTCGGACATTTGGGAGGGACTCGGAGTAGAACCGCTGCTCTTCCGGATCGAAAGGAGTCAGTTGAGGTGGTTTGGGCATCTGGTCAGGATGCCTCCTGGATGCCTCCCTGGGGAGGTGTTTCGGGCATGCCCTGCTGGCAGGAGGCCCCCAGGTCAACCCAGGACACGTTGGAGAGGTTACATCTCCAGTCTGGTCCGGGAACGCCTTGGGGTCCTGCCGGAGGAGCTGGTGGAGAAGGCCGGGGAGAGGACGGTCTGGAGCTCCCTAGTTGGGATGCTGCCCCCGCGACCCGAACCTGGATAAGCGGAGGAAGACGACGACGACGACGAGAGCACCTGCGGTGCTGCTGCTGAGAAGGATAAAATTATGAAATCCTGCAGCATTATCACTTGTACTGCTTCATTTTCACGCAGAACAAGACCCCCCCCACACACACACACACGTGCACACGCGCGCGCGCCCACACACACACACACACACAATGAAAGTGAGAGGAAAAAATAAGCACGTCGCATTTGTGTAAGAGAGATTGGTGTGTGCGTGCGTGTGTGTGTGTATTGCATGAAAGTTTTTTAAGTTGACAGAGACGCGGTTTTTAATTTTATTTATGCACGGAGTCAGTGTTCTGAGAGATGAGCGGAACCCGTGAGAAGCATTCTGCAAGAACAGAGACCTGACTCTGACTGCCTGATGATCAATAAGAACAAAGCTTCACCAAATATCTGCTCCTCCTGTCTGGTAATCCTAAATAAATCGCTCTAAATTACCTGCTTTCCCAACTGTAGCCATGAGAAATCATTACATCTGCAGCACACAGACAGGAGGAGGGCAGGAAATAAGCTTTTTAAATGTCCATAAAAAAGTTGGGGAAACTTGTGAAACAGCTCTACAGAGGGCTTATAATGTATTATTCATGCATCATTAGGAGACAAAAAAAATTAAATTAATTAATTAATAAAAACAGGGATGAGAGCTCCACTGCTTTGTGTGTGTGTGCATTCGCGCACGGGCGCTTCTTCAAGAAACGAATCACGGACGCTCCCTCCCAGACAAATGTTTTAAAATGAAACGGAGGTCTTGCTATTTAACATATTTATCAGAAATCCTCAAAAAATAAAATTCAAAAATAATAAAACTTAGGAGATGCGCTGCTAATAACGTGTGTGTGTGTGTGTGTGTGTGTGTGTGTGTGTGTGTGTGTGTGTGTGTGTGTGTGTGTGTGTGTGTGTGTGTGTGTGTGTGTGTTTTACCGGTTTGCTAACGTGTGCATCTGTGTTTAGGGAAGCAGGTGTCTTTGGGGCTGCCTTACACCTGTCAGCGGAGGCTTACAACTGCGCATTGTCATAAAAAATAGCGCCTGTGTTTCCTATATGTTACTTATTATTTTCACTTGCAGTCAGTCTGATTATTTAGGTCACCAAGCAGAATTTGGATCACTACTGAGTGATTTTAAGGACTTTTTTTTTACTCACAATGCTAGTTGGGTTCATTCACTTATTGTGTTTTATGCTAAGCTAAAGCAAAAAGAGAATGACTGGGTTGGTTAAAAAGTGTGTTTTTCCCCCATCTTATCTAACTCCGGCAACTATGTCAACAGACAAAGTTTCAATTTTGGTTGGAATATCCCTCTAAAGTTAGACCTGACCTACCTAAAAGCATTGTGTGTCACCTCTTTGCATGGTTTGGACTGAGGTTCTGCAGTTTTAGAACAATACTCTTTGTACAACCATATAACTTTTCTCCCAGTGTAACCTGTATCACATATTTCACACATTTATAGAGGTGTTAAGGTATAACTTCCATTGGGACATCTCTCTTTCCCCAAATAAACACACAAGTTTACCTTCATGAACTCCCAGATTCTTCTAAATGACCTCCAGAAACAAGCATGCTGGCCTTTCTGACCTACCTCAGAACTTCAGTGGTTTTACTCATCTGGTTAAAAAGACATATTTAGAGACTGAACACCCACCTTATTTTTCTAACCAACATGAACATCGACCACTGGGAGGCGCTGTGGACATTTGGCTGGACTCTTTCAGCTTGTATCAGAATGACATTTTGGTGCCTCTCACACTCACAGGGAGTCTATTTATAGTGTTGTTAAAATCCAACCAGAACTATTTGTGCACCGTGAAAATGACACTTTACCAAGATACAAGTTTAACTAGGAATTAAATCTAAACTAAGCCTGAACACATTTATAACTAGCTCAGGTTTTTGGAAAGTTCTTATTTAAATCTTTGCTGCAGTTGAAGTAAATGTCCCCAGAAAACGTCTTCCATGTTCCACCAGCAAGAACATTCAAATGTCAGCTGCATGCATTTCATTCCATATAGTGGAATATTATAAAATCAGGGTCAAAAATGAAAGGAGAAAATATGCTACGTTGATTATGCAATTTTAAACTTATTAGACACAAATTATTATCCTCATAAATGTTTGAGGATTTGTTTAAACATTTTGAGACATTTGGTGAACGTGTCAGAGACTATTTTCTCAAAAGAAATTAAGTTTAAGCCATTGTCTGTCACGAATTATAGGGGAATTTAACAAAACGCCATCACAGTGCTCAACTTCTTCACAAATTTATTGTTCCTTCTTACACCAATGCTGCTGGTTCAGGCTGGAGTCTAATTTAACTTTTTATTTTTGGGACTAAGAAAGGAAGTTTCTTTTTCAACATGGAGGTGCATGCATGGAGGTGGTCAAGAGCTTTTCTGTTAAAACACGTGAAGAGTGTGTTACAGTAATCTAGACGGGAGGAGATAAAGGCATGGATAACCATTTCAAGTTCATGTTTTGACATCAACCTTCGCACTTTGGAGATATTTCTTAAGAGATAAAAACAGTTTCGGACCAATGTTTTGGAGTGGCTTTCAAGAGACATTGATTTGTTAAAAACACCCAAATTCCTCAAGCTTGACTTGACGGCAGAGGATAAATGACCACGTTTTTGACTAATCAGGAGAGCCATGCTCTCAGGGGGAAAGATCAGACATTCGGTCAGTCCAGAGTTTAATTGACGGAAGTTTTCTTCTAGCCAGCTGGTGAGAGTTGATGGACACTCTAGTAATTCAGACAGTTTATAGAACTCAGAATCCTTAAAGGAGCAGTACAGCTGAATGTCATCTGCATATAGGTGTTAAGAGCATAGGCGTCATTTTAACCGGGGACGCCGGGGACATGTCCCCGGCAAAATTCGTGATCGGCAGCTGTGTCCCCCCCACATTCAAAAAAGCCTGCTGATGAGGATTTTTGTTTTACCAGCTCAGATCTTATACCAGGGGTCGGTAACCTGTTCCCATCAAAGAGCAATTATTACCCATTTCCCACGGTAAAGAAAACACCGCAGCAGCCGCAGCGTTGCGGGCGGGGCCTACCCTAAGACAGCAGAGCGCTGCTCACAACCAGGTAACAGCAGCCGGGGGCATCGCACCCGTGGGGGATTCAACACCCACACTTTTCCAGCTGTTTTGCTCACCTCCACACCAGTCTGGTTTCTTTACGTCGCACTCACTCTGTTTGCCTCATCTCCTTCTTCACCTCCCAGCCGATGTCGGGTTTCCAGGAGAGCAGGAGAGGGAGGGACGGAAGAGCTCGACTGAATTCATAATTTTACATCTTGACATTAGCTGTACAAAGTCTGAGTTTGATAAAGTGAAGAACAACCATTTGCAGAGGTTTATAACAGGCGCGGCGCCAGGTTTTCATTTTTGGGTGGGCCACGGTAATTTTGGACGGACCTTAATAAGCAGTGACTTAAGTGAAGCAGGCAGGTCGTGCTAGAAAATTTTGTTTAAAAAGACGTCATAAATGTTTCCCCCGTCATTTTTATTTATAAAATATGAAGTAAAAACTCACAATTTAATTTTCATTCATTTGTCATTAATATTTAGTCTACACCCGTGCGTTAAGTGGACCATCTTCCAGTAAACGCAAATCATCCAGTCCACCTCTCCAAATGCGTAAAATGTGCATCAGCCGCTAGTTAGGCGTGCCGCTCGCACCATCAGCTGATCAGCCCAGACAAGAGCAGAGCAAATAGAGAAAGAATAGAGGATGATTGTGTCTGGATGTGGATGGAGATTACATTTTACAGCAGCCTGATCATCATTTAAATACATAAACCATCACCTGTCCTCTAGTCCACGCTATCAGCATTATTTTAATTGGTGTGTGTGTGTGTGTGTGTGTGTGTGTGTGTGTGTGTGTGTGTGTGTGTGTGTGTGTGTGTGTGTTTTCCACTTCAAACACTGGTCTAATCAACCAGACCAGCATGTCCAGTAACACATTAATGTTACAATTAAACTTGATTAACCCCAGAGCCACGCGTATAAGCTGTACTGACTGTAAATGAGGGGAAACGATTTAATCGTATCCTTTACTTTTCAACATGGTTTAATGTAAAGTTTCATTCAGTACAGACTTTAGTTACAGCAATCTAACGAGACAGAGCCTAGATTTGTATTCTGAACAGTTTAAACATGTTTGAAACGGAGACGTGCGTGACGCGTCTAAAATTCGCACCTGCTCCGCTATTATGGAAATTAAACTAACAAGATGAATAACATGAAATTATTTTAGGCACAGACAACATCCCCCACACTTTTGAAAAGCTTGCAACGCGCCTGATCGCTCGTGTACGTCTTAATTGTCTTTCATTAGACGATAATCAATAAAACGATTTATATAAAATGGATCCAGAAGTTGTAGCCCGTCTCTGCCTTCAATTTTTGGTATTTTTCACCCTGTTGATGGTTTTACTGAGCAGGTGCCACTTTTGTCCTACGTTTCTTTTTAAAACATGTTTAGACTGTTCAGAATACAAATCCAGGCTCTGTCACGTTTGATTGTTGTAATTAAACTTTGTAGGTGGGGAAGGTCAGAAAGCAGCTCAGAAGCGCCGATATGATTACGCACAAGCGTGACGCGTCAACCCGGTCTCACATTAAGACCGGGTTGGAACTGTTCAGGTTGACGCAGACAATCTTTACATTTAGAATTAGCTTACAGATGTAAAATTAATGCAGTAAAATATAAAGCTTTTTATTTAAATATCCATTCATTATTTCACAAGCACAGAGAGCCGCATCAGATGGATGGAAGGGCCGCATGTGGCTCCAGAGCCGCCGACCCCTGTGCTAGCCTACTTTATTGTCCCCAGCAATTTTTAAACCCCACTCAAGTGTATGGTTATTGTCCCCAGCAATTCTGAAAACAAACTGACGCCCTTGGTTAAGAGACATTATGAAAAGAATCAAGTATCTGTCCAAGAGGGCGTGTGCACTGTAGAAACAACAGTGGACCCAAAACAGAACCTTGGGGTACCCCACAGAACAGATCGGTAGAATCTGACATGATTTGGTTTATACAGACACTGTAACTTCTGTTAGAAAGGTACAATACAAACCAATCTAGAACAGTTCCAGAGACCCCCACTGAGTCACAAAGTCTGTTAATTAAGCTGCTGGGATCAACAGTGACAAAGCTGCAGAAAGATCTAACAATAGCCTACTAACACTGTGAATTCCCCGTTGTCTGCAGCCATCAAAATGTCACTGGAAACTTTCAACAAAGCTGTTTCTGTTGAATGATTTTTCCAAAAACCAGATTGGAATTTACCCCCAAATCTGTTGTTACATGCAAATGCGTGCCGTAAAATTTATGAAAATATTCCAAAGAGGTACGGTTCACAGCTGATTCAGAGTGAGGGAATGTGAGTTTTAGATATTGGTAGGATAGTTTCGGTATTATTAGATCCTGATACAGCTGTGGATGTCAGACAAAAACTCAAGAATCTACTTTTTAAAAGATTTTTTTCATAAAAATGGTGCTCACACTTTGAGCTTGTGCAATTTTTAAAATGTAAATAAAGAAAAGAAACAAACGGAAAAGTCATGTTGGGCTTTAAATCCTTTTTAAGTAACACTTTACAATTTTGTCCCTTTATTAATGTTACGTGGTAAATTATTAAGCATTAATAAACAAATAGTCACTTTATTAAAATGTTATTAAGTGTCCTTAAGGTTAGGAAAAAGGTTAGTGTGAAAGGGGTGTCTGCTTAGTAATGTAATACCTGCTATGTTTAAGCAGTTGTTAATACTTTTTTTAGTGGCTTATTAATGCTTAATAATGCACAAACATTAATAAAGATACTCTTTTGGAAAATATCACCCTTTTTCTAAATGTTTAGAATTGTTTGGATGATGTGATTTCGCAAACACAATGCTGTTTTAACATTGCAGAGAGAATCAGAATAATAATACTCCTAATCCTAATCATTCACATCACACCTCTAAAACTAACCAGTAAAGCTCTGTAACATTGTCCCAAAGTGAGTACCAGCAAAATGTCCTCACTTTGCTTCTAATGTCCTCAGTTTGCAGGTAAAAAACTTGTTTAGGTCCTCACTTTGATGTACAGGCCGGTGTCGGTACAGGATCTGCTCGGGTGCAGGATCGGCTCGGGGTCCTTCGACTGCCGATGACGTCACACGACTGCAAATCTACTCGGCTTTCACACATACGTTTTGGAAAGACATCAGCAGTTTTGTTAATAAATTCTTGTTGGTTAACACCTAAATGTTTCTTTACAATTGTAATTTGTTAATAAAACACCATATTACCTTTGTTTTGTAAAGAATGTGAAACTGCATAAAACCAGCATCAGACTGACAAAAAATAGAACAGTTCTTATGTCAGCCATATCTGTTTGTATTAATGTGGAGTTCGTCTGTATATTTCCTTACTTGTTATCTAAATACATTATTTGACTCAAAACATTGCTTGGTGTCAATCAATGAAGTTCTTGTATTTTATTTTGCCCCATTTCATCAACATCAAGAGCTTTTGAGAGTCACTGTTTATCATTTGCTTATATTTTACATTTCCTTTAGAAATTCAAACATATTTTCGCCAAAAAGTGTTGATTTTTGGACTACAGGACTACAGCCGCTAAGACTACGACCGCAAATTTGTTCTGACCAATCAAAATCATAACGTGATAATAACGTAACTTCCGTAAGCTTCATGTTCAGCTAATCAACTACTTTGACGTCATCGCGAGTCGAAGGGCCCCGAGCTGATCCTGTACCGACACCGGTACACACACACACACACACACACACACACACACACACACACACACACACACACACACACACACACACACACACACACACACACACACACACACACACACACACACACACACACACACACACACACACACACACACACTTGTCTCTGTATCCTTGTGTGGACCCTCCATTGACTTCCATTCATTTCTGGGACTCCACTATGCCTTACCCATACTCTAGCCCTAACCTTAACCATAGTGCGCGCACACACACACACACACACACACACACACACACACACACACACACACACACACACACACACACACACTCACACACACACACACACACACACACACACTCACACACACACACCTCTCCTTGTCTTGCTCTGTGCCCTGAACACACCAAAAGTCCTGTGAGGTTGAGGTTGTCTGATGACTAGGTTCTGTTCCCCTCATTCATTCCTACTAAATATAGGCTTTAGAGCCATCTGTGAGAATGATTTTGTTCCCTTAATATCACCATCAGCAATTTCAGCCGGCCAAGAGAGACTTCTAATGACTTCTGCCTCCTCCTCCTCCTCTTGGTCTTGACACCAAAATTCCTGCCACACACACACCCAACCTTTTGGAAGATCTCCTCTCCGAGGGTTGGGTAGGTTCTGCACTTCCCGGGATCTGAGTCCAGCCATACGTAGGGTCTGAGGCACTGAGGGATTCCTACACCGGTGATCAAGATCAATATCTTCCTCACGGTTTTGGTATTTATAGTTCCTTCTGACCTCGCCCGGATCACAACAGAAAGCCGGTGAGTGGATCTGAACACAGTTGTCAGTCGTTTGATTTCAACTCTGCATACAGCAAAGGTGAACAACATTTGAAGATTTGGCTATTTTATTGCACAATCAGAAATTCACTGGGATGTGCAGATAAAGTGGATGAATCATTAAAAAAATTGTTCAAGCAAAAAAAAAAAGATAGAAACTGATTAGAAAATTTTTACATCCATGTGTGTGTGTGTGTTTTAAAAACACGTGATGAAAGTGTAAATGTGCTGACTGTTCTTTTTAGTGCTGCAGAGGTTTAATACGGTGTTATCAGACCCTTAGAGGGGGTGGGGGTAAATCTGAGCATACCGTTCTCTTGCCTTGGGATTATTTAACAGAATTAAAACAGCTTCAGAAATCCTCATTATCATCACCCAATTCAGCTCTCAATCCTGTTGACACACGTGTGTAATTAACACTTTTCTGGAGGTGTGTTTTGTGCTCTTAAGAGTCCTTTTGAGCTCATTTGACACTCGAATGACGCCATTGCGTGTCGCTAAAATGTCTTGGCTGGAAGTGGCTTTTAAAAATAGCTGGGGTGGGTTAAGTTACAGCCACTGGATGCGATGTTTTGCCACTTGACTGGGCCTTAAAGACAATCTCCAGATTGAATCTGCAAATATTAGTTGTCAAAGAACAGAAACATATTGATGTAATTCCACAAATTTAAAGATGCATTTCATTGCCAACATGCCAAGCGTGTCAGTAGATGCTGATGTGTTTGAAGCTTGCACATTACTTGACATCTGAGACGCAGGGAAGGATTTCTCCTCATTACTAGACACAAACTGGAGATTATGACGCCTAATTTTAATATAGAGCAGATGAGCAGGATTTGTCTAAACCATCTGTTTATGCTGGCTCTTTCTGTTTACAGATCTCGTGTCAACAAACAAAACTGAAGCAGTGAGCTATAGGTTTCCTTTGACGAAGGCATTTCATCCACGGGGGAATGTGGGGAATCCGGGGGCACCGACACCCCACCCTGAAGATGAAAAATTAGGAGGGTCTGAGGTGTCTGTACATTTAGGTTCAGAGATTAATGCTGGGTGGGAGTGTCGGTGTTGTGGAGTTATCTTGATAGGTTCATGCAGATTAGCTCTGAACCAACTGAAACGAAAACATCCTGCTGGTGTGTTCTATACCACAGACACCATATTTTAGCTCATTTAACACGGTGCAAATTTTTGCAAGCTCATTAAGAAAAAAAATAAGTTTTATCCTTTTTCTGGCTTTACATTGCAACTCGTACCTTGTCGTTTTCCATTAATTATCCAAAAGTGTGAAACATTTCTTGAAGTTATTGTTTTAACCCTCCCACTGTCTTTATGAGTGACCCCGCGGGGTGGCAGGGGTGAGGTGGTGCTCACTCCTCAACCCTGCCACATGGACCCAAGGAATAAACCATCAACTCTGCTCAATGGCCAACTTTCCCTGCAGGGTCACACCTATTAGGACAGTGGGAGGGTTAATGTTCTTTAAATTTACAATATTCTCTTTTGATGAGGAAAAAAAACTGAATGCAGGTTTGCTGTTTTGTGTTTCTGTACCTGGGAATTACATTGTATATTTTTCTTCCCGACCCTCCAGTCATGCCTCTGGGAACACCTGCCCCCCTAAACAAGCGGAAAAAGCCCTCCAAGATCATAACTGACCTATCACATATCAGCCAGATTGGTAAGGCAGTAAGTGAAATTATGCAAATATGAAATTACCATTTCTCAGTACAACTCTTTCTTATAAATGCTGCACCGAAATACATGGGTGGAAAGCGATAGGTGCTCAACGACGTCACTTTGTTGTTGAGCATTAGTAGTCCTGGACATAATTTCACACAAAACCTAAAATACCCCCCCCCCCCCCCCCCAATTCAAAAATAAGCGCGTAATTGGTATCAAATTGTCTCTTTAAAGTTCACGGACATCATATGTGAAATCCATGGCACATAATAAATAGAATTAGAAGATAAAGTTTTTAGCCACGCTGACTTGCATTCTTTTTTCATTCCTTCGAGGACACATAGCCAGGGAGTAGATGGGCATGACTTAGGCTCCTTATCCCCCATACAACACGTGTGCTTCAAGGCATATGTGGCATTGCCGCCACATTGGGTGGGATCCTCACTTTCCAAACTCACTTGTCAATGCAGGGCGGACAACTATGCCTCTTTTTTTCATGGCCTACAGTTGCAACAACCAGTGCACTATTGTGAACAGATCACGTGGGATTACTTAAGACTTTTTTAGCCTACCTGTTGGGATTTTATATTTTAATGTCCATCCATTTTCTTCTGCTTTTCCGGAGTCGGGTAGCAGGGGCAGTAGCCTAAGGCGAGAGGCCCAGACTTCCCTTTCCCCAGCCACTTGGGCCAGCTCCTCCGGGGAAATCCCAAGGCATTCCCTGGCCAGGTGAGAGACATAGTCCCTCCACCGTGTCCTGGGTCTACCTTTAGGTCTCCTCCCGGTTGGACGTGCCCGGAAAACCTCACCAGGGAGGCGTCCAGGAGGCATCCTGACCAGATGCCCGAGCTACCTCAACTGGCTCCTCTCGATGTGGAGGAACAGCGGGTCTACTCCGAGCCCATCCCGAATGACCGAGCTTCTCACCCTATCTCTAAGGGAGAGCCCAGCCACTCTTCGGAGAAAACTAATTTCGGCCGCTTGTATCTGCGATCTCGTTCTTTTGGTCACGACCCAAAGCTCATGACCATAGGTGAGGGTAGGAACGTAGATCGACCGGTAAATCGAGAGCTTCGCCTTCTGACTCAGCTCTCTCATCACCACGACAGACCGGTACAACGCCCGCATCACTGCAGATGCAGCACCAATCCGCTTATCGATCTCACGCTCCAGTTTTCCCTCACTCGTGAACAAGACCACGAGATACTTAAACTCCTCCACTTGGGGCAGGACCTCATCCCTGACCCGGAGAAGGCATTCTAACCTTTTCTGAATCAAGACCATAGTCTCAGATTTAGAGGAGTTGATTCTCATCCCAGCTGCTTCACACTCGGCTGCGAACCGCTCCTGCGAAAGCTGAAGATCACGTTCTGATGGAGCCAACAGGACCACATCATCTGCAAAAAGCAGAGACCTGATCCTCAGGCTACAAAATGGATGCCCTCCACACCTTGGCTGCACCTAGAAATCCTGTCCATAAAGGTCATGAACCGAATCAGTGACAAAGGGCAGCCTTGGCGGAGTCCAACTCTCACTGGGAATGAGCCCGACTTACTGCCGGCAATGCGGACCAAGCTCTGACACCGGTCATACAGGGACCTAACAGCCCATATTAGAGGGCCTGGTACCCCATACTCCCGGAGTACCCTCCACAGGGCCCTCCGAGGGACACGGTCAAACACCTTCTCCGAATCCACAAAACACATGTAGACTGGTTGGGCAAATTCCCACGCACCCTCCAGGATCCCCCTAAGGGTATAGAGCTGGTCCAGTGTTCCACGACCAGGACGAAAACCACATTGCTCCTCCTGAATCTGAGGTTCAACAATCCGATGGACCCTCCTCTCCAGAACCCCTGAATAGACCTTACTAGGAAGCCTCAGGAGTGTGATCCCCCTGTAGTTGGAACACACCCTGCATTCCCCCTTTGTAAATAAGGGGACCAACAGCCCGGTCTGCCAGTTCAGTGGGACTGCCCCCAATGCCCACACGATATTGCAGAACCTTATCAGCCAACACAGCCCCACAACATCCAGAGCCTTAAAGAACTCTGGGCGGATCTCATCCACTCCTGGAGCCTTGCCACAGAGGAGCTTTTTAACCACCACAGTGACCTCAGCACCAGAGATTTGAGAGGCCAACCCAAAGTCCCCAGGCTCTGCTTCCTCACTGGTAGGCGTGTCGGTGGGATTGAGGAGGTCTTTGAAGTATTCTGCCCACCGATCCACAACATCCTTAGTAGAGGTCAGCAGCACACCGTCCCCACTATCGATAGTGTTGGTAGCGCACTGCACCCTAACTGCAAGTGTCCACCAGCGGGTTCGGGGGTTGTCACCACGACAGGCACCGACAATCCTGCGACCACAGCTCCAGTCGGCCGCCTCAACAATGGAAGCACGGAAAAGGGTCCATTCAGACTCAATGTCCCCCTCCTCCCCCGGAACATTTTGGAAGTTCTGTCGGAGGTGGGAATTGAAGCTCCGACAGGAGTCTCTGCCAGAAGTTCCCAGCAGACCCTCCCGATACATTTGGGCCTGCCTGGTCTGACCGGCATCCTCCCCGACCATCTGAGCCAACTCACCACCAGGTAGTGGTCTGTTGACAACTCCGCCCATCTCTTCACCCGAGTGTCCAAGACATGCGGCCGCAGGTCAGATGAAACAACAACAAAGTCGATCATCGAGCTGCGGCCTAAGGTATCCTGGTGCCAAAAGCACATATGGACACCTTTATGTCTGAACATGGTGTTCATTATGGACAACCCATGACTGGCACAGAAGTCCACTAACAAAACACCACTCGAATTCAGATCGGGGGGCCATTCCTCCCAACCACACCTCTCCAAATCTCACTGTCGTTGCCCACATGAGCGTTAAAGTCCCCCAGCAGAACGTGGGCGTCACCGGAAGGAGCGCTTTCCAGCACCCCCTCCAAGGTCTCTAAAAAGGGTGGGTAGTCTGAACTGTGGTTTGGTGCATAAGCACAGACCAAAGTCAGAACCTGTCCCCCCACACGTAGGCGGAGGGAGGCTACCCTCTCATTCACTGGGGTAAACCCCAACGTACAGGCACCAAGATGGGGGGCAACTAGTATGCCCACCCCTGCTTGGCGCCTCTCAGTGGGAGCAACTCCAGAGTGGTAGAAAGTCCATCCCCTCTCAAGGAAACTGGTTCCAGAGCCAGAGCCATGCGTTGAAGTGAGTCTGACTATATCTAGTCGGAACCTCTCAACCTCACACACCAACTCAGGCTCCTTCCCCACCAGAGAGGTGACATTCCATGTGCCAAGAGCCAGCTTCTGTAGCCGAGGATCAGACCGCCTTGACTACCACCCGTCACGCACTGCACCCGACCCCTTTGGCCCCTCCCACGAGTGGTGAGCCCATGGGAAGGGGGACCCACATTTCCTCTTCGGGCTGTGCCTGGCCGGGCTGCATGGGTGAAAGCCTGGCCACCAGGTGCTCAACATCGTGCCACACCTCCAGGTCTGGCTCCAGAGGGGGGCCCCGGTGATCCACGTCCGGGCGAGGGAACACAGTTTCCATTTATGTAATTCATCATAAGAGGTCTTCGGGCTGCTCTTTGTCTGATCCCTCACCTAGAACCTGTTTGCCATGGGTGACCCTACCAGGGGCAGAAAGCCTCAGACAACTTAGCTCCTAGGATCATTGAGACTCTCAAACCCCTCCACCATGGTAAGGTGACAGCCCAGGGAGCTTTGTATTTTAATGTGTTTAATTTAATTACATTTATAGTTTAACTATCATACCATACCATATGAACAGGGTTAGTTAAAATCCATAATAAAATGTGTTTCATAGTTGGACAAACACTTTCCTCAACAGAAATAAATGCACTGGGGGTGAATGTAGACCCATCCATGATGGCAGCCGATCACTAAGGCAACTTCAATAGGCAGTGCCAGTTCATGGGTGTCTACTTATATGGTGTCTGTCAGTGCCCCTGAGACAATAAATTCAGTGATGCTGATTGGCCGAAAATGCTGCATTTCTCCCTAGCAACCAAACATGATTGGCAATTTAACTGCAGCTCAGGAGTTTCTGAGGAGTGATTAAGGATTCTTTTGGGTAAAATGTACTGTTTAATGAGAGACAGGTAAAATGTATGTGTAAATAATTCAGATTTCATGTAGTTACATACAATTAAACAGAACCGACACATTTATAGTAAATCTATGGACACATAGTGTAGATACTTAAACTTTTTTTAGATTTTTCTCTTCTTTCGCGTCAGGGAGGGCTGTACTCTAGCACCCCATATGGATGAGCTATGTGGAAATTACAAAGACAGCAGCATGATCACAAAGTCTCACATGGTTATAGATCTGAGGAAGAAGTGTTGCAAAGGTTTAATATTAAAGTTACATTTAATAAAATTTGTAACATAATGGGTACAATTTTTAATTAAAAGTGATTGAAATCAAACTGGCTACTATTTTCTTTTCTCCTTTTAACTATTGTTTTTTTTTAAAACACTGCCTTATCCAGAGTGTGAAGCAGAGCCAGAGGCATCAGAGCTGGACCTGGGAAAAAAGATCCGGACTCCCAGAGACATCATGTTGGAGGAGCTTTCACTGATGAAGAACAAAGGCTCAAAGATGTTCAAGATGAGGCAGCAGAGAGTTGAGAAGTTCATCTACGAGAACAACCCCGACATCTTCACCAGCGATTCAATGGTGAGAACGTGTGGCGTAGAATAAAGCTAGAAATCTAACTTTTCTGAACTAAATCAAGTCCAAAGTTAAAGTGCATAATAAGACTTGTTGGGTGCAACACCTATAAAAATAACTGCATTCTTTCTAGGACAACTTCCAGAAGTTTGTCCCCTCTCTGGGATGTCAAATTGGAGGTCAGATAATAAATGTTGGGGGGCACTTTGTAAGCAAAGAGTCTGGTCACCCGTATTTAGGAGCCATACATGTAGGAGGAGGAGCTCCGGTGCCTCCCCCAAAACCTGGAAGCAAAGGAGCAGGAGGTGCAGGAGGAGCAGGAGGTGCAGGAGGAGCAGGAGGAGCAGGAGGACTGGGTGGAGATGACAAAGAGATAAGAGGAGATGGAATAAGTGTGAGGTCCTCACAAAAAGGTTGGTTGCTAGTTTGTCTTTTTTTCTGTTTTCACGCATCTTCTTTGTCCTCAGTAAGGTCACAGGGGACTGGAGTCCATCTCTAGCAGTCATCGGGTGAGAGGTGGGGGACACCCTAGACAGGTTGCTAGTCCATCACAGGGATACGTAGAGACATACGAGATAGATACATTTGCACATTTACTTACACCTGCAGAAATTTAAAGTTTCCAATTACCTAATGTTTGTTTCTGTGAGAAAGCTGGAAAACCCAGAAGAAACCTTCACATGAATAGGAAGAATTTGCTAATGCTGTAATGCTGCTATGTAACAGTGTTACCAACTGTGTCAACATGCAGCCCTCTAACATATGTCAGGAATAAATATTACTGAAGAATAATTATGTTAATTTTACATCTGATTGAAGCGACAATGTTTAAAGGGGACATGTTATGAAAAACTCACCTTTTGCATCCTTCTGTGCTGCCATGTGGGTCTTTACTGCCTCTATAAAAACTGCATATGTGTAAAAACATCCATCCATGCATTTGTTTCTCAGTGTTTGATTTTAGGATAAACGGGGCCTAAAACAAGTTGCTTTAAAAAGTCCCCATTTGTGATGTCACAAACAGGGAAATTAGAACAGAACCATCTCTCACATGCAACAACAAGCTGTCGCTGGAGGAGAAATGGCTCTTCTCTGAGCCCCTCCTGGATATCAGAGCTTCTCAGCCTATAGCAGCCTAAGCAGGGGATGAGCGGGCGTGACCAACTACCGCTTGTGTTAAAGTGACAGAGCCCTGAAACGACTCATTTTGGAGGGAACTGAAACAGTAAAGAATACATTTGCTGAAAGTGCTTTAGGTGAGAGTGATTTTGAGCAAAGCACTTATGAACAATGGTCAGGTATTGTAACCCCATTTTCTATGAGTGTAGGCCTTGCCCTTGTGCATAATTCTCCTAATTACAGCCATTCACTGAAGTGCTTTTAGTGCACACCTGGCTACTGGGCAGGCCTGGTCCCGTATAAAAGGGATTGAGGATTGTCAAACCCAAATGCTAGTAAGCCACTCGGAACCAGTGAGGCCCGCCGCCTTAAATGGCTGCTCCTACTCTAATATAATCTGTTTTTAATGCATAACCATCGTTCTATTTCACATAGGCTTTGCCCTTTAAAGTTAAGTTAAAGTTAAAGTCCCATTAGTTGTCACACACACAGGTGTGTGTGCAAAATTTGTTCTCCGCATTTGACCCATCCCCTGGGGGAGCGGTGAGCAGCAGACACAGCCGCGCTTGGGAACTATTTGGTGGTTTAACCCCCCAATCCAACCCCTTAATGCTGAGTGTCAAGCAGGGAGGCATTGGGTCCCATTTTTTCAAAGTCTTTGGTATGACCCGACCAGGAATCGAACCCCTGATCTCCCAGTCTCAGGGCGGACACTCTACCACTAGGCCACTGAGAAAGGTTAAAGGCTTGCTATTGGGTTAAAGTCGAAGCTGGATGTAGTCAGCACCTCACAGGTCCAGATCAAATCCTCAGAAACAACATCAATTTGTTAAAACACAAAGAAATCACTCCCGTCCTAAAGGACTGCTTCCAACAATCTTCAATCCATTTTGTTCTGGACCGGGGGCAGCCCGCGGGATGGGCAGACACTAAAAGCTCTTCAGTGAAAGGCTGTAATTCGAAGAATTATACCTAATAGCAAGTCTTAAAGTGCAAATTCTATATGAAATAGAACATGTCTGGTAGGGCTGGGCGATATGGCCTAAAATCAAAATCACAATATATTGAGGATTTCACCTCGATAACAATAAATGGACGATAACTACAGGTATGCGCAGAAGCAAAAGTTGTCCACTAGATGGGGCTGTCACGTGTATCATGTTGAGTCACAATTTTACGTGACTCAAGGTAGTACAGCTTCTTGAAGGGACATGAACGTTGCCAACCTACACACATCTTTTTCTTTTTTATTATCAAATTTATTGACATGATAAAATTAATCTCGATAAGAGTTCGAAAAATCGATAACGATACATTTTCGATTTATTGCCCAGCCCTAATGTCTGGTATTGATCATAGAACCATTATTAAGGCAAAAAGTCACAATATGACCCCTTTAAAAATTGCCATAAGGAGAACGTGATACAGTCAGCAGCAACTCAAGGTTTATTTTTCATAGTTCATTTGCTCCAGTTGCATACTTTATCTCACAGGAGGTGGAAAAGATGGAACCAAGATGGAGCTTCACATCAAGACGTACGTGTCACCATGGGAGAAGGCCATGAAGGGTGATGAGAATCTGCTAGCCACTCTAAAATTTGCAATGCCCGGTCCCATTGAACAAAAGGATATGCCTAGATACAAGAGCTTCAACAGGTGCTTCCTTCATGGTCTCATTTCATAGTTCGTTTAAACCAAACTATCCTTTTAATTTTTAATCACTTCTCACCTTTCCTGGCTGCAGAATGGCCATGCCCTTTGGTGGATTTGACAAAGCCAACCAGCTCATGAAATTCCAGCTGCCAGAAACTGAGTTGACCAAAGAGGAGCCTGAGCCTGCAGTTGTGTACCAACACGACATCGGCTGCCGACCCTCGTTCAACCGCACCCCCATCGGCTGGGTGGGCAGCAGCGAGCCTGGCAGCATCCACATGGAGGCGGATGTCGTTCCCTTTGATGGAGAAACTGATGAGCTGTGAAAACATAATCATAATGTGATAATCACTGTTCACTATACATACACAAGTGAGTGTGACTGTATGGATAAACTTCAGCATGCACACACACACATACACACACACACACACACACACACACACACACACACACACACACACACACACACACACACACACACAATGAGAAAGCTTAAGAGTTATCTGTGGAATTTGAAAGTGTGAATAACTGAAAATGTACATGACTTGTAGTCATGCTTTGCCCTGCTTTAAGTCAAAAAAGCTGTAATGTTATTAAAACATCTAAACGACAGCATGGGTTTGTAAGAAAAAGTTCAGAAGTTTCTGATGTTGTCAGTGAAGAAAGAAGGAATTATGTGTGAACAAGGAGATTTCTGCTGCTAATTTTGTGCATGCTCAACGTGAAACTGTCAAACCACTTGTTATCTCCTACCTTTTTGTCAAAACTCAGATTATTGTAGAAGCATAAAAACCCTCTCGATCTTTTACTCGGGTGAGCACACTTTTGTTGAGTTTTGTGCAAAACAGTTTTGTTGCAATAAATTCTAAATCTCTGCTTTTTTTTAAAGAAAAAATGTTAGGAAGAGTAAAAAATCTAAATACTCCACCTAGAACTGATTAAAAAAACAAAATTTAGTGAGAATATTTTAGAAAAATTGCTCTGATATGACAATTTTGAAAAGAAATGTACTTAAACTTTTAAACTGATGCTGTTCTCTCAAGCTGCTGAGGATAATCTTATTCAAACACACAGAATGTATCAATGTTTCCTGTACACAAGTAAATAAAACTAAGTCTTGTTTCATTTTATCATTTGTTAACAACAGCTTTACATTCAAAAATAACTCAAGAGTCTGATGTAATAAGTAACAATTACCAATTCAGTTTAATTCAGTTCAGTTTGCTAATTGGCACTTCACAAACTAAAACATTCCAGTTGAGTTCAGTTCATTATGACAGTAAAAGGTTTCGTATACAAGGAACCCAGCAGATTGTATTGAATCCTTGACTTTACATCCCCACACTGAGCAAGCATGTAGCGACAGTGGAGAGGAAAACCCCCCTTGAACAGAAAGAAACCTCCAACAGAACCAGGATCAGTACGAGCAGCCATCTGCCATGACTCACTGGGGTTTGAGAAGACACAACAGACACACGAACACACACAAAACACACAACGATGTGTGTTTTATTTCAAATTTAGTTGCTTATGTGCTTACAGTCTTAAACTTTGGTTATTTCAGATTCACTGTTTATCTGGAGATAAAGAAAATGTGCGCAGCTGCAGTCAATATTTCAATAAATACTGAGGTTTACCCGCAACCTTAGCCCAGTGTGAATTTGAGTTAGACACCCCTGGTTTACAATAATCAGGGTGTAGTTCTAGCTTTTTGCCACTGGAGGGCATCAAATCCCCATCTCCCGTTCTATTCTAAATGGTATAAGAACTGCAGTGAAAGAAATAAAGAAAACAGTCTTTTATATAGCACCTCTCAAGATAAAAATCATGAGGTGCTTCACAAAAACACAAAATACAAAAAGATTTCTGAAAATAAATGATTAAAAATATGTTTAAAATGACTAAAAAAATTGAAATTGTGATTTTAAAATGTAAGAAAAGGAGTGAGAAAATGAATAAGAAAGAGGAAAATCGGTGGATCCCGGGAAAGGCGGAATAGGTAAAAAGTGCAGAAAAAGGAGAGGGTGGTGACGAAGGTCATGCAAAAGTCAGCCTGAACAAGTGGGGTTTCAACTGCATTTTAAATGAGACCACTGAGTCCACTGATTTCAGGTATGATGGTGCTTGAACCCTGAAGTTGACTGGCAGCCAGTGAAGCTGGAGGAGAAGCGGGGTGATGTGGGTGTGTTTGGAGGACTTGGTCAGAAGCCGAGCACAGGCATTCTGAACCACCTGTAGACGGTTCAGGGAGGTTCTGCTCAGACACGTGAAAAGAGAGTTACAGTAGTCTAAGCGTGAGAAGATGAAGGTGTGGAGAACTGTCTCAAGTTCAGAGCGGGACAGAATGGGACTCAGCTTAGCAATGTTCCTGAGATAGAAGAAGGAAGAGTTAATAAGAGAAGCGACATGAGAATCCAGGGTGAGAAATGGGTCAAAGGTCACGCCAAGAATCCTAACAGAGGGTTTGGTGTGACAAGCAAGCTGACCAAGAGAGTCTCTGACTTTGGGAACCAGCTTGTCTGGGGCACAGTCTTATCTTCATTCAGCTGAAGAAAGTTCCCAAGCCATCCAGGTTTTAATAGAGTATAGAATCATCTTGCAGGACTGCCAAATCTCACGCATTGAGCACGAGACACACTCATTTTACCATCTTCACATGCTCACACCACACCTCCATCTCACGTCGAAGAATCCTCAACAGATTGAAAAGTTCAAAAGTAGGCTGCCCTGAGCTAGTCCTCCCTCCTCATTCATAAAAAGTATAAAATGCTGTTGTCACGGTCTACCTCTATCAGCAGGTGAAGTAACCTGGCAGTCAGCGGTTTGTGTTGCAGGTGGGAGGGGCACGAGCTCCAGCTGATCCTGATTCCGCTAATCAGAGGGCCAGGGGATTTAAGGAGCGGTGTGACACAACTCCAGCACCGGTTGATACTCGCACCAGGAGCTTCTAGCCCAGTACATTACCTGGTCTTCCAACAAACTTGTTCTATGAGATCCTGTTTGCTCTTGTTTCTAGTATCGCGCCTCGCATCCTCTAACCACGCCTGGAGTTGTTTTCCTAGTCCCGTCGCTCAGGATCCTCTGGCCTCCACTCTCCATTGTTCTGCTTGCCTGCCTGCCAACCTACACCCTGGCCTCACACAACCTTCTCCTGTCCACCTCCTCTACAACCATCGGACTTGCTGCTTCTCATCCACTGAACTTCACCTAGTTCACCACCGCTAAGAACCGGTTTAAGGCCGTAAGAACAATTCAAACACCAAACTTATTATTCTCTTGGTTCTCTGGTTCCGTCTCGTATTCACGATTGTTTATTCTTTCGTTTTAGATTTCCGTTCCGTTCCTGTTCCTGCTTTTCTGGAGCAGTGCCCTTAGTTTTTCCTTGGCTTTATTTAATAAAATATTTTACTCTTTTACTTACCTGGTTTTCATGTGTGGTTCTTCATGTCCTGGGTTAAACACCTTGCCCACAACATGACAGAATCAACTGGCCAAATGAATACATCCTCTGAAGAACCACTTCCTGTCGCCATAGCCAATACCTTGTCCCAGCATGAAAGTTCCATCCGGTCAGTACTTGAATAATTATCCGCCACTAATCAACATCTTTTCCAGCTCAACACCGCCTTACGCCAAATGAATGAAAGACTCACTTCTATGCCGCCTCCTCCCGCTACTTCCGTAGCTTTGTCTCCACCCCCACTTCGGGTTCAGCAGCATGACGTTAGTTTCCAGGTTGCCGAGTTGCCACAGCCTCATACATTCTCCGGCGAGCCAGGTAAATACCGCTGTTTTCCACTACTCTGCCAGTTAGCCTTTGAAAGGTCACCAGACACCTTCATAAATGATTCGGTTAAAATCTTGTACATAGTCGGTTTACTCAGGGGTAGGGCTCTGCAATGGACTCAGGCTAAGAGTCAGCAGGCTAGCTTCCTGCGAGGTCCGCTCTCAGCTTTTCTAGCTGAGTTCAAACAACTTTTTGACCAGATGGAGTCTCCCGCAGAAATCGCAAAGCAGATTTGGAATCTCCAGCAGGGTAAACCGTCAGTCTTCGATTTCACCGTAGAATTCCGCACTTTGGCTTCCATATCAACCTTTGACGAGGCTTCTCTAAAAGCCGCTTTCTCTCAGGCTTTGACCGATAAGAAAAAAGATCAGCTCACGTTTTGCCAGGAACCCGAGAACCTCGTGTCCCTTATCAACCTCGCCTCTAACATCGAGAAACGCCTTAAGGAAAGACACAAGACTTCGATGTTCAGGCCACCTTCAACCACTGCTTCACAACAATGTCTCCATCAAACACCTCAACAGCACCTCCTTCCCTCGGGGTCAGACGAACCCATGCAAATTGGACGAGCGCAGTTAACTCCCGAGGAGAGAATGAGATGCCGTTCCCTGGGCCTTTGCCTCTATTGTGGTTAGCCTGGCCACTTAATCCATAACTGTCCTGTTCGGCCAAAAACCACAGCCCACCAGTAGGACCGAGATTACTGGTGTGTGGGACTCCTAGTGCTTAAAATTCCCGGTGCAGCTTAACTTGTACTGCTTCTTTCCACCAACAAACATTCCCTACCAAGGCGCTCGTGGACTCTGGGTGTGAAAGGAACATTCTGGACCAAGCGGTGGTACAACAACTGAACATTCCTACTACTCCTCTCCTTACACCCATTCGTGCCGCCTCGCTCGATGGCTGCATCCTAACCACCATAACCCATCGCACCGTGTCCATAAGCCTGTTGACTAAGCTTTTATGTGTTTCCTTCTCCACAGTTTCCAGTGGTGCTAGGACATGAACGGTTGGCTTCACATAACCCTCAGATTGGCTGGAAAACCGGGCCGGTGTCAATTTGGAGCCTGTTTTGTTTGTCTCACTGTCTCATCTCAGCTCTTCTCCCTGTCCAGATCACTGAGAACCCGGATCAGGAACCACCTGATCTAACTGGAGTTCCCTCCGAGTACCACAACCTGCTACAAGACTTCAGCAAGGACCGGGCGTCCTCCCTGCCTCCTCATTGCCCCTGTGACTGCGGAATTGACCTAGTTCCCGATGCCATTCTACCAACAAGTAAACTGTTTAATCTTTCAAAACCAGAGCAAGAGTGTATGTCTAAATACATTTCAGAGTCCCTAGCCTCAGGAATCATAAGGCTGTCCACATCCCCCCTGGGTGCTGGGTTCTTCGTTGTGTCCAAGGACGGGTCGCTCCGTCCATGCATTGACTACGGAGGCCTCAACCAGATCATCATAAAAAAACATCCTCTGCCCTTGCTGTCCTCTACTTTTGAACTGGTAAATGATGCAACTATTTTCACCAAACTAGACCTGCGAAACGCCTACCACCTGGTAAGGATCTGTGAAGGGGACGAGTGGAAAACGGCCTTCAGGGCACCACTTGGCCACTTCGAATATCTAGTCATGCCTTTTGGACCCATCAATGCCCCTGCAGTTTTTCAATCTCTGGTCAGCTCCGTACTAGGTGACTATATCAACAAATTCGTTACAGTTTACCTGGACAATATACTTATCTTTTCCAGAACCCTCCCAGAACACTGACAACATGTCGGAGCGGTCCCCCAACACCTCCTCGAGAAACGATTGTACGTTAAAGCAGAAAAGTGTGAGTTCCACGCCTCCTCCGTCAAGTTTTTAGGGTTTGTTCTGGAGAGTGGTCGGCTGAGGACGGATCCTGACAAAGTAGATGCTGTTCAGAATGGCCAACCCCCTCAACACGTAAGCAACTACAACGATTTCTAGGCTTCGCTAACTTTTACCGTAGTTTTATTAGGAACTACAGCCAGATCGTCGCAGCTCTCACACAGCTAACCTCCATCAAGAAACCCTTTTCATGGTCCCAGGAAGCAGACCAGGCTTTTCACTCTCTTAAGAACTTTCACCCAAGCACCCATACTCACTTGCCCCGACACTTCAGCCCAATTCACCCTGGAAGTCGACGCCTCCGACACTGGGGTAGGAGCTGTCCTCTCTCAAGTCTCCCCAACGGATCACTGCCTCCATCCCTGCGCCTTCTTCTCCCGTCGTCTCACTCCTGCTGAACAAAACTATGACGTGGGTGACCGAGAGTTATTGGCTATAAAACTAGCATTGGAGGAGTGGTACCACTGGTTAGAAGGAGCTAAACAGCCCATAATCATATGGACCGACCATAAGAACCTGGCTTACCTCAAGGAGGCTAAGAGACTGAACCACCATCAATCTCGCTGGTCGTTATTCTTTTCCCATTTTAACTTTGTCCTTTCTTTCAGGCCCGGCTCCAAGAACATTAAACCTGACGCTCTCTCTCTCACCAATGCACCTTGGATAGAAAGGTGAAACCCACCACTATCCTGCCTGCCTCCTGCGTAGTCGGCTCTATCTCCTGGGACATAATGAACAAGGTTCTGGAGGCTCAACAACATGTACCAGTCCACCACACAAAATTTGTTTCTTCCAGCACTCGAGAGGCTCTTATACATTGGGCACATACGGTGAGGCTTTCCATTCATCCTGGCATTGGCAGAACCATAACCCTCATCAGAAGGACCTTTTGATGGCCATCCATGTATAGAGACATAAAGGAGTACATCAGCGCCTGCCAGGTATGTGCCAGGTACAAGAGCAGTAACCAGTCTCCCCAGGGTCTCCTCCAGCCTCTGCCGGTCCCTCCTCATCCATGGTCACACATCGCCCTGGATTTTGTAACTGGTCTCCCCACATCCAGAGGGTTCACTGTCATACTCACCATTGTTGACCGTTTTTCTAAAGCGTGCCATCTGGTCCCACTGAAGTCACTCCCTTCATCTGCTGAAACCGCTGAACTGCTCGTGAAACATGTTTTCCGCCTTCATGGTCTGCCAACCGAAATCCTGTCAGACCGAGGTCCCCAGTTCATATCGCAGGTCTGGACCGAGTTTGCTAACCACCTGGGGGCTCAGGTCTCCCTCACCTCTGGTTTTCACCCACAGAATAACGGCCAGGTGGAGCGTATGAACCAGGAGCTGGAGGCCATGCTGCGCTGTATCTGCGCCTCGAACCCTGCCGGGTGGAGTTCATGATTGTCATGGGTGGTGTATGCCCATAACTCCCACACCTCTGCCTCCACGGGTCAGTCTCCATTTGAAGTCTCCCTTGGATATCAACCCCCTCTGTTTCCCTCCGGCTCCACTGCCTCCACCACAGCTCCCCAGTTTCTCCGCCGGGCTCAACGCAAATGGAACTAGACCCGGGCTGCCCTTCAACGCACAGCTCAATGCAATCACAGGCTTGCGGATCGTCACAGACGCCCAGCACCTGTTTACACCTCGGGTCAGATGGTTTGGCTCTCCTCCCGGGATATCAAGGTCCAGGGCACCAACAGGAAGTTTTCTCCCCGCTACCTCGGCCCGTTCCCCGTAGCCGAGGTTCTCGGTCCCGTCTCCATCTGCCTGTCCTTGCCTCCATCTATGGCCTCCATCTATGAAGGTACATCCAGTATTTCATATCTCCCTGCTGAAACCTGTGGTTTCCAGTCCTCTGTGCCCCCCTGCAGATCCTCCTCTGCCAGTCCGCCTCACTGATGGTGGGCTCAGCTACAAGGTTCACGGCATCCTGGACGTCCGGCCACGCGGCTGTGGTCGCCAGTTGCTGGTGGACTGGGATGGGTATGGTCCTGAGCACCGGCAGTGGATCCCTGGGTCCTGGATCGAGGATCCCTCTCTCATCCAGGACTTCAAGGCCTCCCGTTCTGCCTCCTATTCCGCCTCCTTGGCTGGGCCACCAGGTGGTGTCCCTTGGTGAAAGGGGGGGACTGTCACGGTCTGCCTCTATCAGCAGGTGAAGTAACCTGGCAGCTGTTTGTATTGCAGGTGGGCGTGGCGCGAGCTCCAGCTGATCCTGATTCTGATCATCAGAGGGCCAGCGGATTTAAGGAGAGGTGTGACACAACTCCAGCACCGGTTGATACTCTCACCAGGGTAGCTACTAGCCCAGTACATTACCTGATCTTCCAACGAACTTGTTCTATGAGATCCTGTATGCTCTTGTTTCTAGTATCGCACCTCGCATTCTCTAATCATGCCTGGAGTTGTTTTCCAAGTCCCGTCGCTCAGGATCCTCTGGCCTCCACTCTCCATTGCTCTGCCATGCCAACCTACACCCTGGCCTCACACAACCTTCTCCTGTCCACCTCCTCTACAACCATCGGACCTGCCGCTTCTCCTCCACTGAATTTCATCCAGTCCACCACCGTTAAGAACTGGTTTAAGAGCGTAAGAACAATTCAAACACCAAACTTATTATTCTCTTGGTTTTCTGGTTCCGCCTCGTATTCACGATTGTTTATTCTTTCGTTTTAGATTTCTGGTCCATTCCTGTTCCTGCTTTTCTGGAGCAGCACCCTTAGTTTTTCCTTTTTTTTATTTAATAAAATATTTTACTCTTTTACTTACCTGGTTTTCACATGTGGTTTTTCATTTCCTGGGTTAAGCACCTTGCCCACAACATGACAGCTGTAGCATTTTATTTAAAATAATTTATACTACTGTGACATAAATGTAGTTCCTTCATGGGCAGCTCCAGGAAATTTTGCTCGGCCAGTGTTAGGGGTTTGGGCTTAGCCAACCCTATAGAAGGTCCTTCCTCTAGGGCGTTACAAAGATTAGGATTTTTTCCTCCCACTTCATTGAGATCAGGAAGATAAAAATGTTGGTTTATTAGAATCTAAGTGCAGCTTGTCACCACTGTAGGTGGGTTTAACACTTTGACTAACACAAAAATACTGTTTTGTGTTTTAGTTAAATAAGAAATACAGAATGTTGAAGTGAATTTCTTTGTTGCTAGCATCACACAATTGTAACTTTTACTTTTATTTTCAAAATCCTTGTTGCACCACCACCTCCCATCCACTTGGTGGTGCTCGTGATCCTCAAATCAATTTAACGAGACGAAACAAGTTTAAATACGCAGAAGAAGTGAAAACCCCACAGCAGCATACAGATTCACTTCACAGCAAACAAACGGACATCAGGTCGTTGTTTTAAGGTAAATGTATCACTCGTTCAGGTCGTTATAGAGCCTAGCTAACTGCTAACGGTGACTTCTGGAAGAAAAACGATCACAAACCAGTGGATTTTATTTATGGCAAACAGTTTGATCAAATTGGGCGAATCTTTAAAATACTAAGACCCACCGTTTCTAACGAAGCACCTTTTGTTCATTTATGTGCTATTTTTGTATGAAGAGGATTTCATAAAGAAAAAGATGAAGAGAAGACCTTGTGGGGATTTCATACACTGTTGTAAAGTCACTTGTTAAATTCCTTGTGTAAATAAAACCAAATGAAAACCCAGAAAGCCACAACTATGTTAGTCATGTATGAAATATCTTAATTTAAATGTAGTTTATTACTTGCTGATCAAATGAAAGTATGTTTCCCCCTCTGTTTTAGAGAGAAAACGCTGATTACCTGATGATCCCTGCCTTTAAGTCCCTTTCATCCCCACTGCCATGGACAGAGCTCCTTTTGTGTTGGCTGCTATCTGTTGGCTCACATCTGTACTCTTTTTACCAGTTGCACAAGTTCTCCAAAGGTAAAAATGAAAACAAGCACCTTAAATTAATGATAAAAAGGCAAGACATGATCTAAATATCATTTTTATTTCCCACATCAGAGCATGAAGTGGGATTTGAGAGACATTTCCATTTGGAAAAGGGCATCTTTAAGGGTTTTAAGAGGGTAAGTTCATTGATGAAACTCCTAAAGGAAAGACTACAATTTTACTAATGCTCATTCTCATATATTAAAGCTCCAGAGCACATGAGTCAGACACAAGGCCCACGGGCCAGAGGTGGCCCGTGGAGCATTTGTATGTGGCCTGCGAGATAAATATCAAAAATATATTAAAACTGAGCTGCTGGCTGATTTTACAGCAAAGACTACAACTCCCATGATGCTGTGCGGCGTTAGCACGCATTTGTAGCGCCCCCTCCTTTGCGGTTTTTCCAGCGTCTGCTGCAGGTGTTGCACCAAATTCTGCGACCCATCACTAATTTTGACCCCAGGGGGCGGTGTTGCATTTTTATTGCGTCTGTATATCCTGAATTGGCATAAAAGAAGATGCTACGCTAAAACCGTAAACTACGTAAGCTTTAAGGAAGTTGTGCGGCGCGGACCATGGATATTAAAAAGAGCGTTTGTTTATGTTTATTGCAAACAAATGGGACAATAAATGCAGCGATAACCAGGGCTTTGACAAGAAATGTTTGCTAACGTTAAACATTGATTACAAAACATGCGAGGTCCGCAGGTAAAATGTTCAGAACGTCCATTTATTGAAATAAATTGTTGTGATCCACATCCTCAGTTTATTAGAAACCACTGCAGATTATCTGCTGTCTACGTTTATTTATTTTTTTCCTGTCACTTCAATGCCACTCATATGTACTGGTGGAGATAAAAAGGGAAATAAAATGACACAAACATCGTGATACGTCTTTTGTTGTTATTATCTTTAGTGAAAATTAAAGACATCTGCATTATTACTGAGATGCAGATGGCCACGTTCTGTGATAGCCACTATCATATTGTGTGGCCTTACTGTAACATCAGCCACACTTTTTCTTGCACCAAAACTTTTATTTTAACAAATAGAAAACTTGAAAACAATCGACACTCCACAACAACATTAAATCCAGCAATCTAAATATATAATTATTTAAAATAACATGTTAGTGTTTGATTTAGACATTTTGACACTGAATATTAACACAGAACATAAATTTACCCATTTCTCGATGTCTCTCGACATGCCTGACCAGTAGAAATGTTGGGGAAACTGCATCCCTAGTTTTAAGTTGGCTCCTGTGTGCGCTCCTGTGAAACTGCAGGAAAAGCGCATCTGCCTCAGCTGCACTGGACACAACTTCACATTGGCTTTCTTTGGATGTGCCTTTTCCTCTGATGTAATATAATTTGTCCTCTGAGGAATTTCATAACATTGGACATGTCGTTACCGACACAAACAGAATCATCATGTTTTAATGCATACTTAAGCACACGGTGTCGATCTCACCGGTGACGCAGAAGTTTTTGGCTCTCCTCTTCAAAGAGTATTGCTCGTTTTTCTTCGAGTTGTCAGGAAACTCCATCAACAAGATACTTTTTTAGTTGCCTAAATATTTCGCTGTCCATGATAATAAGCTTTATACAACATGTGGTGGGATGAACAGTTTGGTTCATGGAGATTTATCCAGGTGGATGACATCCTGGTGATTGTGGGGCGGGGCACGCTGCCTTCATAAGAGGCAGATACCTGCTTCCCGCTGCTGGGCGGGGCTGCAGAGCGTCTGGTTGACAGGGCAACCACTGGATCTCCCACACCGGTTAAAGGTGTAACCGGACCCACTTAATGGAGTTATTTTGTTTGCTGTGCTTTTGAGTGACTTTGCTTTTCCTGTTTGTGTGTTTATCTATATTTGCATATCTGTGTCCGGATACATTTAATTGAGTCAGTTGGGGGGATTTATTTAGGTTTTCCCTGTTTAACTTAACTGACTTGTGTAGCACCTCCCTTTTTAACTATTCCACATTCAGTGTGAATGCAAAAATAAGTTTGTTTCCAAATTAAAAGGTTCAAAATTGCGTATATGTTGATAAAGAAAATGTGTAAATTTGCCGTCACTTTTTCAATAAATATTAAGTTTGGCCCTCGACTTCGTCCCAGAGTTTCATTTCGGCCCCGTGTGAATTTCAGTTTGACACCCCCGATGTAGAGCCACATCTTCACATCTAAATAAACCTACTTTTAACTCTGGTCAACTGAAACTATCAGTAATTATGGATCAGAACTGACTGAAAAGGTGTTTTCCATTTTAACCATTGGCTTTGTAGGTTTACTGTCTACTTTATTTATGCAGCTTTTTGTTTACCAGCTGAATTGTTTTTCTTAAGGATCCATCAGACTTTGAGTGGAGCTTCTGGAATGACTGGGCCAAAAGGTCTTTACTGTGGACTCTGATTGGCCACGGCTTAATATCAAGGATAACCAGCATCTTTTATCCCAAAGTAAGATGACGATTCTCCAGTGAAGTGAAATCAAAACTACTATTGCAGATGTTGGTTATAACACGTTTTTTATGTCTGTCTAACAGCTTAGGGTGCCTGCACTGACGCTGTACGGCTTCTTAGCAGCTAGCTTTGTTTTGGGGATTAAAGGTGTGAGTGTGCTGCTTGTACATCTGGGAGTTTCCTTCTCAGTGGCTCTGCTGCGAAAGCCTACACTGTCGTGGATTTTTAACCTTTTGTTGCTTTCCACAATTCACATTCAGACGCTTCAAGACATCCAGGTGGGTTGATTTCTCAATGCCAGGCAATTTTGTTTGGATTAAAAATCAGTTTGAAAAGTAAGTGAAATACAAAGTTAGACAGATTTTTGTTTGGTTTAGTTGTAAATATATTTATGGATGACAATTTTTGTGAATTTTAGCTTCTTTTTCCAGCTTTATGACTAGCACAAAGTGTTATACCTGCCATGAACACGAGAGGGTGCTAGATGCTAAGATAATGTTCAGCCATGCCTTGTTTTTCCACCCCAAATACAATAGAAATGCTGAGTTCATTTATTGGAAGCTTATTGTACCAAACAGTAACATTTCCTGATGATTATAATAAAATAAATCTTCAGGCTCCAACTTAGAAAATAATGTATGGTATCACACATCAACATGGAGTAAATTTAATCTTTAATAATATTCTATCTATTTGTCTGTATTTGATATAGCGCCCTCTAGAGTACTGGAACCCCCCAAGGTGCTTTACAACACAATCAGTCATTCACCCATTCACACACACACACATTCACACACTAGCGGGGATGAGCTACGACGCAGCCACAGCTGCCCTGGGGTGCACTGACAGAGGCTGCCGACCACCACCAGCAGGCAAGGGGGTTAAGTGTCTTGCCCAAGGACACATTGACAGCGAAAAACTGAATGGGGCTCGAACCTGCAACCTTCCAATTAAGGGGCGAGCACTTAACTCCTGTGCTACCATCGCCCCGTATCGATTCCATGTTAGCACATGCCACAGGCAATTAAAGTTCCTGTGACTCCAGCCAGAATCCATATTTTCTTGGTGCTTTCTCATTTTAACGGTTGGTGTCAAATGCTCCAGTCTGCTGCTTTTTAAAAAAAGCACACTAAGAATAAATTTAGTGTTCTGTCACTTGCACGATTCTCCCGTAGCGTGCTGAAAATAATTGTTCTAACCACTGTGATACCCAGAGAGGCTGGTACAGCACAGAGGAGGAGTACTACCTGCTACTCTTCAGCGTTGCCGTCTCTGGCCTGCGATTCATCAGCTTCAGCCTGGAGCACTGCTGGAGCCCGTTAGATCGTAGTGGACTCGTGGAGCTCTTCTGGCTGTTTTCATACACTTTCTATCACCCGTTTTTCTACAATGGACCCATTATCAGCTTCAAAGCGTACACCGAGCAGGTAAGAGCTAAACTGCTCATGTTCTTTGCTTTGAAGGCTGCTCCTCCGAGCAGATCTTTTATAAACATGTAAACAACACGCCAGCAGTGGTTTTTGTGAAATACACGCGTCACTTGTGTGAGTGTTAGGTTAGTAAAAGGAATGTAATTAATCTGAACTGTCTTTTATTTGTTTTATATTTTAATTAGAAGGAGCATTTCTTTTTTTGTTTTCTTTTTTTAATGTATATTTTTCAAAAATAAATTAAGGTTTTACTTTGTAAAACTATTTCTATTTTGTGAAATAACTATTTATGGGTCAACCTGAGTAAGAAAGGGCCTTTACTATAAAACCTGACACATCCAAGGACTCGAATTTAAAAAATGCATATTAATAGAGATGCTATTATATACGAAAAACTTCTGAAGCCTCGTGAGAAGAAAATCCTTTGAAGAAAAATTTTAAGAGAAGCATCTCAAAGGAGCAATATGTAAAGATTCTACAGTGAAATGATCTCAAAACAGGAGCCCTTTTTAAAAGACACATCATGCCAGCAAATCGGCGTAGTATTACCACAATGGTATGTCTTATAAATGCGCCATGCCCGCAGGCGCGCAGATAGGGTGGGGACGGGGGGGATCTGCCCCCCCCAGATTCTGATCGACCCCGATCGGTCCCCCGCACTAAGGCCAGAAAGAAAACAAAATCGGAGGTTAAGCACTTGAAGCTCCTTTTTCCAATTACATTGAATGCAGCATGACGTAAACAAACACGACTCCAGAGGTGCCAAAGTGGTTGCTGCTAGGATGCAGGATGAAGCGAAAAAGTCAAACAACGATTACTGCGTATTTAAAAAAGACCAACAGTGTAAGTAGGCGGGACCGATCTGTCTGTTTATGCATGTTGGTTCTAGTTTCAGTACGTTGTTGTCAGTGTTGGGACTTACTCGTTATAAGTGCCAAAGCCTCATTGCTGACTTTAACGAGTCTCATCTACAAATATGATCCCTCATGAAGTTACTACTTTACACCAGAAGATAGTGGAGATGTGGAACCTTCAGGCTGAGCAAAGTTTGGGAGTTTTTAGAGTTTGAAAAATGCCTCCCGCTATGAGGCTCCCAGTCGGGGAGAGGAGGAGATGTGCGCAACATGAAGAGCGCAAATATTAGTTAAAACGTATAATTGCCGGCAGGTCTGGTCTTTGTTGACTGATCACTTTGTCTGGTAATGACTGACTCCGATTATGAAGCAGCTTATTGACTCTGATGAAGAAATTCACTCATCCAGCCGGTAAGATTGACGCTGCTGCAGCATCAGACAGCTGGTGCTGCACGAGAGGTGTGTGGAGTTTACAAGCTCCAAACGTTGGGTTTGATGTTGGTTTAACCTTCTCTGGGATCTGATGGATGTAGAAATGATGGTAAAATACCGCAAACGTGATAGATGTAGCGACAATGTAAAAAAAAAGCCGTAAAAAGGAGGCAGATGCAGATGCGTTAGTTATGGAAGTCAAGTGTGCCACATAATCATAAAAGAAGTTAAATATGACATTTTAAAAGAGATTTATATATTTATATATAAATTAAAACTTTCCAAATATAATGAAAATGTCTAAATAACGTAAAAATACGAAGGAACATTTGTTGGTCAGGCTGATGGGAACCACTGCTCTAAGTGATAAGTGAATATTGTTTTTTAAATATATTTTATGTACAGTTTTTTAGGGCTTTTATGTTTTCTGTAAAGATTGGTATGCTGAAAATCATTTAATGTTTTGCATAAAGCATGAGGTTTTGTTAGTAACTGATTGGGAGAATAACAAATGTCTGAATTAAATAGTGGGGTGCCTCTGTCAGTGCGCCCCAGGGCAGCTGTGGCTACATCGTAGCTCATCCCCATCAGTGTGTGAATGTGTGTGTGAATGGATGAATGATACACTGTAGTGTAAAGCGCTTTGGAGTCCTTACTCTGAGAGGCTCTATACAAGTGTGGATCATTTATCATTTATAGTGTTGATCAGGCAGAGCTTTGTTGCCAGCGTTCCACTGCATGATGGCTTCAAACACGTATATAAAAGTGTTCGTTTTTACGTAAACCATTGGATGAAATTACACAAACTGACTGAGCTCTAGTTAAGGCGCTTGCGATAGTTTGTGTATGTGTACGTGCGTGCGTGTGTGTGTGTGTTTGTGTGTGTGTGTGTGTGTTTGGGGGAGTGTACATTGGAACTTTGTCCCCCCCAGTTTGAAAATCCTATCTGCGCCCCTGCATGCCGGCATGGCGTTGCACGAATTTTGCGGCATTCGTTCTGCCTCGCTTGGTAGTAATATTGTGGTAATGGTCTGTCGTATGCGCCCTGGCGCAACAGAGGCAGATGTCATGATGACGTGGGGAGTTATTGCTGAGCTCCGGCTGGCAAATTTATTGAAAATGAAAGTAAACACAGGCAATAAGGTTTGCTTTTTGAACAAAATCAGTTGAGATGGCAAACCGGAGTGCCGCAGCGCTCCTTGAGCCTCTCTGTTTGAGCTGAAGCTCAGATCACCAGAGACTGCACAGGGGACTGATGGGGACAGACACCTTCAGTAGCTGCCTGCTAAAAAAAAAAGTAACGATCACTGCTTCAGTTGCAATAAAAAGCTAGTTGCATAAAAATAGTCTCCTACACTTATCTCCTGCCTTAGCTTCTCATATACTGTTAATAAACTGTTAATTTGCATTCATGGCCTCGCCCGTCTTGGCTTGCACCTGCCCACAGGAAGACTTTTTACAAAACATTTTACAGTGAGGAGAGAGAGCGAAGAGTGTCTTGGTGATGATGACTTTGCAACATGGCTGAACGTGTTCTGGTAACCAATCAGAAGCGAGGCTTGTGCTTATAATAACTAGTAATGAGTAATCCTGCTGTTTTCAGCCCACCTCTGCACCAGCAAATGTCTGCATCTCAGAACAGCAGCATCGTAGCTTTATTTTTTAATGACTCATAGGGCATGATTCACACCAGAGAGCATTACAAATATATCGAGTAAATGAGTATGCCTTTAGTGAGTCGTTCAGCACTATAACAGCAAGCTAGCAGCAAGACGCCAAACAACGACACTTCCTCTAATGCCGGAGAAAAACTACCGTAATAAGTGTAGTAAGTGCTCCCTACTGGAAAACACACAAGAGCGCTATCAGCAGATATAACAATGTATTTATCTACATATCAACTTACTGTGTATAACTCCTCTTTGCTTGTCATCTAGAGTCTTCTGGTGCTGATCTGTAACTGGCAACAGCTTTGAAATTTACACAGGGGTAGTGAGAAGGAAATGTTTTGTTTCTAAAAATAGACTGCAGTACCCAAATCTGACCACAGGATGTCATTATTGCTTCTTTCTTACATATTGCACTATTTTGATTCCGTTTACAACCTAAAGCATGTTCACATATATTTTTATTTTAAAACACATTTACTCGTTTCTTCATGACTGCTTTGCTCTGCTTTAGATGCGAATGTCTGACGAAGACAACAGGGAGGAATCTGCTCTCAGCTACTTTCTGCTCCAATCAGGGCGGATTATCCTGTGGTGGTGTTTGGCAGAATATATGATCCACACCATGTACATTCACCTCATCCAGTCTAATGAGACTTACATAGAAATACTCCCTCCCTGGGCTTTGGGTGAGTCCTAAACTGTCATGTCATTTAATTTAATTTGTTTTTACATTTTCATACAGATACCTTCTAAATGAAACACCAGCTTACTGATTAGCTCATTGTCCTCAAATTAGAAGCTATTGTTTTTGAGGTTTGGTGTGGGTTTGATGTTAAATGAGTCAATTATCAGCTCTTTCATCCACTTGGAAAGCACAGGATGGTATGTATAATTTACACAGAAGGTCATGCAGAGACAAATGGATACATTTTTCAAACCCACCTCTGGGATTTTACTCAGCCTTGCATTCAGGCGTCTTTTAACTCACTTGTCCTCTGTGCCCCCTAGCTGTCACACGCAGGAAGAGGAATGTCTTCAGATAATAATCATAATCATTAGCTCAGCTTTTAACCTTTTAATTACAGCACTGATTTTATGTCGTCCCAAGTTGTAACTGGTTCAAAAAGCAGATGTTAGTCTCTTTCTCTTTTTACTTCCTGACTAAGGAAATGAAAATGAATACACATCGGTTTCTCCTTTTGTGGCAGGTGGCTTTGCCCTGGCGCACGTCCAGTTCTTCTACGTGAAGTATCTGGTTCTGTTTGGACTTCCATGCATGCTCGCCACTCTGGATGAATTGGTTCCCCCAAAGCTTCCTCGCTGCGTCAGCATCATGTACAGCTTCACGGGGATGTGGAGGTAAGACCAGACTGATAACGGGCTGTCCGCAGGATTCTAGGGAGTCCTGAATCTCTGGTAACCTTGAGGAAAAGGCGTCTCCAATACAAAATCCTGTAAGGACTCTCTGTGCCTCAGCAATCAGATCCATTCTGGCCAGAGAAAATAGTCTAATCTTGTGTCATTACCAGCTATAGAACAATAGGTCACCTCAAGATCAGGAGCATTATATCTGTCTTTCTGCATCACTCTGAAAGGGTTTGTTTACTGTGACCAATTCTGGCTCAAGTATAAAAAAAATAAACTGAAGCAGCATTTGTCTAATTCCAACGTTCATCAAAATGAGATGAGGTTAAACTTAGAAGGGATAAAAGAAATAATTTATGAAACCCAGGTAAACTTGATTCTGTGATGTTTTAGAATGCAATTTTATGGTTTCAAGTTCTTCAGATGACAGAAAATACATTTAATCTTTTTTATTTCTTTGAGCACTTACTCAATATTTCTTAGTTTAGACTATTTTGCAACTTCAAGCATTTAAAATGGTTAAATTATAGATCAAAACTACAAAGAACCCCATATTTCTTAAGAATAAACAAAAACAGAGTACAACACCGAAGTCAGCTGGAGAAATCCATGTAAATTATTGGAATTGTGACAAAAATTCACTTTGAAATTCCTAAACTGTAAAGAAGATTACTGATTTTTGCTGAAGGTGTCACAACTGTTAAAGTTAATGGAGCATCTGACTGTAAGATATTTTAGAATATTTCAGGCATGTGAACTGTTTCAGTGCTATTCAATTTGATAACAGCTATAATTTCACCTGCAGTCCAACCAAAAGATGGGCAGAATGAAGGCAAAACACACCAGCCATATCTGAATATCTGATGTCCAAAGACTGATCTGTGTGAAGCAGCATTCTGCAACATGCTGTGATGAAAAAAACATAAACTGGAGCCGCTCTTCTCTGCTTTAGTAGCAGTGCTGCTTGTCCAGATCTAGTGTGATGTAGGCAAACTTCTTTTCAGATGTTTTTATTACAGGGCTGTGCAGTGGAGCAGTTGGTAGCACAATTGGCTTGCTGGTTTGAATCCCTTCTTTGCGGAGCTGTTGTGTTCTTCCCAAGCATGCGTGGGTTTTCTGCGGGTTTCTCAGATGTCTTCCAACAGACCAAATACATGCAAATTACAATTAGGTTGATAAGAGACTCTAAATAAGAGGTGTCAAACTCAAACTCACACGGGGCCGAAATGAAACTCTGGGACGGAGTCGAGGGCCAAACTTAATATTTTTTGAAAAAGTGACGGCAAATTTGCACATTTTCTTTATCAACATATCTGTAATTTTGAACCTTTAAATTTGGAAACAAACTTATTTCTGCATTGAAGCTGAATGTGGAATAACCAAATTACACACAAGCAAGTCAGTTTTAAATAAAAGGCATCAGTGGTATTCACTACTTGTGGTATATTCAGCATTTTTTAAATCTTTAAAATCTTTAAATTTTTTAAATCTTTTCTCACGGGCCAACAACAAAATAAAAATATAATTTTATCTTAAATGAAAATGCAACATCTCACCTGTTAGCTTTCATGTTTTGGAGCAGAAAAAGAGCATAAAACCAACATATTTAAAGCTCAGTTTGCTCCACTGGTTTACTGTGATGCTCACCTGTTCCAGCCAGATACCTGCATCATGGGGTTGATCTGAGCTGAGGAGGAGACTGTTGTTTTGTTCATCTCCATCATAATAACGACAACATTAGATGACAACAGGTGCTCACATAGGTTTGTGCTGATGAACATGTCTGAGCAGCTTGACCACGTTGTTGTGTGTCGGGGAGGAAACACGACAGCAACCACAGAGTCGTGCTGGTTTGAGCGTGTCGCTGTTCGCTGGAGTTATATCAGCTCTGTCTGGACGTTAGTTGAAAAACTTTCTCTTTCAGTCGTGAACACATTACTGAGCATCTAGAATCTCCGTTTCTGGGCTTCAACGTCAGAAAATAGCTGAGTGAACTCGGCGCTGAGTGAGAGGAGTGTAGTTTGTCCGAGACAGCGGAGCTGCAGACACCGGCAGCAGACGCTGGAAAAAACACAAAGGAGGGGGCGCGTCTGCTCCGCGCTGACCCCGCAAAGCATCATGGGAGTTGAAGTCTTTGCGGTAAAATCGGCCAGCGGGCCAGTTTTAATATATTTTTGATATTTATCTCGTGGGCCACATAAAAATGCTCCGCGGGCCGCATCTGGCCCACGGGCCTTGAGTCTGACATATGTGCTCTAAATTGTCCTTAGGTGTAGGTGAGTATGTGACTAGTTGTTTGTCTCTGTGTGTCCTAATGGACTAGAGACGTGTTCAGGGTGTCTCTCTACCTCTTTCCACCAGACTTGAAACTGGCATGTAGTGTAATGGAGGCTTTTTTTTTTGTGAGCTCCCTTCCAACCGTGAGCATTTCGGATGCGAAATGAAAGCGGAAGCAGTAACGGCACACATGATTTCTGCAATAACGGCTGCATGTTTGCAAAAAAGTCTGTAGTTTATTTTCTGTTCCGTTTGCCTCGGCTATGGAGGTTTCACAGGAAACAATGTATGTATTTTACTAGTTAAGTAACTGAAAATCTGCATGTCACTTTTATTTTGAAAGTTTCCAAATGTTTCACACTGCTTTTGTGTTTGACTCCATTTCTGGTCCTGTCGGAACTGCCTAGTTTGATGTGTTTTGGAAGCGTAGAGTGTAAGAAATAGACTCAAAACGTAATCAACATGTCCTTTCAAGTCTGGGACACTTTTAAACCTTTGCAGCCGGCGGAAAGGAACCCATCCACTCTAACGGCCGTTTCAGACGCTTTTGCGTCCGATGGAAAGGAAGGGTGAGGGTGAGGATGAAGCAGTTCCAAAAATGGATGGATGGATGTTTTAATCACTAGTGAACAGCTCCTCCCCCTGCTGACAAAAATCAATACCTGCAATCTCCTTAAAATGTGAACTCCAGATTATATTTTCTAATCTAATCTCATGTTACATTATCATGATTTCATTATTGATCAAAACAAATGGATTCCATTTATATAGCACTTTACAAAGTCCCAAAGTAATTATGATTATCTTTTTTTTTTCATTATAAAATTACAAGTGAGAAATATTATTTTACTATAGGGTACTAGGCTTGGGCGGTATCCCTCTTGCTTCCTCCACATTTCACCAAGGTGTACGGTATTACCGGGACTAATTGAAAAATGATGACGTAAGCCTTAATTGGAATTCCCAACTGTTCCAGGTCCGATGGGCCACGCGTCTTTTGCTGTCATCGTTTGTTTGCATGCATTACCTCATCGGTGTTTACCGGCTCTCCTTTTAAGTTTTCTTCAAACCCAAAACACTCCCACACTGCAGAAGTTGCTGGTACGCGAGCTGCCATTTCTCTCTCGGTGAACAGTCTCTAAAATTTAAACTAAGTAAAACAGAAATTCAACCACGTATCCTTTTTATACATTAAATGACCTTTATTTATATTTTTAATTAACTTTTTAAATCCTTGTCTCCTATGTGCAGTTTTTTTTATGACTGTATTGGAACTGACACTTTTAATCCCAGCTGTATATGGTAATACGGTAATGCCACCCAAGCCTGATATAGGGCTGATATGGTATGTTTGGGTTTTAGGATGATTAAATGCACTCTGCTGCAGACCAACCAGTGTGCTGACACTGGTGCTCTCCAGTCCAGCGTTGTAGCTGCTGATGTTAACAACATTGATGGAATGCAAAAAGCTGTCCGCTGACATCATTGATGAAACACTTTGACTTTATAGATTCTGCCAGATCTAATCTTTGTAATGATGGAGAGAGAGCACACACACACACACACACACACACACACACACACACACACACACACACACACACACACACACACACACACACACACACACACACACACACACACACACACACACACACACACACACACACACACAAACACACACACACACACACACATGCATCATACAGCAGATGCAGCTCGGGTTGAGGCCCAGTGTTCAGGTGTTTCTTACTCACTGTTTTATTATTATGCAAATATCTCACAGTAATATCCATTTTCTCTCTCAGGCACTTTGATGAGGGGCTGTATCGATGGCTCATCAGGTAAGAGCCTCTTCATGAGCAGTGGACTGACTAATTCAGATGTTAATGCTTACTAAAAATGCTAAATGTTATCTAAATCGAATAATAGTTCTGTTTTTGTTGCCCTAAATGTTTGTAACACTTGTGCAACACATTTGTTGGTGTTGTTTCCTGCGGGATACCAAACTTGGCAGCCTGTAAAACCTTCAAAAGAGGTGCCGTTCTGTTGCTTCCGGCTTTCATCACAATAGACGACGCTGTGTCTGCATGCCGGCTTTCTCATGTTTATGAGGTTGCACATTGGTGGTGAATAGTTCTTCTGTTGCATCGCTGCCCCTGCACCGTGAAGAGATGCCTTCCCGTTTAATATGTGCACATGTAATTGGAGGATTATGTGTTTTCTCACTTGCATTTTGGACGAGAGCACGTTATTAGCTGGCTTTATTTTAATGATGTACAGTCTGCTGAGTGCAGCCTGTGGGGAGTTCATGATCTGCTTGTTAGATGCACGTTGCTACGTTAAAGCAACTCCTCAGTAGCATGGTTGTTAGAGAATGCACAATTACAATACATGTAACTGGTCCTTGTTGTGTTTATTGCTTGCTAATTAATGTTTACGTTGACAGAGTTTTGTGGTTTTTCTTCGGGAGTTTGACAGACAGCGAGACAGTGTTGACGTACATCTTTCCAGATGTAATAAAAGAATGCCTAGCTCACTGTTAAAGCAGCAGCTTAATCACAAAAGATCCATCACTTTAAATTGCAAATACAAGTTTCCATTTTTAGGCTCGGCCCGTTGGAAATTATTTTCTCCTCCTTAATAGCATCACTTGCAATTATCCTTCTGCAGATGCAAGATGATACCCACGACACAATACCCCGACTGTTCCTCCTCGGTAAAGTGCTTTTAAAGATGTTTTAATGCGGTTCCGAAATTCAGCCGATATTGTCTGAAGAGGGCTGGATGGGAGCGTAGGTGTTAATAGATGTGCTCAATATGACTCACTGACACCTCGTCTCTCCGGGCAGCTGAGAGGCCCGTTCTTTGCCATTCCATGACGCTTTTCAGTGCTGGTGCGCTGCAGCGTTTTCAGGTTCACTGTTTCACTCACGTTCACAAGAAGCCTACTTCTGTGTGATTGATTTAGTTATGGATGCTGTTTAGGAGGAGGAGCCTTTACTCCCACATCCTAACAATTATTAGGTCTATGTGGAGGGCATGTTGGGTTGGATGAACAACACAGACAAAACATATCCAACACAGTTTACACAGAAATCATTCACCTGTTAAATCAATTGTCCATACTTACTTTTTCGAGTGGCTGGGGAAAATTTTATTGTCCTAAAGTCAAGTACACAAATAAAATAAAAAACTTATTGACTAATTTTACCATTGATGGGCCTCATCTAAAAGCAATATATTAGAGATGCAACTCGATTAAAAAAAAATCTAATTGGAGGCTTTGTAATTAATTAATCTTGATTAATTACATTTTAATCTTTCAAGAAAATTTGCCCCGAAGCAGTTTTTAATTAAAAATAATGAGGCAGAGAATCAAACCATAGTTATGGACATTATTATTGAATACTCAAGGTCTTTCTAAAAATTTGCTTTTAAATTGTATTTCAATTCAAAACAGGAGGGGGAAATATATATATTTAAACACACACACACACACACACACACACACACACACACACACACACACACACACACACACACACACACACACCAGGGAGAATGATTATTTGACACATAAGCATTTTTATCAATAAGGACTTTTTTTAAGTGAGCTAGTGGCACAAAATTTGCACCGGATGTTGCCATTAAGCCAAATATTGAATTCATAAAAACAAATCAGAACATTTACGTAAACACATGTATGTATATATGTATATATATATATATATATATGTATACGTATGTATATATACATATATATATACATATGTAAATATTCTTCGAAGTATTCTGCCCACCGATCCACAACGTCCTGAGTAGAGGTCAGCAGCACACCGTCCCCACTATAGATAGTGATGGTAGCGCACTGCTTCCCCCCCGAGGCGCCGGATGGTGAACCAGAACCTCCTCGAAGCCGTACGGAAGTCTTGCTCCATGGTCTCACCGAACTCCTCCCATACCCGGGTTTTTGCCTTGGCGACCACCCGAGCCGCGTTCCGCTTGGACTGCCGGTACCCGTCAGCTGCCTCTGGAGTCCCACAGGCCAAAAAGACCTGATAGGACTCTTTCTTCAGCTTGACAGCATCCCTAACTGCCAGTGTCCACCAGCGGGTTCGGGGGTTGCCACCATGACAGGCACTGACGATCCTGCGACCACAGCTCCGGTCGGCCGCCTCAACAATGGAGGCACGGAACAGGGTCCATTCAGACTCAAATGTCCCCCGCCATCCCCGGGATTATTTTTTGAGTGTAACCAAACCAAAGCACATATTGAGGGATTGATTGCATTTACTGGACTGTTTAGTTTTATTACTCTCAACACTCTGCCAGCAAGTTTTCCACCCTCTATGTGAGGCAAATAGATGTTTCAGAATCCTGAATTAAAACGGTCACATTAAATAACATCTGTTTACACTTGTTTTATATCTAAATGTATCAGGTTTCCGAGTCGATCAGCTATCCGGTTTTCCCTGGCTTTGACACGCTCCATCTGTTTTTGAACCCACTTTCATCCTGCAGTACGGCCAGGCTGGCCACTCCATTTGAGGCTCAGAAAACGCTGTCTCATCTTTCACAAACATTGATTAGCCACAGGGAGGCTGAGATAATTAGTTTTCAGCTCAGCAGCGCTGCACACAACGAGATGTTTGTTGGAGTGATGTTTCGCGTTCAGACTCCGTCAGCACCTGAGGGGCGAACGAGGTTCTCACAGTATATGAAGCCATTTGTTAATGATTGGTGTTGCATTATTCACATCAAGTAGGCAATCCCGTGAGTGTTTGGCTGCTATTTTTATCCCACATACAATGTGGTGTCTCATGCATGAATAATGCCCTGTAGTTTTAAATCGATGTTTGATAAACAAGCTCACCATGAATTCTGTTGTTTTATCTGCATGTAGACCTTATCCAAGGGGAATAAAACATAATCAGCAGACTACAATAGAAAGCAACAACAACTTCATGTACGTTAGGATTTGCATGTGAATCTTAGTGTTTAGCAACTCCATATGCAGGACTTGTATTCCCCGAAGTGCTTCTATTCTTGCAGTGAACGTCAGAGCCACGTTTATTGTTATTTGATTAAAAGAAATGAATGAAAATTACATGATAATCGTCTTGTCTAGTGTTTCTTTTTTGCAATTCATCAGTGCAAGAGCCATTTTTAGCTGTTTTGTTTTACATCTGCACTAGTCACGGTCTCGACCCTTCTCTCAGACATTCATGTCTTTGATTTGTTTTAAAAAATGTTAGAAGTTTTTTTTTGTCTTACATCTACAATTTGAAGTTTTCCCCTCTTGGGAATTATGTAAAAAATCTTTTTTAGATGTCCATAAAAGTGATCATTTGTTCCTGTATTGTGATACATATACAATTTGAAGTTTTCCCCTCTTGGGAATTATGTAAAAAATCTTTTTTAGATGTCCATAAAAGTGATCATTTGTTCCTGTATTGTGATACATATACAATTTGAAGTTTTCCCCTCTTGGGAATTATGTAAAAAATCTTTTTTAGATGTCCATAAAAGTGATCATTTGTTCCTGTATTGTGATACAATGTAGGCAATATGTCATTTTCTTTGCTACGCCCAATCCCGTCCTGTAGAGTCCCTTGCATCTTTACCTGACCGCTGCTCAACATTAGCCAATAGCGTAAAGCCTAGGGCGCACCGGAGACAGACGAGCCACGCCATCATTTTAAATAGAAGCCTTTATAGTTAATGACAGTGGCTATACGGGGAGCGCCAAGTCCCAGAAAAGAAAGAAAGAAAACGATCTTTTATATAGCGCCTCTCAAGATAAAAAATCTCGAGGTGCTTCACAAAAAAATATTCAAGTATAACAAGATTTCAAAAAATGATTAAAAATGTGTTTAAAATGAGGGGAAAAATAATAATAAAAATTTAGATTAAAAAAATTATGTAAAAAAAGGGAGAGAGAAAATGAACAGGAAAGAGGGAAATCAGTGGATCGTGGGGAAAGGCAGAATAAGTAGCGCCGCGCTGAGGTGCTGAAGTTAGGAGCTAGTTCTATTTCAAGCACCGCGACTACAACATTGTGGAGCACTTTACATCAGACATTATGATGAGGAACGGCTTTACGGCACAAACCCAGCCACAGTTTTTATAACTTTAAAGTACTATTGATCTTAAAATATTCTAATAAATAGCATACTTACCAATTTTTAATGACTTACAGTCCGCAACACGACAGCAAGTCTGACCACGTATAAACAATACAGTCGCTTCCTGTTCTCAAGTCGCACGACTTTCCAAGCAGCGCTCAGCGGCGCGTCCCGTGTGACCATTTAACTCCCCAAATTTGCAGCGTGGTGCGTCTGTCTGCGGTATGCCCCAGGCTTTAGACGTCCGCTCTGACGATAGCGAGGCTGCTGTTCACAGGCGCCACCAGTCCCTCCGACCACCACCAGCAGGCAACGTGGGTTAAGTGTCTTGCCTAAGGACACAGCGACAGAGTGTGGGTCTCGATCATTCGACCCTGTAGTTACAAGACGGGCACTTAAATTCTCTGCCACCTTCGTCCACCGATGGTGCCGTCAAATAAAAAAAAACTACATATTTCTGCTTTAATGAGGCTGAATGCTTTTTAATGACTTGTTTCAGGTACATCTACATCCCACTGGGTGGTTCCCGACATGGACCTCTTTGCAAAACCTTGTCCACTGGCCTCGCATTTGGATTTGTCTGCTTCTGGCACGGTGGCCATGACTACTTGCGGTACTGGGCTCTGATGAACTGGGCTGGAGTTCTGGTGGAAAATGGACTGAAATCTCTCTTTGCTACAGCTTGTGTTCGCTCTGTAATTGTAAGTTTGAAATCGAGGCATTTAACTCCAAGCGTGTGAAAATATCAGGCTGGAGGAGATTAAAAATCTCCAGTTATTTGAGATGTGAGGGGACCATTATCTTTCTTGTAGCCAGATTTAAGTAATGTAAGTCATGTAATCGGATTTAATAAGAGGTTGTGTGTTGATTAGCTACACAAAGTACAGACGGCAGACAAACCCATTGGGCCCCATCTAATCGGCGTGTGCAGCGAGTGCTTAACGTTAGTGGGAGCAGTTAACAACAGTTTCTTTTGCTTCTTCCACTGGGAAACTCTTCGTTCTCAAAATAGTGCTAAAGTCTGCTGGCATGGTGTGTAATGCTCCTAGTTTGTGGTCACACGCTTCATTAGTTTTAGTGTCTGTGTTCTTTCTCAGATTGAAAATGACAATTTCTTGTGGTTTTATTTATTCCTTCATTTTCCCAGGAGCATAATTTCTCCACGGCAATGCAAAGACGTTGCGTCGCCCTTCTCTCTGCCTTCTCCACTGCTATGCTCATCCTGTCTAATCTGGTGTTCCTTGGGGGGATACATGTTGGCAGAATCTTCTGGAAGCGTGTCTTTGTTCAAGGTAAATTGCCCTCCACAGGAATTGTACCTGTTTTTCTTTTCCTGGATTGTTTCAGACATGCTTGTTTTGAGTTTTATAACACGGTTTATCTATCGTAGATGCATTTATGCATTATGTTAAAAACGACAATCAGGCACAGGCCTGCTTTAATCTACACGTGAATAAAGCCATGCTTATCACATAATAAATTATTTAAAATGCAGCTGTTTAGTCGGTCTATTATTAGCATCCATGCAGATGCACAAAATAGCCTCCTGCTATTTTGTGCATCTGCATGGCTAAATTAGACCTGAAACAATTAAAACCCATGAATGTTGGAGAGGCACATCTGCTTCATGTTTGTGCCAGTGCCTGTTTGGCTCCCTGTTGCTTTATTTGGCTCATTTGATACCTAAAGCAATATGGCAGGAGCTCCTGCAGCCTGTCCACTTATGATAAGCAGTCTGATCTGCACTCGTGTTGAGCTGGAAGCTGAGTTATAATTCAGCCTTACCCTTGACGCATATAACTCTCAACAAGAACTAGGTAACAGTCTAAAACAGGTTATTAGCACCACTGTCTGGTTTGAAGGAAAAGCCTTAGATTTATTGTGATTTTCTCTGCATAAAAATATTTTAACTAAGATTTCTTTTTAAAGTAACAATAGATTTTTTTTTACTTTAAACTAGAGTTTTAACATTGATCTCAGTGATTGTTGAGTTAGAAGCTTGATCAGTTTCATATTTGACATGACTCTACAACCCTCTGCTCACCATTAGCCTCACTTGATAGTTTTGTGGAGTGGGTGGGTGTAGGAAGGGCAGGTGTATTTGCTTTACAGCTGTTAATATGTATGCTAGCTGTTAGCATTTTCCATTTGCTGACTGTCAATTTGCTGACTGTCAAAAGAAGATATTTGCTATTTTTTTATTGGCATCATGGTGGAGCCTGTAAGCAAAAGTAAATAATGTCTTTGGAGGAGAAGCAAAGCGCTAAAACCAGAGTGAACATCAGTGTGGCCTATACTAGTTTGAGGTAGGTAAAGAAGGCTACAAAATCATGGACTGATGGTGACCTGGCTTTGTTGCTACTGGACTTCTAAGTAATAATATTTATTGTCCAACGGCGTGGATCATTTTACTTTGGGATTTGTTTTAGTATTAGTTGGCTCATGCTGGTGTTAGCTCGTTGTTGGCGCTAGCTACAGCAGGGTTTTTGCAACTGTTGTAATTCCACTTTCAACCAGTAGGGCGGAGGAGCAGGAAAATGCGCTGTTTTACTTTAAGTCATCAAATTAAGTCATAAAATTACGGCATTGCAGCTATTTTTGTCTTTAAAATAATCTTATGTGACATCTTATTTTTTAGTGCTCAAAGTATTTGTGATCATCTTTACGTCAACAAATTTGAGGTCAATATCAGTAAAATCAGCTAAGTCAAAGTCATGTTTACGTTTGCTCACTCTGATTTGCTGTAATGGCCATCTTTAATCGAGTAAAGGTTTATCAGTTGTAGGTGGACACTCGATGATTGCTCTCTGAAGTTTTCAACAAGATTTCTCTAATCATTGATGAGATACTTTGCTACAACTAAAGACATGAGTGCGCACGCACACACTCATTGCTAAACATGTGGGAGCCTGTCATTGACTTCCATTCATTTTAGTGACTGCATTATACAGCCAATACTGGTCTAACCTTAATCCTGACTAAAAGTAAAGTCACACCATACTTGGTTTATTTCATAGTGGGGCCAGCCAAATGTCCACACTTTGCAGGTTTAATGCGAAAAAATGTCTCTGAAATGTAGTACAAATAAATTACACACACACACACACACACACACACACACACACACACACACACACACTCATCTCATTGACTTGTCACAGACACGTTGATACTTAGTTGCATTAAACACTCTTTTTATTTCCTCTTTTCCTCTTGTGATCAGGTAAATCCTAATTCTGATTTTTGTAGCAGAGTGAGTGTGAGCATGCTTTTTCCAACAATATGGGGAAAAATTGAGCAGAACTGATGCAGGTCGTACCCCAGTCACCGGTTAAGCTGTAATGCGACAGTAAAACTGTAGCTGGATGCCTGGAGGGCAGACAGGAAATGGTGCATAACATTTAGCTCCTTCTAGCAGCCCTGACCTCTTTTGAACGCTCAATTTCTATAGGCTAAGTGGGAAAAAATAACCCTAAAAATAAGACCAGGGTGTTTAGAAATACCAATTATCTTATGAATTATTCAGAGCAAATGCTGGAAATTAAATGGAGGATCTCAGTTTCACTTTATTTTATACATTTAGGAAGATTCAAGCAAACTATTTAAACACTGAAATAGACAAATGGCTGCCTGATGCATGCTTAAAATGATCTCAAATAGGTGATTTAACAAACTGCATTATAAGCCTGCTGCTCCACTAATTGCTGGTGGGTTTTTCCCTTCTTTAAATGTAATGGATCTGCCAGAATTGCCTTGGGTCGCTTTGCATGCTCTCTCGTTTCTGCCCAACAGACCTTCAAAGAGACGCGGTTTCATTAACATGAGATCAATGTTTTTAAATCAGCTTGACTTGGATTTTCACTTGTTCTGGCAGTGGTGTAATTGCTCTCTGACCTCTCTGGGGAAGTCTGTAATTTTCTAGTCACACAACATGTCAGAGGTTGTATATGTACGTAGCTTATCTCCTTGGATCAAGTTCCTCTGTACGGTCAGCACATGCTCCAGAAAGCCCAAAATGACTCTACAGCAGCATTTCTGCACAAACGAGAGCTGTTACATGCCATCCAGAGAGCAAAACAAATACTGAATTTCATGGTGTTGCAGCCAAAAGTTGTTGTGACAGCTCTTCTGCGTAAACCTCATGGTGACGGAAAAGATGAGCTGTGTGATTCATTCTCTGGATATTGTGACGGACCATACAGAATTTCATGGCAATCCATCAAGTAGTGTGTAGATAATCAAGTCTGGAGTGCTGTGATGCAGTGATACACTGATGGATGAACACCAGCAGCAAGATGTCACTCTTGTTTTCTGTTGTTTTTGACCAATAATGCGAGAGTGAGTGCGTGTGCGTGCATATGAGCCCCAGGTCTTAATGAAATAACAGTTTCTCACTTAGTTTGAGTCAGCAAAAAGTTAAAGTTAGAGGGTGTATGTCATGCAGCGCGGTAATGAAATGTTCATTCCTGCAAAGAGGAAGCGCTGAGACGTCTTGGCACAGTGTCAGGTTTTTGCTCATGATGCTTGCAGGGTTTCACACTTAACAGTGTGCAGCAGAAACACGTATTATATAAAATGTGGCTGTAGCAATTACACCTGTTATTAATTAAATTAGTAAATAATGTATTCCTTGAAGGAATGAATCCCAGAGCTTTAAACTAGAGTGAGAAATGATGGTGTTCTAGCTTTTTTTGGGTCAAGTCTTTAAAATAATTGTATCTGATTTTGCAATGGTTTTGTCGCACCAACTTTTAGCTCAATATCTGTAACACTGACGGAGTTGGAGCCTTCTTATTTATTTATTTATTTATTTGCTAAAATGAGCTGTGGCGGTGTCGGTATAAGATCTGCTCGGGTGCAAGATCGGCTCGGGGTCCGTCGACTGCCGATGACGTCAAAGTAGTTGATTGGCTGAACATGAACCTTACGGAATTACATAATCACGTTACGTTGTTATCACGTTACGTTGGTCCAGGCAAATCTTTCTGTTGGAAAGATGGACAACTTTTACAAAGAAATCCATCATTACCTCTTTGAAAATACACTTTTAGCATAGAGCTGCATGTATATTAGGGCTGAACGATTAACTGCATGTGCGATTAAATTGCGATGTGACAAAAGGAGATTTTCTAATCGCAAAGGCTGCAATTTGGCAGCCAGTGGTTAGCGCAATGCTAATATACGTGGAAAAACCCATAGGAATGCTAATGCTAATATCACCGATTACATTCTTACAAATTATGAATTAGAAACGTGCCAGATGATTACATTTGGAGTCTAATAGAAAGTAAAACTACCATCAATCAAATAAGTACAGACAGGTATTTTAGTAAAGCCAGAAAACTTTTAACTCCAGAGTTTTGGCTAGCAGCTATGAGCGTACCTGAACTACGCATGGACAAGACGTAAAAAAAACTAAACACAAAATACTTCAATAAACGGGACACACTTCTTTCCTGCAAATACAATTTCACATGTTGCTAATACCTATGATCCTTCAAGAGATGTGCTCAAAGAGGAGCTCAACATGAATCAAATATAGTGTTTTATTTTACAAATACTATTATAAACACAAACTTACGTCGTAAGAAACATTATTTTAATAACGAAACTGCTAAATTCTTTCCAGCAGTATAGATGTGTAGTGTATTTTGTCCGAGTGGGTTTGCCGTACTTTGACGTCATCGGCAGTCGAAGGACCCCGAGCCGATCTTGCACCCGAGCAGATCTTGTACCGACAGCGGCTCTCTTCAACAAGGTGTACTTTAAGTTAATCAATTGTACATCTAGAGAGTACTTTAGGAGCGCTCCATCCAGTGGTTCATGAAATCCTTTTTCTTACGAACACGAGCAAAAACATTAGCACCAGTGGTCCACTGATATTGTTTCTTTCTATTGCTGACGCCGATGCCGAGATTTAGGAGACGTGGTCAGCTGATATGTTCTGCAGATTTTTATGGGCGGTTTCTAGACATTTTCCACTTTATTTTCATGCTAAAATGTCATAAGTAACATTAGTTGATGCACAAAACGTCTGAAGTTGAATACGTTTTTAAACTCTGAATTTAACTATTAAATCTTGATTTGTTCACTGCTTCATGTTGAAGTCAGAAACCCCAAATAAAGTAAATTTAGAGTATATATTATGCATATGTTATTAGTGAACGTAAAAATACATTCTAATTAAAGTCTGCAACAGCACCAGGCTGCCCGAGGATGTGCCTGACTTAAAATTGGCTTTACTGAGGACAAATATCGGCCAACCGATAAATCAGTGAACCCCTAATCAGTACCTGCCTTTCACCTTTTTTCACCAGGCTATCAACATGCTATCAAAAGCCACAATAAATATATGTAGCTCCAAGATTTTACGTTGTACATTCTGGTCTGCAGGAAAGAAAAAGAAAATTCACCCATGTATAAATAAGCCAGGGCGTATGTGTAATACATTTTGACATGAATAGAGAAGAATAGACTATTGGAAAGCATCGTGGCTGCAGGTGCAGGCTACCGAGATAATTTGCAGGCAGATCGGTTTGAGGGGAGGCACAGACGGCTGCCCTTACCTGCCTGCTCTCGACCCTTGAAGTAGCAGCTTTAAATAGCCACAAAGAAAATTATTTCAGGAAACTACAGTGGGGCAAAAAAGTATTTAGTCAGCCACCGATTGTGCAAGTTCTCCCACTTAAAATGATGACAGAGGTCAGTAATTTACATCATAGGTACACTTCAACTGTGAGAGACAGAATGTGAAAAAAAATCCATGAATTCACATGGCAGGATTTTTAAAGAATTTATTTGTAAATCAGGGTGGAAAATAAGTATTTGGTCAATAACAAAAATTCAACTCAATACTTTGTAACATAACCTTTGTTGGCAATAACAGAGGCCAAACGATTACTATAGGTCTTTACCAGGTTTGCACACACAGTAGCTGGTATTTTGGCCCATTCCTCCATGCAGATCTTCTCGAGAGCAGTGATGTTTTGAGACTGTCGCCGAGCAACACTGACTTTCAACTCCCTCCACAGATTTTTTTATGGGGTTGAGGTCTGGAGACTGGCTAGGCCACTCCAGGACTTTCAAATGCTTCTTACGGAGCCACTCCTTTGTTGCCCAGGCGGTGTGTTTGGGATCATTGTCGTGTTGGAAGACCCAGCCACGTTTCATCTTCAAAGCTCTCACTGATGGAAGGAGGTTTTGGCTCAGAATCTCACGATACATGGCCCCATTCATTCTGTCCTTAACACGGATCAGTCGTCCTGTCCCCTTAGCAGAAAAACAGCCCCAAAGCATGATGTTCCCACCCCCATGCTTCACAGTAGGTATGGTGTTCTTGGGATGCAACTCAGTATTCTTCTTCCTCCAAACACGACGAGTTGAGTTTATACCAAAAAGTTCTACTTTGGTTTCATCTGACCACATGACATTCTCCCAATCCTCTGCTGTATCATCCATGTGCTCTCTGGCAAACTTCAGACGGGCCTGGACATGCACTGGCTTCAGCAGCAGAACACGTCTGGCACTGCAGGATTTGATTCCCTGCCGTTGTAGTGTGTTACTGATGGTGACCTTTGTTACTGTGGTCCCAGCTCTCTGCAGATCATTCACCAGGTCCCCCCGTGTGGTTCTGGGATTCTTGCTCACCGTTCTCATGATCATTTTGACCCCACGGGATGAGATCTTGCGTGGAGCCCCAGATCGAGGGAGATTATCAGTGGTCTTGTATGTCTTCCATTTTCTGATAATTGCTCCCACAGTTGATTTTTTCACACCAAGCTGCTTGCCTATTGTAGATTCACTCTTCCCAGTCTGGTGCAGGTCTACAATTCTTTTCCTGGTGTCCTTCGAAAGCTCTTTGGTCTTGGCCATAGTGGAGTTTGGAGTCTGATTGTTTGAGGCTGTGGACAGGTGTCTTTTATACAGACAATGTGTTCAAACAGGTGCCACTAATACAGGTAACGAGTGGAGGACAGAAAAGCTTCTTAAAGAAGATGTTACAGGTCTGTGAGAACCAGAGATTTTCCTTGTTTGAAGTGACCAAATACTTATTTTCCACCCTGATTTACAAATAAATTCTTTAAAAATCCTACCATATGAATTCATGGATTTTTTTTCACATTCTGTCTCTCACAGTTGAAGTGTATCTATGTTGTAAATTACTGACCTCTGTCATCATTTTAAGTGGGAGAACTTGCACAATCGGTAGCTGACTAAATAATTTTTTTGCCCCACTGTATAAAACAGACCAGATCTTCACCATTAAAACGCAGCTGTATGTATCTTTAGCAACTTCGATTTTTAAATTAATGCTAATTTAATTGTCATTTTAAGGTGGAGTGTGTGATGTTTTTCTTGCCACTTTTTGAATATACACAGTTCACAGTTTTATAGGTTCAAACGTCTTTTGTTGTCCGTGACTCACAATGATGTTTTTCTTTTTGGGACGCTGGTAGTTTGTCCTAAAGTTGAAGTGGTAGCAGCCAGCTAGCATAACGCTCCTATGGAACCGTATGACAATTTATTATGCTAGCTAGTATAATTTAGTGTTTTTATGGTGAAAAACTGGGTAATTTTCTGGTTTTTGGGTGTATTCTTAACTTCTAAAACACAGCAGCTAAGTCCTAGCCTAGAAATCTGGATGAACAGCTGCAGAAGCTAGACGAACAGCTGCAGAAGCTAAATGATTTTGCTCTGCATGCTGGTGTAACCACGCTCTGTAGAAGCCTCCGCAGGCCTGGCATTGACCTGAGCAGCATTGTGTTATGCCAATAACAGCACTCTATCTGATTGGTGGGCAGGATGATGCGACAGAACAATATGGCGGCAGCGCATTAGAAACTTTGGACTATTTAGATTTGGGCTTTTCTTTCAGTCAAGAACAGATAAAGGTACGTAAGTTTATTTAGAAAAAAGATGCATTCCCGTCTTCTTTGACAGAGTATGGCAGAACGCCCCATAGTGGTGAGTACGTCAAGTTGTTCATTGTCCAATAGCATGCGGAGACAGTTTGAAAGACTCCGCTCTACCACTGAGCTCTGTCTATGGGTTGTGGCCAGATTATATTTTTACATATAGCTTGCCAGGCTAGCTGAGGGCTCACAATCTGGGGAAACCCCATGAACAACAGGTCAAACTTCCTCAGTCACAGTGATTGAGTCAGGTTACAGAAGCCATTAAAATCATTCCTTTTTTGACAAAACATTTAATTTATTGGTTGCCGTCAGTATGTGAAGAGCATTATAGGCAAAATGGCTAAAAAAGGCTCCAGAAACACATCCCCAACTGCACTTTTCATTATGCTTCAAACACTTCAAACTGATGAGTGTGTTGTTTTCTTGCTGTTTCAGGTTGGTCTACCATTGCCCCACCCATGCTGGTTTTCCTGTACTGCTTTGCTCAGGTTGGACTTGAGTGGACTTCTCACCCACCATGAGTCACCTTGACTTTGTATCAAGGTGAGAATCCCTGCCACCGGACAAACGGAACAACCTGCTTGGCTGCAGCGCATCAAACCTCACCAGCTGGAGCCTCCGATGCCAGCCTGGCTCACAGCCATCAAAGTCTCCAAATTTGCCTGAAGCTCAGCTGCTTTCCACAACTTGCAGGGCTGCACAAAATCTGTCTGTAAGCCCATACTTCAGGTGGAAGTTTGATTTATTTATTTTTTGTCCTGGAGAACAAAAGTCATTAAATGAGTAAAGAAGTGCTGCATCTCTAGACAGCAGTCACGAGTAGGCTCCATTAATGAACTTTTATTCTTTGAAACTGTAAAACAAAATGTGGACTAAGGGTTTCTATGGCTCTGATAAGACATTGCTCAGTGATGCAATTAACTGGAGAAATGTTTTGTTTACTGCTTTCATTTAGCTCGCCACTAAAGTTGTTATGCACTCAGAGCGTCGCGTAGAAGACGGCATCAGAAAGACGAAAAGTGTTGTTACCTTTATGAATGAACAAATATCAGAAATCTAGAAAAACAGTACCTTTTTATTACATAAAATATTCTGTTTTAAGTAATATTTAGCATTAAAAACCTGTTATCGTGTTATCATTTCAGTAGTTGTATCATCAGTAAAGATTTAGCTTTTTAAACAGTTCTGAATAACCTGATTTGCATGAATAAAAGCTTTTAAATCCAAATTACTCACATGTGCCATGTGTTCTTCGTGATATGACCCTCCTCTTTCTTCAGCCGTGTTTCCACTGTGGGAGATAAGTGACCAGGAGATACGATGGGTCTGTCCTCTCGGCTGCTGTCTCCGTATGGACTTTGCTAAGACGTCTGTATATCGCGACTGCTTCTGCTGTGAATGATGTCACTCATCAGTACCAAAAGGAGTCCAGACATTTATGCAATTCTGTCAAAATCATTAATTTAATACATCCAGGGAACCGGGAGTGCAGTTGTGTGTTGTAAAATGCAGCATTTCTCTTACCAGAAGAAGCGTCGTCTTTTACGGCGCTCTGTGAGACAACAAAGCGCCGTGAATTATGGCGTTGCCCGAGGGATCGCAATTTTCAGTGTTGGGTGTTTTAGAGACGGCTATTTCAAAACTGGGTCGACGCCTCTTCACCAACTCTTCCAGATTTATAAATGCTGGTTGTATGGCAGCGTCAACTGATGGCATTTCCTACTCAACACATCCTGAGCTCTTTTAAAGGCGTCTCCCACCATCGTTATGCAGATGACATCCAACTGTACATCTCCTTTAAGCACCGTGAGATGTCTAAGCTGCAGCTGCTACACCTGTTTAGACTATTAAAACCTGGATGGCTGGGAACTTTCTACAGCTGAATGAAGATAAGACTGAGATCCTCCTGAAAACTCACCTGTTCAGGCTGGCTTTGATGTGGCCTTCATTACCACTCTCTCCTTATTCAGCACTTTCTGCCTATTCCGCCTTTCCCGGGATCCAATGATTTCCCTCTTTCCTATTAATTTTCGCTTTCCCTTTTCTCGCATTTTTTCATCAACATTTTTTTTTCTCATTTTAATCATCATTTTTTTTCTCATTTTAATATTTTTTTACCTTAAAAAAATTATTTTTCATGTCTAAAATGTTTGTTCTTGTGAAGCACCTCGTGACGCTATATAAAATATTGTTTTCTTTCTTTCTTTCTTACGTAGTTACAAGCAACCAGCATGAGGTAACCTTAATTCCCACCCAGTGACTCTACCAGGCCTTTTACCGAGTACATTCCCCAGTGCATGTGCTCCGTTGTTCCCTGAAATGGGCCATGGAGTCACAAACATGTCCTGAAGGTTCGGTAAAATGATCCAGAAGCTCTGATGGTGGAAACGGGCCTATAATAAGAAACTGTTTCATTAAAGTCATCTTTGTCCTGCTTTTCTGAGTTTAGAGATTTCAACATGTCAAATACATTCTCACCCTTGTGTTATTTATGTAGCGCAGTAAATAAAGCTGTGAGATTCGGGCTTCAGGAGGATTAGTGGGTTTCATGTCAGACTTGTTTACATAAATATAACCAATGACAATCTGTTATTTGTCTTTAAATAAAAGCCATTCTGTCTGCACACCATTCAAGTTTGCTGTCTTCTGTTCTGCCTCAGGTGCTTCCATTAGCTTGATTTCTTTCTTTGGGATTATCACATCTGTGGTTGGATCAGCGTCAGCGTTGGGGGGTGGGTCAGTGAAGAATCCTCTTAAATGAGCACAAAAGTGTGAGGTTTATCTGACATAAGAAGATCAGCTGGAGAAAACCCCTGCTCTGGTTACAGCTTCTTAAGAGACGAGTCCTGCCCGCAAGGTGAGCTGCAAAAAAATAAAAAATAAAGCCCCAAAATGACCAACACGGCACGAATCCCTCAGGGAAAAGAGACATGAAGCTGTATGTATAAAATATTTATTCTGAAGAGCACAGTATGTCACATTTCATAACAAAGAGTTCCCATTGTGCTTGAAATAGTACATTTCTCACTACAGGACTTGTGAACGGAGGGATGTGCATAATACAAACATCAAATTCAAACATATCTCTTTATCTTAACATTGCTTTCTAACTTGTGCATATTTACGTGTTGGTTTCTGTGGGTAGAGGCAGCTCTTCTACAGCTGACCACAAAAATAGAACTTCGTTCAAATTGTAGTTTTTGGATTTTGAGCACTGCTTTACTTTCTGCAGGCTGAGGGGGAGGGGGTTATGAAGGCACAAGTTTGCATGCTTCAGAGTCACGATCACTGATAATGACTGCAGTAATGTGAGGGTTAATGAGTGGAATTAGTGCAGTAGCTTAAGGTTTTAAGCATTTTAAAAGAGACGTTAAAACACAGCTACATATTGCTCTCAGGGATCTGAATTTTCTTGTGAATTTCAGCCCGTTTTAGTATATTTATTACCTTGAATCGGGATGTTTTAAAATGCACAAGTCTTGACTGTTGGAAAGCTTTCAAGCAGTGGCACAATCTGATTTGTAAAAAAGTAAATAATGAAATTTGCATGCTCTAATGTTCCCAACAAAACCAAAAGCTTAACCGATTGAATTCTAACAAAACATAGCAGCATAACGAACACGGAGGACGCACTTAAGAGTCTGAGTTTGTGTCGTTTAAAATAAAAGCTTCAAAAATACTTTACAGATATCAGCTGTTCCATTCATGTGTCGTTGGTGAAACAAGAGAGTTTAATCAAAGCTTCATCATGAGTAAATTCAAAGAGCATTTTACGAATCTTAAAATCCAACAAATCTTCAGTTGTAAAACTATATCTGCTCTTTGTTGGATTAGAACAAAAGTTGTTAATAAAAGTCAGTGCAGGTTATTTTTGTTTGTTTTCGCTTAAACTTCTGTGACATTCAGAGATTTACAGTTTCCACTTGAGGTTAAATTTTAAAGCTGCTTTAGTTTGAACACGATCTACACGACTACAATCCAACTATAACATGATTCATTTACAGTTTTACCACCAAAGCGATCAATAAAGACAAGATGAATTTAATAGAGGGAACAAAATGTCACACTGTTGGCTAGATATGAAGAGGAAAACGATTTGAATTGTGCTGATTTGGTGCTTAGCACAGTGACCGTGGCCCGTGGCGGATGTCTAATCCAGTTTTCCTTCTGTAGTGTTGCATAGTTAGTTGGATTTTATCGGTATGTTGGATCTAGATTATTGACGTGCTGAGAGGCCGAACTTCTTCACCAGAGGAATCAACCTTGAAGAAAATCCAATGAAATCAAAGAGTGAAGAATGGCAGCAGTTGGAGGCATTGATTTTTAAAAGGAGATCTTTTCAGAGGGGCTGATTAGACACAAGTTAACTTTATTTCATCAGCTGAGCGGACTCAACACGCTCCCGCTTTGCAGTAATTGTAGTGAGAGGCAGAAATAACTTGAGAAATGTTATGGTTTAAACTATAACTGGATGTTTTTTCACTGGATTAGTGAAAGTTGTCATTTAGTAATTACCATGTAAGTACTTAGTAATTAGGGCACTGTAAAATGAAGAGTTAACAATAATTCTATACTCTCACAGGACATCAGTTTCTGCCCAGTCTGTCATTTTTATTAGGGATGTCCGATTTCACCAGTCTACCAATATAATCGGCTGATACTGGCCAGAAAATGTAATATCGGAAATCATCAGGATCGGTTTTTACTCATTTAATGACGCAACTTTTACATACCATGCACATATTATACATCAAACCTTTCATCTACCTCTCCGCTCTTTCAAAATGTCAAAATATGGCAGATCCAATGTTTAATTTGTGAGCTATTTCAACTGGCCTAACTTAAATTGAAGTAGTTGTCCTGTTTTGCACAAATTATGTTTAAAGTTTAGCATGATAGAAGATAATGTGATGTAAGTTACCTAAAATATGTTCTTTGTTGAGGGGAAGGACCCCACATATATTGGTATCAGACTATGTTAGTGAAAAAGCCAATATTGAACATCCCATATTTTTAAAGAGCAAGCCCCCCCATCCCCCAATTCTGACACCACCCACAGTTCCTCTTTGCTCCACAGTGAGGTGCTGCCTGGTGGACCAAGAGGACACCCACACCTCCACTTGGAGATTAGCTATTGAGCCGCTATTAGACACATACATCCTGCTTGGACGGAGACACAGCAGCATACTTCCTAGTCTGGAGGATCTTGCTACACCTCCTTCACCAGAGGAAAGATTTTTGGAGTACATGAGCGCTCCTGAAGCTTAATGTATACGTCTCCGTCAGTATGGAGACATGCAATGCCATAACGCGTCTGCACAAGAGCTTTCTGACAGGCTTGCAGAGGGTGACAGAGACATGCCCAATTTTGTATCTATCCATCACAAGTAGAAGAAGAAAAGGTCATTTCTATAGCGCTTCTCAAGATAAAAATCATGAGGCGCTTCAAGTGACAGAGACCACAACGTTGTGGTTGGTCCCGACACCTCTTCCTTCAACAGCACCGCCATTGCCCCCTCAAAAAATAAAAAGATATTCAGGGGCAGACCCGGAACAGATTGAAGAGCGCCTTGTGAAAAAAGTCTGACAATATTAGTTTTATTTATTCCCCTGTGACTGAAGGGGTACAAAGGCACGGAGCAAGGGTTTTGTTCATTTACGGAAATGAGGAGAAACGTGAGTTTAAAGGGGCAGATCGCATGAAGAGGTGGAGGAGAATGAGGAACAATTTTGTTTATTTTAAAAAGCCTCTGAATTACATCAAAACTATGTAAACACAATCGTACATACACTGTCTTGGACTGGATACATAGCCATAATGGTGGCAGGGTACCCCAGAAATGTGTTACACCCTGTTGTCTGGGCGGGGAATAGCTGTGCAACTCTCCCCAGGTGATGGAGAAGAGAAAACATCTCCCTCAATTCATGTGCACGACTCCTCACTCAAGCTGACGGAGAAGTATAAATTAGGCTTGAGCCGTACCATTTCCTATCAGCCCGTGACATTCCCAAGGCCACTATGGCCGAGCCAGCCAGGAGCATGGCTGCTCCCGACGACAGTAGTGCAGCCACGTCACATGGTAACAGCTTATGCCACAGATCCCCGGTTAGCCAACAGAGATGGCAGATTCAAATTCAAATGTATTGCAGACTTTTAACCTGAAGAGGGTGTACACTGATGGATTTTATGCAGAATATTTGTATTTTAAGTAAAATGCACTAAAATACAAAAGAATGACTACAGATGTCCACAGTACTATTAGACACTTATTTATAGCTTATGGGGGTGACTTGCTCTTTAACCATAAAAGCTCCATATAATTATAGTCATAACACTTTTAGATATCCGAGGACTGGATAGATTCTCTCTGCCCTGACATAATCTCTCCACCCTTTCTGCATTCCTCAGCACTGACCTCCTTTGCGAGCTGCAACTTTATAAATTATCTGTGGTTTGAAACGAACTTTATGAGCCTTTTCTATCCCAATGGTAAAATTCTGATTAAAGTGCATCCAGAAAAAGAAATACATAACAAAATGCTGGTTCCAAACCAGACAAGCTCTCACTTCAGCGATGACATGCCCGCTTATTTATGCAGGCTGAATTTTTAATGGAAATGGAGGCAACGAAACCTCAGCATCTTTTTCCACTCAGCTCGTCTTTTTTGTCTGGTAAAAGAAAAAGCATGCAGGCAGCATAAACGATCCAAGTGAAGAATAAATATTATAGACTAGAGGGTGTGATTCTCTTCAAATGTCAATACACACTAAAGCGTGACCCATCAGATCTCCTGGTTTACTGGTTATTTGAATATGACTCTGCTGTAAATGCTGACAAATATAATACAATGATTCTGGTTACTACAATCCATACATTGGTGTTTATCTGCCAATAAAACTACATAGATTGACACATTTATCAAATATCATAAAATATTTTTGCTTTAGTTATTTTAAAGGTCATTGTTTAATCTTTTAGCACAAAATTTCACTTTTTACTCTAAAAATTGTATTGCTTGAGAGCAGAACTCATGAAATATTTCTTCATTTATCTAAAGTTGTGTTTCATTTATCACAAAGCTGCACTAAGAGATTTTGTTTCTCACTGAAGGGCAGAGAATAAATCTAGTAATACAGGTTTATTGAACTGAAGTGCAAATCTGATGTCAATTAAATTCATATTTATAGTTTCTTTAGAGTTTGTTGGTATAACCTTTAAGTATACCTCTCATTAAAGAGTCCTTGCTGAAGCTGAAACATGAAAAAAGCAACAAAATGGGTTCCTCTTAGATTTAAGATGCAGATTTGTGCGATCTGTTTGCATCTGGCAAAAGTTGCTTGTTAAAAAAAGCAAAACACATGTCAAATAAAATGTCATCACATGCAATGGCATCTAAAAATATGCTTCAATGAAAATTAAAGTTGTGAAAATTGCAGAATTGCAGCAAAATAAAAAATAACTCCCCTTTGATTAAATATTCTGTTCTGTTGCTTTCTAGATAAAAGTTCATGCCACCAACCCTGATTCTCTGATATGTACACAGGTTTTTAACCAGGAAATATAAATATGAGTAAATGTAAACATGCAACATTGTTGGCAAACAGGCTGAAAAAACTCACGCCTATAATTAGTGCTTTTTAAAATCCATCGTGCATGATTAGGTTTGCACTATTTTAGGGGGGAAAACAGGTTTTATTTCTATTTTACTCAGATTATCTGCATTTTGACTCCCTGGTTGAGGACATTTTACCTCAAAATGTCAACTTTTAAGCTTCTCCTCTTTTAGAGGACAGAATGATATATTATCATTCAGATGATATCTTATCAACAGATTTTCCAGAAATGGTTGTGAGGAACAAAAACTGCCAACGCTGACCTGCGCTAAAGGAAATGGTGCTGAATCTCTGAAGTCTTCTCAATGCTGGATAATTACGCAAAAGCAGAACTCCAGAGATAACATTCTGGACCTTGTTTCAGACAGAAAAGAAACTATGGCAAGATAAAAGATCATTTTTATATAAATAAGGCGGTTTTGTTGAAACTGTGAATCATGCAAAGCCATTCTGTTTGAATAAAAGCTGAGCAAACAAAAAATAAACATGAAAACATGCACAGGACCTACATTCAACAGAAAAGGTTTAAAGAGTTTGCAGATTACTTGGTTGTCGTGATCACCTTTAAATGAGCAGGCAAATATAAATATATGTATATATGTTATTTTAGACCAGTTATGCCAATGGGCAATCCTTGCTGTGCTCGTGAGTTGCAAAAGCAGGCAGGATGCAGTCATAAGAAGGATCATCTTTGCATAATCAAAGTATGATATGCATCCCCAAAGCTAGAATTACATACCCTCCATATAACAGTATACGATGCATGTGGTGAATGTGTTCACCAATTAAATTAAGAAACACCAGACTTCAAGAAAGATGGGTAGCTTCCTCACCATCGCCTCACTAGTTAGCATTTAAATTAATTTTCCGTGGAGCGCATCTATTAGCGGTTTATGAAAATTACATTGTAAGCTCTGCTCAAACAGGATTTTGGAAATCAGATTGCCTGGCCAGAGTTATGTGTTGTATAATTCATAATGATCCTGGCATATTTTAATAAGAGATGCGTTTGAGGAAATCACTCGGAGACGGTTTTAACTGTTCTTTTCCCCACTGTCAATGTGAAATAATGCAAATGACTCGCTGTGCGGCCTCAATTCATCAACTACTCCCCGTCTGCAATAAGAAGTACACATCTATTTCAAATGACATGCAAAGAATCTCTTACGAGTGATTCAATAATAAACCAGTGGGTCATGCTGCCTCCATTGGAGCCTCCCAACAGATATGACTCTGCAGTAAGATCTACTGTTAAGATAAAACCAGACTGAGAAAATTAGTTTTCCAACATAGCGCAGTGGAAAAATAAATTATGTACAAACATAGATCTGTCAGCCGTTACGTAACCTTCAAGTGTTCAGTGCTACAACACCAAAATCTTGGCTCTGACCTTGAATTGCCAACGGTTCCTCATTATCCGGCGGGTACGCCTTATTGTAAAGGCCGGTGAATCTCACAGGCCGCTCTGACACCTGATACAGAAGGTGCACCTTGTGCAGCCTCAGCTATCCCAGTAATCCCAGGATTACTGGATCCCAGCTGAGTTCACGGATCTCTTGTTACCTGAAGATTCTTCTGTCCTTCAAGAAAAGATGTCCTCTTTGTCCAGTTCTGGTGAACCAGGTCTAGAAATGTCAAAAAGAGGTTGCGGAGAGCCAGTGCTCGAATTCCTGGATTTGAGAAGCTTAAGTGCTTCTTCGAGTTGCGCCTCAAGGCCGGACATTCGAACGTTCAGGTTCTTAAGGTCATCCTTCAGCTCCAGTTTGAGCTCCTGAAGTGATGCCTGAAGAGTCTGCTCTGGGATGGGGTAGAAGGCATGCCTGGTTTCTGGAGGCTGGGCAGGACTGCGGTCCTGAGGAGTCATGCGGAACTCGCCCACTTTGTCCAGGCGTAGGTCACTTTTGGTGATACCGCTGTCACACGAGTCCGTCTTCTTTAGAGATGTTTGTGACTCGTGTACAGTGGTCCGCTCAGGTAAAGTTTCCATGGATTCTGCTTTAGACACCTTATTCCAATTGTCAGCTTTAGCCATCGACTCCTTGAAGCGACCCCAGCCTTTGACTTTGGCCGGCTCAGCAGGCCGAATTCCTGCCAGAGAAATGGGGGATGGCACCTGCAGCTTTGCGGTATCTGAGGGAAGGCAGCTGGGAGGTGTTGAAGGTGAAGGAACTGAAGATGAAGGTGTTGCTGGACTTTCTGTTACTGTGACGATGCTGGTGGTTGTGATGGCTGCTTTAGCCATGGGGATATCTACGTAGACTGGACCTTTCTCCACATCCTGTTCATCAGATTCTGGTTTCCCGGTTGCCATGCGGGCTTCCTTCTGCTGTCGAAAGCGTTGGAAGAGTTTTCGTACCGGGTGATCTGGTGGTAAGTTCAATGGGGCTTCGTTTTTACGCCGTTGTCGCTCCTCTTCCTCTCGTTTGACATCACTAATCTTCCTGAAGACAATCTGCAACATAAAATAAAAGTTTTATAAACGATAAATCTGACTGACATTGTTTATGTGAGCAAAAACCCCATGTCCACTATAGGTCTTCTGGGAATTTGCTGGTGACGGTGAAAATACGTTGACTCAGACATCTCAGCCGTTGTGTGTCCATACAAAACCGGATTTCAGGATTTTGCTAAGGTGTCTACATATCACAACCGCTTCAGTATTGAGTAACATCTCATCAGAGCCAAAAGGCATCCATTTATTCTGTCAGATGCCCATTAGTCAATAACATTGTTGTTTTTTCAGGCCAGCCCGGCGAAACGGACACCTGTGCTTGCCGTTAGGTCTGGTAAAATGACCCAGAAGTTCCGATAGTGAAAACAGACCTGAAGACTGTTTTGTTCATATGCTGGAAACCGTGTTGCAATGCAGATCTGCTATTGAAACTCATGCTAAAGTCAAGTAATCTACAATCTAGTTCAAGTAAACCATTATTGTGAAAATGTGTAGTTTTTACCATTAATCTCTGGAAACATCCTTCATAATGTGGTTGAAAGTGAATAAAATGATGCCCAGTGGCTATTATAACTGCAGATGCATTCACTTCCCCCACTAATAAACAAAACTATCCCTTTTAATTGAGCAACACCAGTACACCAGTTTTAGGGTCAATCTTACTGGCTGCAGCATTTGTGAGAGGAAGTATGTCAATATTTCAAAGTGTGTGTTCTTTGTAAATGTCACATTTAAAGAGGCCATTCCTCTAACACACTGAAAGTTCACATCAAGCCTCTGGCTTCAGCTGCTGAAGGAACACTGTATGCTTCCTACCCGGCTAATGGACAAATTTCAATTTAGAGCAAAAACACATTAAAAACACATTGTTATTTTTTCATTATTTTGTCTTTTTTCACAAGCTTGCCTTTCAATAATAAAAGCTTATGGAAACAAGATGACTATCCTAAAAATGTTCAATCAACATCTATTCACTGACGCTTTCAGAGCTTTCTCGTTCCACGAAACCTTAAAGATTGTTCGGTGAAAAACATGCAGTAAAAAAATTACAAAGTGGAAGAAGAAAGTACAAATTGCTTTTGCATGGGAATAAAGAAGCCTCCATCTAAGAAAAACCAGTGCACTAATGAATGCTGCTTGTTTGAAAGCTTTGTAAATGATACAACTGGATGGGATAGTTAAAAATACCACCACTACCACTGGTACCAACTGGCTAGAGAACGCCTGACTGATGCTGGATTTTTCAGAATGATGCAGAGAAATTCTTGTATCGTTCATTCTTTCTATTTTTGATTAAAAACCAATAATTCTAAAATGAAAAAAGACTATTTTTGTATTATAAATAATTTTTTATCAGATACAACAAACACAAAAAAGTCCTGTTTTTTTTTCAAACTTTCAACTTTAGTGTCTGATCAAAAATGTGAAATGGAAAAATGGGCCACAGGACCAAATTTGATTTTCAAAGGGTTGGGTTTACGTGGACAGGTGTTGGGCCAAAGAAGTCAGTCCTGCTAACCCTAACCCTAACCCTTTTCCATTTCGTATTTTTGATCAAAGTCTAAAAGGGAAAATAAGAAAAACAAGATTAAGACTTTTTTCTTTTTGTATCCGATTACAAAGCAAAGAATGAGTGATACTTGGATTCTAAGAATTCCAGTTGGAAAATTAGCAATTAGCTGACTTTTTTTTTTTTTTTTTTGCTTACTTGGAATAGAAAATAAAATCCTTTTTTAAACAGACACAATCAAGAATCCTTTATCATTACTTTAAACACATTGCATCTAATCTAATTTTGGTATTTCTTTTCTGAAAATTACTTTTATATCCTGAGAGCACTTATATCATCTTTCAGTATAGCTACCTCTGTTTGTTTTTACTATTTCTGACACTAACTGTTGTGTTTCTCATGATTCCCTATTCTCCAGGCATGACAACATCTCTAATGCACAAAGTGTCATCATTCAGTAACAGAAGTGTAACAGTTTACAATAGGGGTCTCTTTATTAACGTTTAGTGCATTATTAAGCATTAATAAACTGTGAGATTAACAACTGATTAATATTGATGTTAATATTAAGTAATGCATTACTAAGCAGACACCCACCCTCCCCCATGGCTCTTTGTCCTAACCTTAAGGACACTTGATAGCTAACAATTTCAGAAATGTTGTTAAAGGAACCCTTTTTTGTAAAGGGGTACCAAAGCAAAATAGTTTCTTTTTTTTACCTTGCATCACCATGATGTATAATGTCTGCTGGACTTAAAAACCCAGTCTCATAAGAACTATATAAAGGCTGCATCTATCTCATTCCATAGATTTCCCTGTTGGATGCATTAGGAAATATAGCGACTTTGATCCAGCAGATGAGATTGCTTCTTTATATGCAGGCACTTCAATCTTGCACTCCTGGGACGACGAACCTCGTGAATGAGGTAAGTATTGGTAGCTACACTCGTCGTGTTGATCACAGCTGTTCCGTTTGACTTAATATGATATATAATATCTGTTTAATTAAACTGTGTTTAAAATAAAGCATGGACTGTGTCATGGTGAAGGCTTTAAAGACACATTTTTCATTAATGCAATGTAAATCAGAACCTGAGCAATAACCCAACGAGATCTTCATTATCACTAATTTCATGATTTTTTTTTTTACCATTACCACCAACTCACTACATTACCTTCCAGTAATGATCTTCTCATGCTGTAGTTTTCATCATTAGAGGTAGATTTTCTGCAAAGTTCAATTAAATATGTGCAAATCACAAATGATGCACGTTTAATCCAATATTGCTGTGTGTAGTTTAATTTCTCTGAGTTTCTGTCTAATAATGAAGCTCAAACTAAAGTGAAATATACATTTCCCTATATGTATGGGTGATGCATGAGCTCAGCCGTAATCAGTCTCCAGCGTGGACTTTTTGCAACATTTGGATGGTGTAACAAACAGATTTTGACTATATGAGCATTAATTAATCATCAGATAGTACGAATATTAAACATTTCTTTTGTTGAATATATCTGAGGGTAACTCACAGTGGCCTATCTGGTTTTAACTCTATATAAAGGTGTTATATTCCTTGTTTTAACTGCTAATGCAGCTGTAAACATCTGCTTGGTTCTGGTCTTCTCTGAGTTAGCAGCTTTGCTTTTTATGTTTTGTAGTTTGATCCTCAAGAGCAGAGTGTGGTTGTGCATCTGAACGAAGCTTTGGGTTAAACTCTACATGATAAAAAAAAAAAAAGATTTTTCGCTAACAGGGAGCCTGGAGTCCATATTGATTGAATTTTTCAGAGTTGGATATGAACTTTTTCAAAGTTTCTTCTGCATGAAAACATGTGATACTGAGGTTGTATGTTAATTAATAAGAGACATATGCTTTTTTCTTCTCACTGAAAGACCATTTTTGAATTATTAGTTCTGATTATAAACAGTCACTGAGTTTTTCATGCGGGCTGAACATAAAAATAGTCTTTTATTCCTGTTTCCTGCAATTTTTTCTGATAGAAAACAGACGGTGAAACTCTAGGATTTGAAAAGCCTGACATTCGTGGACTCGCCCATGTTGACTCGCGATGGAGAAGGCTGTTGTTAATTTAGCGTCCACGAAACAGCAGAGAATGGCTTGGCTAGTAGAAGCTAAACAGCATTAGCATTAGCAACTCCACCACACAAGAGAACTCCTCCAGGCTTGTGTTATTTGTGGATATAAAACATCAATGTTGCAAGTCGGTGGTATAGTCGCGTTGCTGTTATCCAATCAGAGGCCAGATGTCCAAATATCAGGAAATAACACCCCAAATCCTGCTGTCTGAAGCTGAACTCTGATCTGGCTCACTCCTAACAATTCTTGACAGTTTAATTCAGAATGACTCGTTTCAGGGCTCTATCACTCAAAAAAACAAGCTGGAGCTGGCCACGCCTCCATTCCTCATTCAGGCTTCTATAAGCTGAGAAGCTCCGATATCTAGGAGGGGCTCAGAGTAGAGCCACTGCTCCTCTAGCAGCAGTTCTCGCTTACTCATGAGAGGTGGTTCTAATCTGGTTTCCGTCTTTGTGAAATCACAAAAGAGGACTTTTTGAAATGGCCTGTTTTTGGTACATCCTTCCTAAACCTAGACACTGAGTGGACGGATTTTATTCATGGAGTGTTTATAGAGGCAGAGACCCACATTGCTGCACAAAATGATTCAAAAAGTGAGTATTGCATTGCGTCCCATTCAAATTGCAGAATAAAACTTAAAAATGATCCACGTTAAAGTTTGTTTCTGAAGAAAACAAAGTGTGGATTATTTTAGCTCTTTACAAATTCACGCTGTAACTTAAATTAAACCAACATATTGTGAAATCCCCCCTCATTATGAGTTTTAAATAGTGGTTTGTTGCACTGTTTGTCTGTCCTGATAAACTCTCTGCTAAAAACTCCCCCAAGTGTCTGTTTAGTCCTCTGTTGTGTCTTCTCCACCACTCAAGCAGAGCTGTCACTCGGGAGCTCCGCGTTCCCCATGGCAGATGCAAAGCTGCGAGTCTGGAACAGAGTGTTTTTTTACCCTGTGACACAAGATAAATGAAGAAAATACAAAACTGGAGCTACAAAAATGCTAATCTGCTCAAAAAGGACCCTCTTATTGTTCTGGAACCTCTTTTTAACAAATAAAAAGCTGTGTTTTTCTCTCTCGTTCGATGAAAAAAATGCCACAACTGCAGGCGTCAACTGGGAAGATGTCTGCCAGTCTCCTTGAAGCTGCAGAGTGGTGGGAGAAAGCTGAAGGCAAAGTACGAGTCCCAGAATACTGAATGAAGTAAAAGTGTAGAGGGACATCACAAAATCCTAGAGCCACTGAAAGGTAACAAAGGAAATATTTTCACTGCGGCGATAAACCAAAAATGATGAATATGTAAGGAATCATCTGGAGAAGTGAAGGCTTTGATTCCAAACAATCGTGAGACCTGCTGATACTTGAAGGGTTGTGGATTCGAGGCAAATCATTTAAAACTGCTGCCAAAAAGCCAGGGACACCACAAACTGTGTTTGTATTAGTTTTATCTGACAGCAGCATGTGTTACTTTGTAAAACACACTTTGATTTAATGCTGCTGCTGCTGCTGCTGCTGCTGCTCAACACAGCAGCCTGAGTGCCCGTAGGAGGAGATTTGGCTCCCTTATGAATTCATGACATTGATTAATCTATAATATCTAATTCATAACCCAGGCTAATGTGTAGCATTTAAAGAAAATCCAGCCCAAACTCAAGAAACTCCATATTTTAAAAGTTCTAATACTTTGAGTTTACTTAATTCTTTTTTTCCAATAGGCTTATAAGTATAAGAGCTGCAGTTTGTAAAGCTGGGTCTGTAAACAATGGAACAAAGCCCAAATTCACGCATGAATGAATGAGTGAATAGCTCTTTCTTGTGACCATCTGAGGAGGCACTCACCCTCTTTCGCAGGTTGTAGGTGAGCAGCAGGTTTCTGGAGAAGTGGTTGGCAAACGCCGTGTAGAACTCCAGCACCTTCTGGAGGGCGTCACGTTTAATGACGTGGAGGTCGCAGTAGGTCAGAGCTCTGACGTTAGCGCAGGCCTGCGCCAGAGTTACCTCCTTCCAGAAAACGTCTCCAAATACATCTCCCTTACCTGCAGAGAGGGAGCGAGAGGGAGATGATGCTTTTATACCAGTAAGTCCTCCACACAGCTCAAAGTGAACAAACACATAAACGTAATGCTGCCCATTCTTCTTTCAAGACATTATGTTTTCTACAGGACGTATAAAATGCTTTATATATTATTTAATAAAGCTTAAAAAGTAAGTTATACATCTTTTGTGAGAACTAATTTGTGGTTGCCAGCTTCTGAAGGCCTTTTTCTAAGAAGGAAGGGTTGGTGTACTTTTTATTTCATGTTTTTTCAACATCAGTTTATCTTTTTCTGATACCAGGCCCGGAGTGGCTAATCGGGAGGGTCTGGAGAATTCCCGGTGGGCCGCGCGATGTTTGGGCCGCATGGGGCCGGTGCTCTCGTTTTTGTTTTTTACCATTTTATTTTTATTTTGTTTGGTGCCGGTGTTCAGTCATGGCACTGAGGCTGCCGGGCTGATCACATACGCTCCTCCCGGCTGTCTACCTGCAGGCTGCAGCTCGTTTTTTCCCCCCAGTATGCGCCTGTGCGCACCACGTGACCACGCAGTTGACGGAAAGATGGAAAGTAGAAAGAGCAAGGGTGGCGCGGAGAAGGCAAGAATTAAAAAGAGGAAAGCGCTGGAAACAGATGCAGCTAAATGTGCAAAAATGAGCACCTTTTTTTCTCAAACAAGCTTGCGGTCTTTAACTTCAAATGAAGATAAAACGGGTAAGGCAAGTAAAGATGCTAAACTTTACCGGCTGCAAATCACCATTCAAGTTAATTAAGCATCAATAATGAATTATATGGCATCATGACTTAACGTTATGTAATATAATTAACAGTATGATGTGACTGATGCCACCAAACTGTCTTGAAGCCCACAAGATCCAGTAGGCCTAATAAGCACCAGGCAGAAACCCACCATTCCAGAGCGGACAGGTAGGATTACTTATTGAGTCAGTGAACTGAATATTATTAAAATTTATATGATGAAAACTATCCTGGCTCTATATGAAAGTGTTCTAAAATGCTAGATGATTCAGCATTGATCAGAAAGAGTGTAAAAAAGGAAAATGAATGCTGAATTGTGACAATTTTCACACAATGTGATTTAGTGTCAGAAGAAGAGCCAGGAGCCAGCAGTGAGGGTATTGCTCCTGTTGGGATAGAAGGTGAGCCAACTCATGTGCAAACATCAGTTTCATTATAATAATTTTAATGTCCAAATAATAGTAGTGACCTGATGTATTTTTATTAGTAAATGCACAAAGCCCACAACAGATCGCTATTAGAATGAAAGTAAAATTAAATAAGCCTGCATATTTTGCCATAGAAAATATTTTCATTGGTTACAAAAATGTGTTTTCCATATCAAATGTGCTAAAGCTTTACAGATGATTATTTTAATTGTGTGCAGGTGAGTCTAGGGAAACTGGAAAAAGTGTGAAAGGGAGTGCTGAGTCATTTCATTTTAAAGGTTTGAAAATCTCAGAACAGCTGTTTGAACAGAATGTAGATTGTTATATTGTTAGAGAATGTGTTGTAAAGAACAATGTTGAAGATGTGCACTGATGTTCAAATAAACCTACATTGTAAAGCAACTCTTTCTTGCACTGAATTACAAGACTTTACCGAGTAGTGTGCTTTTGTAGACTATACATATAAAGTTCTAACATGATTTTAATAATAATTTGTTAAGTGGGCCGGTCTGGGGTCTGAAACTCCAGGGCTGAAAATGTGTCCCACTCCGGCCCTGTCTGATACTGACGATGTAAACCACTATTATAACCTCTTAAAAAGCATTTATACAAATGTAAAAAAAAACCCTAACCATTTCATGTTCAATCTAGTATCTTTATATACTGAATATGAGTGATTAAAAATGGTTAAATTTACTGTCTTGGGTGTCAGAAACTATTAGATGCTAAGGGTTACGCTCATAACGGGTGAATTTTTTTTTATATTTACATAATTTTCATGCAAATATTTTATTTTCACTTTTAAATTTCTGCACACTTGAGGATTGTCTGTACTTGTTTGTTGTAGCATCAACTTACTCGGGTTTACAGTGTAGTTGATGTCAATAATGTGAGTTTTATGTTCAGTCATTAAGTAATAAAGTATATTTATGTAGATGTTTGCTATTCTTTCTGTCACATTCCAAGATGGCACACATATTAGGCCCAATTAGAAATTTCACTTGAGACGTTTCGCTGACATTTTTGTCAAAAGCGTGAAATATTCTGTAAACCCAACTGATGCATTTAAATGCTTTGCTTAAAAATAATCCCTTCTTGCTTTGAAACAAATGTTACTCCTCATTTAACGTTTACAGATCCATAAATCTAGAAACAGCCTTTCCTCCATCTACAGCTCTCGCTTGGCTGCAGCCCTCATCATCATCTCCGCTCAAACACTATCGACCGCTCAGCTGATTATATCAAGCCACTAATAAACTGCTGCTGATGTCGGATACATCTGACTGCTTGATTTGTCCATATGTAGAAACACAAGGACGAATAAACAAGATAAGTACTTTGACTTTCATCCGAGGGAAGGTTGAAGGCATAAAAATTCATGCTTTATGGGGAGTTTTTACAACATGGGAAGCTGGAAGTTGCTTGATAATGTGATCAAATGAGACAAACCATGAATAAAACTGTGAATTATAGATTTTTAGTCATTTATAAAGAGTGATTTATTAGCTACATTAAAATCATCTAATGTGCTCAGCATGATGGGGCTCGGGTGCAGAGGCTCAACATGGCTTCAGGTTAAAATTGGAAGATCCACCGTAGAGGGTCACGTCTGCAGATGTCCTTTAGTTGTTTCTGTTCTCCGTTCCATTTGGTTAATGAGAAACGGTATCTAGTGCGACCTCAGCCTCCATTAGTCTCCTTCAGGTCAATAGTATCAACAATTTATCCTAAAAGGAGCTTAAAGCAGGCTATTGATGAAAAGACACCAAGATATTGCTGGACCTGAGAACCATTTTGCATTAAATCGATTTTGTTTAGAGGAATATAAGAACATTTAAGAAAGAAAAATATATATTCTGCAGCAGAACATTTAATGTGCATCACCGATGGGATCCATACTGTGCTTCATCTCATCAAGGTAAGTAAGATCTCATTTACTCAAAGGTCTTAGTCCAATAAATCTAGATAGCTGTTTCACAATAACACCGCTGCAAGAAAAATAAAAATAGAACTAGGGGGATTTATCAGAGAAAGCATCTAATTAGTAAATGAAAATGACTTAGACTGGATTTCGATTCAGATAATAAATGCACATTTAACATTATTCATGCGTTTTGCTTTTAAAGGTGTGGGAAACTAATTTAATCAATACATTTGCGGTGGTCTCTGGTATAAATGATTGCCTTGCAAGCCGTACTTTGGGCAAAAAAAGTCCAGAAATGCCCGTTTCAGCAAGTCTGCCACATCAGAGGGGAGTTTAACACAGCAGGATTTGTAGTCATCGTTCCTGATATTTGAACATTTAGCCTTGGTTTGGATTCCAGCAACGCGACTCTACCACTCACTGTTTGCTCTGCAACATGGATGTTTTATCTGAACAAATAACAAAAGCCTGGAGGAGTTTCTGCCGTGTGGTTGAGTAGCCAATGCCAAGAGTTAGCTTCTGCTAGCTGAGACGTTCTCTGCTGTTTCTGGACGCTAAAACAACAACAGCCTTCCCTGTCGCGAGTCAAGATGGGGGTGAGTCCAAGAGGCAGTGTGACATAGCTCTGTCAAGACTTTTCAAAGCCTAGCTCTACTCTGTTCTCTATCAGGCGTTAATGCAGGAGATCGGTGTAGGAGATTATTTTCATGTTCGGCCTACATCAAAAACTCAAGTGTGACCGATAATCGTCAGAAATAATCATCCAAAAATGTTTTTACAGTGAACCACACCTTTAAGGTCATCAGGTACATACAACAGAATTAGCCCTCTCTTTTTTTAAAACCTAATTTAGCAACACAACTGTAAAAAACTCACTATAAACAGGACTTTGAAGCTAGAGCAGCTAATGGTTGAATGTTATTAGGAGCTGATCAAGTCTTTCTCTTTAAAAACAAAAAGCAACCAGTTGTGTGTGTCAGGTATGCACGGATCAATCCTGCATCACATCCACTGTTCTCAACCCCTGAAGACCTTTCCTCTACAGATTGTATCGTAGCAGCAGCAAATTGGCAGAACCTTCTCGACAAATCGATGAAAACTGGCCCCGGTGAAGCGCAGCCATGTGTTCATTACAAGTAACTGTCAGCAGTGTGTGACACGCGTATCGATCTTTGAGGACTTGTAGATTGTGGCTTTCTACTCAAACAGCAGGAAAAATCCTGAAGCACTTTGTCAGAGGATCAGAAAGCTGAAATTTTCTTTGCACTCTTTATTTAATTAATTATGAAATGATTTATTAGAATATTTCAGCCAAAACAAAGCCCCCCTAGCTGCACCTATTACTGCAAAACTCTTTGTATTTTACAAATTATTTATGTTTAGACATGAATCTTTATTAAAAATTTGTGGTTTTAAAAATACGTGTAGGCATCACATAGAATAAAACTCCCAAACAAATAGTAGCGGAGCTGCGTCTGCGTATCAGACCGTAGCACTCAAAAGCTTGTCCAAATCCTGAATCACCGCTCAGCAGAAAAGGATCCTTGAGTAGCGTTTTTGCTGAATTCGGTGTTAATTTGTTAAATGCTGCCTTGCTAAAAGGAGAGTGCAATTTTAGGCCTTCTGACCAAATTAATGTGATATTTTGTTGGAAAATAGTAGTTTTTTTGTTTTGATTTATGTTGTTTTTACCATTTCTAACTGAACAAATTCTGTATCACGGCTTAAAAAAATCTATATTTGGTCATTTCTAAGCTCAAGTTTAAGTTCGAGTGACTGTGACTTTTAAAAGAACATAAATATTAAACACAGAACATTCATAACATGTTATCATATTTTCTGCAGAACTAAAACCCAACAATGTACATCTTTAATCACTCGAATTTGTAAAATATAAATCTTTATATTATTAACTATAAACCAATTAAATGCAAACTGTCTTAAATACATTAGACACTTTTTAGGATTCATTCTGGAGTAAAAAGGATTTTTGTTGACCCTGTTTCATCACTGACCTTAATTAATAATTAAACTTTTTCCACATTTAGGTCAAAGCTACCGTAAAAACATGAAGGACTTACCACATTTATATTTAAAGAGATTGCTTTGGAAGTGGGTTTCTATGGGAAATTTTACCTGATAGGTCTCTAAAGTAACAATAGATATTTTTTAAACTATAACCTAGAGCTTTAACATTGATCTTAATGATTGTTGGGTTAAAAACGACCAGTTTCATATTTGACACCACTCTACAGCCCTCTGCTGGCCAAAAACCGCAGTTGATAGGTTTTTGGAGCGGGTAGGTGCCCTATATGCGAAGCTCTTTACCTGCTTTATGGCTGTTAGCTGTAATGCTAGCAGTTAGCATTTTCAGTTTGCCAATTGTCAATAAAAAGCACAAGAAGAAGAAAATAAAGTTTGCTTTTTGTATTTTCATCATGGCGACGCCTGAATTAAAAGTAAAAGAGTAATGTTTTTGGAGCAAAAACCAGAGTGAACATTGGCGCGGCCTAAAGTAGAGGGAGCTAAAGGAGGCTACAAAATCACAGGCTGATGGTGGCCTAGCTCTGTTGCTACTGGACTAGTAAGTAATAATAATTTTTGTCCAACAGTGTGGATTTTTTTACTTCATGGTTTATTTTAGTTGGCTTATGTTAATGTACGCTTGTTGTTAGCGCTGGCTACAGCAGGCTGCTGCAGGGTTGTTTATGACAGTTGTAATTCCACTTTCAACCAGTAGGGCAAAGGAGCAGGGGTCTCATTTATCAAACATTGCGTAGAATCCTAACTAAAACCGTACTTAAGCTCAGCAAAAAATATGTACTTACGCCAAGTAGGTTTGTGATCTATCAAACATGGAGTACGCACAGCTGCACGCAATCTCCGCTTCATAAATCTGAGACCAACAAGAAAGGTTCTCAGCTGCTTTTTAGTCACATCCCGTCCTCACCACGCCCGCTTTCTGCCATAAATGGTTGACGCAAAGTGCCTTGTGGATCTCATGCATATACATAAGCCGGCTGTTGCAGCATTTCGATCCCGACCGCAGATCAAGGAAGCACTTTTTCACAAGCAGAAATTCAGGTACTTGTGGGTGAGGTGGAGAAATGAAAGGAAGTGCTTTTGCTAAACAAATAAGAGAAAATCCGGAGCGTTGCTGAAGCTGTCAATGTTGTGAGTTCTTCAGAGAGATCTGTGGCGGATATAAAAAAAAGTCCCGATCAGGATTCTTTCCCCAGACTCCCAGGTGCGCTAACCAGTCAGCCAAATGGAGATCTCGCTTGATCAATCGGGTCACAGTGACAGGACACACACTGTCACAGACGCATGACATTCTGTCTCAATCTGCCCCTCTGCTGATATTCTGCATTCCGTATTCTGCGCTTCAGGCTGTGTGTGTGTGTGTGTGTGTGCGTGTGTGTGCGTGCGTGTGTGTGTGTGTGTGTGTGTGTGTGTGTGTGTGTGTGTGTGTGTGTGTGTGTGTGTGTGTGTGTGTGTGTGTGTGTGTGTGTGTGCATGTGGGGGATCTTGTTCTGTCTGCACACAAAGCAGTACAAGTGATAATGCTGCAGGATTTCATAATTTTATGCTTCTCACCTAAAATTGCTACCACCTCATCGTCCTGAATGACCTCCAAGGACCCCGACACCACAAAGCAAAGGCTGTCCACGCTCTCGCCGGCGTGGTAGATAAGATCACCGGGAGCACAGTGGATCGTCTGAAACTCCATGGCCAGAGCTCTGAGACATCCATCGCTGGCCAACCGGAAAGCTGGGTGCTCTTTGAAAACTTTACGGTTGAGATGAACACAAATATCTGCTCTCATGTCCTTTGGACAAATCTGCAACACCTGGGCAAAAGAAGCAAGATTAAAAAAGAAGAGATGGAGATTAAGGCCCGCCGATGTTCAGATCACTCTCATATCCTAATAAACATAAAAGATAGTTTTTATGCATTAAATTATTCCTAGAAGATTGTTGCCAATAAATGAAAATGGACCCTGTGAGTCATTTGGTTTAATTGTTTTAGTCAGAGTGGGAGGCTGAACACTGGAATTAAAAAGTATTATGTCCTGCTTTGCCCTTTTACCAGCTGTGCAGGGATGCAATATTAGTTATTGTGGCATTTCGCAGATTAAAAGCAACAAAGTGATTTTTCCCAGAAAATGTGGAGCAGAAGTTTCCTAGAATATTGTTTAAACTACACAAAAAAGGCAGATTTAACAATGTCTGTCTTGCATTAATCGTCTCTTAAGGAGTAGGAAACATTTTGTTAGTGCACAAACTGATTATTTATAGTGATTTATTCCAGGATGCGGGAAAATATTTTCATGTGGGATGCTTACCACTTTTTTATCCCCTTGTTTCTTGGCAAATCCATTGTTATTCTACGTGCAGCAGCTGTCCTGGGTCTGTTACATAACACATGACTATTTATTTAGATTTTTATTGCTTTATAACTTAAAGTGCAAATGTTTTAGAATAGATCTGCAGACACATGAGAGCACAACTATATTTAGGGCACCAATAGGATAAAGAATATGTCAGTTCTATTTCTTCTTTTAAGTCGCCTGATTTCTTCAAATGGACAAAAACATGTTCATCTTTAAAAGAAAATTAGCTCACGTGGAGCTTGTTTCTGAAGCAAGACCTGACCATCTTCATGTTGCCGGTCAGTGAAGCATGCAGGCAGCTATGAGCTCAGTGTCCAGCCACTCGTCTGCTGAGTGTCAGCATGTCCTTCACCTCTCCGAGCCGGGCTGTCGCAGGGGTCTGCTTTTAAAACAAATCTCTTTGAAGATGAACGCCAAGCAGAGAGGGATTACGAGCCGTTTTTAGCCCAGTTAAGGTGGCCCGCAGCCAGATTTAAAACAAAACAATGCACAGATTCACAGAATGCTCAGCAGGAGGACACAATCAATTTCATAGTTGGATTTTGATTACAGTTGGTGCATGGATATTGTTGAGTCGTTAGCAGCCGTGTTTCTAATTTGAAGTGAAATGATTTGACTTTGGACAAGTTGATTTTAATTAGAGCCACAGATGAATGCTTTCTGGCTTCAAATCAGCAGAGGCAGCGGTCCAATCTCTACTTTCAGCTTTTAAGTGATCAATTTTCAAACACTCAGCTCATTTTAACATCGTCTGATTTGAGCTGGATGGGTAGAGGCAACAGTACCACAGAGTCCGTTTAAAGAAAGATTTTCACAGCTTGATGAAAGTAACATTTTTGTTTATGTAAATATTTTAGCAGAAATGTAAAGAATCTGGTTTAAAGTAGCTTGGTGCTCTTTCAGTCGCTTTTGCATGGTTAGTCCAGGGAATCATGACACTGTTGTCATGTAATACACTCACTCATTAGGCACTTTGTACTTGTTAACACAGTAATAGCAGCAGCTCGGTGCGTTTAGACATCTGGATGTGGTAAAGATGATTAACTGAAGTTTGAACTTGGAAAAAAGGATCATTTAAAAGTCTTTAAACGTGTCATGGTTGTTGGTGCCTGACAGACTGGGTATTACTGTTGATCTGCTGAGATTTTCACCCACAACCTTCTCTAGAATTTGCAGTGAGTGGTCCAGAATTGAGAAAATTACTGTTGAGTGACTGTTGTCTAGATGAATTTGAGGTTAGAGGAAAATGGGCAGACTGGCTGGAGAAGGTAGCAAGACAACAGCAGCTTAAATAACCAATCGTTACGTCCGAGGGCAGAATCTCTGTACGCACACGTTTGTGTCAACAACATGAAAGCATGGATCCATCCTGCCTCGTAACGATTCAGGCTGATAATGGTGAGGGAAGGATGCTCTTGGTCCAATTTAACGACACTTTATTACCACCTGAGTCTGGTTGAACTCCCCAGCCTACCAGAGTTTTGTTGTTGACCATGTCCACCCCTTTATGACTACAGCGGATCTATCTTCTGATGGCTACTTCCAGCCGGATAATGCACCTTGTGGCAAAGCTCAGATCATCACAAACTGGTTTCTTCTTGACCATGAAAATAAGTTCTATTGCACTCCAACAGCCTCCACAGTCAGCTGATGTAAATCTAAGGCTACATTAAGGCCATAACCAGATCAGCGTTTTTTCACTTTCAAATAGCAAGAAGTCTCACGTCCAGACAATGTGCAGGCTTGACTATTGCAATGGTATTTTGTCTGGTCTTCCCAAAAAAGCTGTGAAGTAGCTGCAGCTTATTCATAAAGCGGCTGCTAGAGGCTTTACAAGTACCAAGAGAACTGAGCACATCACTCCTGTTCTTAAACCTCTACACCGTTGACAGGATGGAGCTGCTTTTAGCTACTATGCTGCACACAGATGGAATCAGCTTCCTAATGACCTTAAATATGCTCCAAATCTAGATCAAAATCAAATTAGAAAACTTTCATGTTTTCATCAACCTTTGGATGCACGTTTCTTATGCTGCACCTTCTGCTCACCCTTTAACTTTGCCTTGTTATCATATTCCTAATTGTAATTTTAATAGTGTATTTAAATTTGATTTAAAAATCTGCTGCTTTATGTTGTCATGTTGATTTTAATGTTTAATTTTCTTGCGGTTCTTGCTCCTGGAAAGCACTCTGTGTGTGAAATAATCTATACAAATAAAGCTGCCTTGCCCAAAGCCTTTGGATTGTGGTGGGATGGGAGATTCAGATTCTGGATGTAACGGTGATGCTGTCATGTCATCATAGACCAGGACCCAAGGAATGTTTCCGCCTCATTTAGAATCAGTGTCACGAAGAACTAAGGCCACTCTGAAGCCAAAAAGAGGACTAGCTCAGTAGAAGGGTTTACCTATTAAAGTGGCAGGTTCACCACACAATCACTGAGAATAGTGTCTATTGTCTGAAACTTGAAAACTGAGTGAATTCTGGTAGTTTTTCTGTTTCAGCAAAAATAATCCCAGAATCCAGACAGGACCAATCCAAGAAGAAACGATAAGGGATCCCTTCGTCCACTTCTTTTTTCATCCTGATGTGCCTAACTGTCTGAAAAAGGATAAATCTAGACTCATCAAACCCAATGACCCTGTCTCATTACTCCAGAGTCCAATCTTTATGCTCCATGGCAAATTGGAGGTTTTATTTTCAATTAGTCTCACTGATAAAGTTTTTTTTTAGATTACGCCGCTGTTTATTCCCCAAAAATAATGTTTATTTGCCCTGTCTGTGTAGACCTGCTTTTACCCTTTATAACAAACACTGACTCAAGCTCTGTTGCAGATTTTTAAAGTAGATTTCATCAGTGTCTCTGATGACGATCACTCTTTTTTTCTGGATCAAATTTCCTTGCAAGGAAATGATGGTTCACTCTTTATCCTATAGTAAAAAATAATCCAAGGGACATTTTGATGCCACCCTAAAGCCTTAAAAAGAAAAATCTGAATATTTGCATTTATTGTTCATATATTATTTAACTAGTTTAATCTTCTTTGAGCAGCACTTTCATGCTTTTCTGCACAATCACAGAGCCGCTGGAATCAGCATGAACGCAGGAAACGGTGAATCTCTGGCCAAAGATACCAAAAATCCAACTCTGCAGCCACCTCATTAACACTTTATGCTGAGTTAATGTAATCCCTAGAAACCCTGAGGCATTTTCAAAGGGTTTACAAGGATTTGTTCTTCTTGTGTGAGTCTTAATTCAGAGCTCGACACGTCTGGATTGTGGCGACTTGAGAGAGGAAGAAGACTGAACAAACTTCCAAAAAAAAAAAGAAAAAAACGACTAAAATGTCATACAAAATGTATGTTGTTTGGTATGGCTAATAAAACTGAGGTTAAGCTGCAAATAGATGGATGTGAAATTGAGCAAGTAACAGAACATAAGTTCCTTGGAATAGTAATTGATAATAAATTAAGTTGGAAACCACAAATTAAACATGTATATAATAAGGTTGCGAGAAGCATCTACATTATGAATAAAGCTCGGCAGTACTTGGATTATAAATCACTCCATGTCCTTTATTATTCATTGATTTATCCCTATCTTATTTACTGTGTAGAGGTATGGGGTAACACTTATAAAACATCTATTGTACCCTTGTCTAACATACAGAAAAGAGCCCTGAGAGTCGTTCACAATGTTAGATTTAGAGAACACACTAATCCGTTATTTATATATTCTAAAATACTAAAATTTAAAGATTTAATTCAGCTATATACAGCGAAGTTCATGTTTAAAGTGCATAGGAAATTATTACCAAACAAATTATTAATGCTATTTATAAAACCAGATAACGTATATAATTTCAGACACAGACTTAACTTTAGGCATACATATTTTAGAACAACATTAAAGTCATTTTGTATTTCTGTTACGGGTGTAAGAGTTTGGAATAAGCTAAGTGAGGATCTAAAGCAAAGTCCCTCATTGCATAAGTTTAAAGAGAAGTATAAAAAAATTATACTAATCAATTACATGGAGGAGGAGGAAAAGTTGTAAGGGTGTTGCATTTGATTGTAATTGTCTATTGTTGGTGAACTGGGAGCTGTGAACGTGGTGGGGGGGCGGGGGGGGGGGGGGGGGGGGACATGAGGAAATGTAAATTTTGTTTGTGTGATTGAGGATAAAACATGTTATAGGAAAGTGGCAATGACACTCAGTGTAGGGTAAATATATATGTTTTTTTGTTTTATCTTTCTTGAAATTTGATTTGGGGGGGATTATATAAGCTACCAGAGCTTCGTTCCCTTCCCATTGAACATGTTCTACATATGTGTATGTATATGTATGTATATATATATATATATATATATATATATATATATATATATATATATATATATATATATATATATATATATATATATATATATATATATATGTGTGTGTGTGTGTGTGTGTATGTGTGTATGTATATATATCAAGCCCCCACAATGCCGCTCAGAAAATGGTCCCATCCCGGAAGTAAGAAAAATTGCAGTTCCACCCTCATCCGCTGGGGGCTGGTGCCAGAAGTGAGCAAATCCTCATTGACTCCCATGTTAAAAATGCCGATTTCACAGCAGAAATAAACATGTTTACAGCCTGGTGCCAAAACATGTTTTTTGTCTAAATTATCTAGTTTATACTCATGACAACTCTGAGGGGGGTGAATTTTTTTCTCACTCTTCTGTTTAAGTGTATTGAAAGCCTAAAATTCTGTATAATTAATGAGCATCCGACACACGTGACCGCCGCCTCAGACCCACGTGACCACAGAGCTAGCTCCGTGGAAAGGCCTCAGTACAGCCTCGGTCTGGCTTGGAAACTGCTCCGGCATTTTGAGTCTCTGTGTTTGTGTATTCTTCTTTGGATATTATTGGTGCAATTGTTGGACCAAATGACTTGCAGTGGTATTAATTGCACTAATAGAGCGTCCAAGGAGTCTCCACTTCATTTTTTTCGGTAAGTTAAAATCTATATTCGTATTTTATGTCACTGCCACCTTTAAACTAGCTGAGTTTACCGAAGTAGCTAGCTAACTATCAGTTTAACATGTAGCATGTACTGTTTAACCATGAAATTTAAATGTAAAATACGGTAAAATAATTAATAGGGCATATTTAGATGGGTAATAGGGTAAAACCCAGTGCATTTAAGATAAAAATGGGTTGAAATATGACGGAGCGCTAAGAGGGAGACTTCTGTGTCCATTCTTCCATCCGGTAATCCCCAGCGGTCAGGCCGGGCAGCCTGACCGATCCGGCGCCTACTTGCTGCGCCTAGCTGCTGCGCGGTCTGACCGCTCGTGGAGTTTTTCATGTCTGACTTTAACCGCATCTAATACTGTATTACGGCGTGAGCGCAACAGCGACAACTTAATATCGATGTGTAAGCAGCCTGAGTGGTAGGGTGTTTTCATCTGAACCCTTAAAACCTCCAGCAGGCTATGCTGCACTTTTAGCAACGTGACATGTCTCTGAGAAAGCGTAAAACACGGACGCTTCTTCTGAAGCGGAAAATAACACCTCTTCTTAAGCAGAGCAGGATGTCGCCTCGGCTCGTTCACGGCCGAGCCGGACTGAGCTCGATAACATTGACCAAGCACAGCCACTGGGCCGTTGTAGCTGCCACCAGGCCTGCTGAAGGAACTCCAGCGGGTTTCATCAGACTCGTAAAGTTTCTTGTTTTTGCTGGGGATTTCTGTATTTTACCGCTCCCTCCTGCAGTCTTCCCCTATTAAAATTTAAAATGTGTAACTTTATGTATTGTGATGAATGACTAATATTCATGTAAAACTAAAACGTTAGGCATTTAGGGGGAAAAAACAAAATAATAAACATTATACAGATGTCAAATAAATCAAACTGTAATTAAACTATATATTTTCAAAGTCATATAGACAGCATGATGGTTTGTGTGATCCGCGCGGTTTCACTTACACCCCTTTAATGATCAGGCTGTTTTTTATTATTTTTATCAGCTGATAGCAGTTAAAATTATGGTAAAAAATACTTTTATCTGTTTTTGATAACTTAATGCCCAGGAAGAGCATCTTCCTGGGCATTAAATATAACCCAAATGTTTTATTATGAGCAGATCTGATGAAGGTGTAGACAAGCAGTCTGCAAAGTAAAACTTGTTTAGAGTCCAAACTCTTACTAAAGCTTTTAAAAAGAAAAAATGGTTGAATTTTGAGAAATATCCACAACAGGGGAGCGAGACCTCTGAAAAATGTATATTTTCTCTGAATTCATAGAATAATGTGAAGATTCTGGGAAAAGTTGGGATTCTGAGATTAAAAGTAAATCTTTCTAATCATAATTCTGGCAGTTTTTGTGTCCTTCTGCTGTGGAAAGTCGTGCAACATGAAGATACTGAGAAGATGCTTACAACCTGTATTTTTATTCCATCCATAAATAAAATCATGAGCTATTTTTTTAATCCAAATTTGATACAAAGGGCCATCGTTGGTTCCAGACCCGTTCTAGAACATTCCTCTAATCTTAAAGTCATCATCAGTTTCTTCCTTTTAACAAATATTTATTTGTTCAAATATTTAATATTTATAACTGGAATATTTGTTCCTCCCTTTCCCACTGCAGTTAGTCCTGTCCTGCAACCCTGTTTTTGCAGCTTAGTGAAGCCAACCATCACTAACCTGGGGGTGGTTTTGGACCCAGAGATGCGGATGGACTCCCACATTAGCCAGGTGGTTAGATCCTGCTTTTCCCGGCTTTGCCAGCTACCAAAGATGAAGTCCATCCTGAAAGACGTGTCATATTTTCTCCCCAAGCTGGACCTGACCGTCATGTATCGGTCCAAAATAGTGTGATGATATTGTGTTTTTTGTACATAACAGACTTTTTAACAGACAAATTTGTCGCATTCTCCTACACCTCTTCACGGGCTCGCCACAGTAAATATTCTATTTGGCGAGAGATAAACTTTATTGTATTTATCCTAGTGAATCTATAATTAAACGGGTAAACTAGTATTAGCACATCCAACATCAAAGAAAGTAAAATGTTACTATCAGGAGAGGGAGAATGTTTAAGTGGTTAGCAGCAGTGTGCTAGCCGATGGCCCCCTCCATGAGGCCACCACAGCTCAGCAGAACATCGTTGTAGCTTCTTCTGGGGAGAAAAACACTTGGAGAAAAAATAAAGTTAACAGCTGAAATAGCAGGAAATAATAGAGTTAAGGAGCAGATTGTAGAAGAAAGAAACCCCTGGGTTAAACTGGTCTGTCTACTGCATAATGCTGAACTCTAACATGTGTCCTCAGGGAAGGACCTGATTGGTGTCCAGAACCTGTTGAAGAAGCACCAGGCTCTGCAGGCTGAGATCACAGGTCATGAACCTCGCATCAAGGCTGTCACCCAGAAAGGAGAGACCATGGTGGAGGAAGGTAGAGCAGGTCTGGTCCTGACATGTTTCTGAGGTGTCTGCAGGTTCTGGCTCACTTTTTTTGGGTCCAGGTCACTTCGCTGGTGAGGAGGTGAAGACTAAGCTGTCAGAGCTTCATGGACGTTGGGACACGCTAAAGGCCAAGGCGTCCCAGAGGAGGCAGGACCTGGAGGACTCTCTGCAGGCCCAGCAGTACTTTGCGGATGCTAATGAGGCCGAGTCCTGGATGAGGGAGAAGGAGCCCATCGTTGGAAGTCCAGACTAAGGGAAAGACGAGGACTTGGCCGAGGTATGGAAGTCCCTTCCTGAGAAACTCCAATCGCTTTTCTTTGCTCTCTTTCCAGTCCTTCATAATTAGTGTTTCTGTATTTGTCATTTCCTTCGGTTGTCTACCAGACATCGTTGCTCGTTTGAGCGTCTCATGGGTTAGGGGTAGAAGTGCTGGCCTCGCACAGGAAGTGATGACAAACGTGTTCCCGGCGCTCTTATTTCAAACGGTTTACAAGCTGTGATGTGTGTTCCCGCTGCAGAGCAGCCATGACACGTGGCAGCCGGCAGAAGGCTCACGCTTTTCCACTAAACACCCGCAGAGCTGCGTCTGCGGTGAACTGAGCAGGGTTTGTTTTACAGTGGCGGATCCGATTGGACCATCGCTGCGAGAAAGCTCCACTTGTGTCAGACGAGCTGAAGGTTCTGATGTTCTGCTCCACAGGCTCTCCTGAAGAAGCACGAGGCCCTGATGTCGGACCTGTCGGCTTATGGCAGCAGCATCCAGGCCCTGAAGGAGCAGGCCCAGTCCTGCAGGGTGAGTTCAGAGCCCTCGGCCCGTCAGAACATTCTTATCCACCACGTTCTAACACCAGACCTGTTAACCCGACAGCAACAAGATAATCAGCAGGTGCTTTTGTCCTGCAGGACCTGAAGGCCAACGAGTCCCGCCTGAGGGACATCAACAAGGTGGCATCTGAACTGGAGTCAGAAGGTCTGATGGCTGAGGAGGCTCCTATGGTTCAGGCTCAGGTGAGCGTCACCTGTCTGCAGCAGCTGGTCCCTCTCACTTCCTGGTTTGTTAACTCTGCTCGTCTCTGTTTGTAGCAACAAGAACATCTGGGTTCTGCTCCTGGAAAGGTGCATGTTGTCCTCCGCCTCAACCAGAACCAGACGTGGTGTTTATGTTACCACTCATTTGTTTGTTTGTTTGTTTGTTTACAGGACGAAGCCGACTCTTAACACGGCGTCACCCTGGAAGGTGAGTTCATTCAGCTGATCAGAGGTCACCTCTGATGGCAGCAGTCACGGCCGACCGTGCTGACATCACACAGGAATTCAGGTGACCCGGCAGGCACCAGGTGCTGGTGAAAGTGGGGACATGTCAGCTGGTTGCCATGGCTACAGTTATCTTTATGCATCTGTATGACTGCTGACTGGTGTGTGTTTCCTGTGACCTTTGACCTCAGACCGTACGGTTGGGCGTTCAGACGACGGCTAACTTTAATTCCATCAAGGTAAGAGGAAGCTCTTCCCTTCCTGTCTGAGCGATCCGTCTCCAGGTTTCCTCGTCCGGCGTCCAGCCCGCTGGCGTCCACCTTCATCTCATCTCACTTCATTTATAGTGCAATACTTTCACATTATCATTTTCCCACACTTCTGTATACCTGTATTTTGTTGTTTTTCAATAAAGAATGACAAATTATTTAAGTTTGGTTTTTGTTGCACACAAATATATATCTGTAAAAAATATCTTCAAAGCTAATGTTTACATAACAAGTATGATTGGGTTTTGCAATACGGCACTCAAGTTTATTTTAGTAAGATTTTCAAACCAAGTAAAGTTAGTAAAGAACACATTTCTATTGTCTGCTAAGAAACTGTTGAGATTTAAAATGGGCCTGTTGTACAAATAACTTGTAAATGATTATTCCTCACTTTTGTCTTAACCAAAGAAATTCCAGTAATTGAGCAAAAACATTTATTTTTAACACTACATTTTATAAAACAGGGCACAGTGTCGGCACATGTATGTATGTCGATGGTCCGCCCCAACCGAACCAGGAGACACAGACGTCAGGGAGGCCAAGGTTGTCTCTGCAGCTCTCTGGGCACCACGCCTCACTCAGCTGTCCCCAATGATCCAAATGGCTATGGAGGAAAAAAAATTTAATAAAAGAATGAAACTTAAAAACTCCCAAACCTCATGTCATATTTACTAATCAGCTATGGCTGATTTATTGTTTGGATCACAATGAGTTACACTAATTCTAATATATTTTTATTTCTATTATACATACATACTTTTTAACTGTTATTTTCACATGACTGTTATCAGGCTCTTGTTCTGGTTCTGATGATAACTCTGTGTCTTCCAGTAAGTTATCTTGTGCTTACTTCATCTGTATAATGTCTCTTTACTTTTGGTAAACTGTACTGAGTCCAGAATAAAGGCTAGCTGGCTGTACAAGATACAAACAAGTATTACGTTTTGGAAATATATGAAACACCGCCAGCATCTGTTAGAGCCTGTGGCGGGGTGCTGAGGGCCGGCTCCAGCCCAGGAATGAGCTCTACACGCCGGCCGGGAGGGTTTGAAACACCGCCATCCTCTCCTCTGCTGGCTGTTCATTCTGTTATGGTTACCGGTGCTTGTGTTGCAATGTTAAACGCTTGGTCTCGGATTTTGTAAGAAAGATAATAAAATGTCCCCCCAAAATACGACTTAAATATATTTTCTCTTCTTCATGATACATTTAATGGCTGGTGCGACTCAGGAGTGATAGCGCCGAAAAAACTGTACTGAAAACTTGCTCAAAGCAAAATGTATTCATTACGGAAATAAATTATAAACTTACCGATTTAAAACTTTTTTAATACAGGTACTTCTCACGAACAGGCGCAGAAAACCTCCACCTAAACTCCGTGTGAGGTTCAGGTCGATGGGTGTTCCAGTTAGCTCCGGTTGGGTTGAAGCTAGGTGGCTACATCCGTTAGCTCGGCTCCCACCTCCGCTTTAGCTTTGGGTTAGCCAGGGTTAGCTTCAGGTTAGCTCGTAGCTAGTTCGCCTGGGTGTCGTCACTCGAGCCCAGCCTTACAGCCACACCCTCAGCGCCTCCTCTCTTCCCTTTTATGGAATTGTCTGGGCTGGACGGAACCTGTGACACGGTCAAAATGGCGGTGGTGGACACCTCCCATTATGGACAGATAACGTGTTATTGAAGCCTATGGAATCGAATTGTCCAGTATATGTACAGTCTATGATATATATATGCATATACATATGTGTGGGTTTCTTTTTGGATACTTTTTGAATGCTTTGGGTTGTCTATTGATTTGCATGCATGTTCAATAAAGAAAGAAAGAAACTTCAAGTGTTTATTTTGGCAGAGTAAAATAATCAAGAGCTATGATGCAAAAATGTCATATTTAGCTGCTGAACTTGCACAGAAAAAAGGTGGTGCTTTTATCTCCAAATTTAGTTTTCAGAACAAGTGAATAAAAATGATCTATAATCCTTATGGGAATATAGAATCATCAGCTCCTGCTTGTATTTTTGGGTTATACGTGTTCTGTTTGCTACACCCAAATAATTATTTTAATGAAAGTCTTATTTTTCTTGAGTTTCGTTGCCCCGGTACCCCTTTGTGTCTGCCAAATGTTCACGTGAAGACCCTAACAGCACCAGGCTGAAAATGCCAATTAATCAAACGTTACAAGAGGGTGTTTGCAGATCTTAAAGTTGCAATGGCAAATCTACAAAACAAGCTAGCTTTTAAGCACAACAAGAACTCTCATCCCGTCGACTATCCTCCCCAGTTGATGTCTGCCGTATACTGGAACACACATTGTCAGAGGAAACAAGAGAGCACTAAACACCAGTCACCAAAGGTCCAAACGACTTTGGCTGTCCGTGACTTCAAATGGTTTTTTTCTTTTTGGGACTATGGTAGTTTTTCCTAAAGTTGAGGTTTTTAGACATATGCAAGAGAACCACTTCGTTATTATTATTATTATTATTTTTCTTTTCATTTTTTATATATCCACAATAGCTATACAACATTAGAACGTTGTTAAGAGGCATATAAAAATGTTTTAACCTCACCCCTGCCACGTGGACCTCAAGGGATAGACCATCAACCCTGCTCAATGGTCAACTTTCCTCACGGGGTCACCCATTAGGACAGTGGGAGGAATAAGCTTGTTTTCCAGATTTGCTATAATAGTACTAATGAGGATATTTTTTACCATAACATTAAAATGTGGCAAATACTACAGAGATTTATGTCCAGAAAAGCCTCATTTAAACCACCACTGACAAACTTGGACTAAAAAGAATAATCTAAATTTTTTTTGATGGGATGAAACTGATGTTCTGTGAATGATTGATTAAATGCACAAAGAAATAATCCAAACTTAGCTGTCTGATAACTGTTTTTTCACTAACATGAGCCAAACTAATGAGAATCATCAAAGATAGATAATTTATTTAATCTAGTTAGGTTTACTTAATTTCCGTTCCTTTCCTAGTTAAAATAAAGTATCAAAGCCAGTTAACACTCTTGTGTGGATGTACCTTTTCTGTGTCTATACCCCGTGACATGGACCAGGTGGAGGCGATGTAATCCATCACTCTTTCACTCAAGCCTTTGGGCACCTGATAGAGTTTCAGAAAGTCCCGGACGCTGTTGATCATCTCGTGGTAACGATTTGTGTTGGCGTACATCTGCTGGAAAATCGTTGTCACGTTACCAAAGATGGTGGCGTAAAGAAGAGCTGGAGAAACACAAAAGAAAATATTTAACAGACCACAGTCTGTAATTTAAACGACTTTGAACTTTTCTGTGAAGTGATTAAATCAAGATGGTTGTAGATTTGAGCTTAGACAATTCTTCTGACACAATCGTTAAAGGTCAAAAGGTGGAACACGAACAAAACCATGCTTTTGATTTTCACAGTGATGTCTGGTTTGAACACCTCCAGGACTTTTTCCAGAAGTTCCTCCTGTTTTTTTTTTTCATGCTGTGTTTCTGGTGGTTGTTTTCCTGAGAAAACAAACCTTCCTCACAGCAAATATTCTAGGTGCTTTCAGAAAGAATTTCCATCCATGCACCTCTTCATGGAAACAGCTAGTCATACAAAACCAAACCCACAGATGTGTTTTGCCATCTCTTTGCTTTTGTTTATCAAGCTGGAACCCAACAATACATCGTTACCATAAAACACGGTGATAAGCATTTAAAACTGAGTCAACAACTAACAACGGTTTTATTGTGTCACAATTCTTTTTCATCCAGAAGCTGATAGTAAAGTGTTACACACAGCCTGAGGTATGAATGGGTAATAAGATGATCCACAGTTTGCTTTAATCTGTTTAATCAGATCTGAAGATTTTTCTCCTCTTGGTCTGTGAATCGTTTCAGGAGCCTTTCGGCAAATTCCTCCTAATGAGAAATGGCCTCGGTCTGGCCGCTCTACCATGGACGTTGTGTTACGTTAATAATTGCTGTGGTGAAAAACCCAAGCAGCCACAAAAAATAAATTATTGTTGGATATTCATTGGCTTTCTTTTGAGCTTTTTGACCAATGAAATATATCCCAACACAAGTTTGTCTCTATGTACTCTTAAAGCAGCAATTCTGTGTGTTCCCATTTTCAGGAATTACATGTGGCTTTTTAGAAATTCGTAAGGGACATTCTTAACCTGTACTGCGAGATAATGGAAGCAATACATCAAACTTTATTCTTGATAAACCCGCCCCCCCCGTCCTGTAGAGCCCCATCTTATTTCAATTTAGTGATTAGCATTAGCCAATATCATTAGATGTCCGCTTACGTGCAGACGTCATTCACAGAGTGTGTGCGAGTGTTTAAGAACATAACTAACTTTGATGCAGAGTTGGCAAAATTTCTTATGGATATGTTTTTGAAATATGTATGAATAAACAGCATAACAGGAGAATAATAAATGTACAAGAATATGCTTTAGCTCCATTGGCCGACTAGAGGTGCGCGTTCACGATCGAGAGGCATTGCTTCCAGCTGTAGCTATTGTTGTAGGGAGAGGAGCATTTTTCTGCCTCTAGATGATACCCTCTCTCTGGATCTCTACATTTAAACACTTTTTAAGTTAAAACGTGTAGTTTTTTAACATTAATATCTGGAAATATCCATCAAAATGTTGTTGAAAATGAATTATATGACGCCCAGTTGTTGAAAAATGTTGGCGGCTTTGTAACATATAACCATAAAATCAGATCTAAAATACATGGGAGTGGGTCTAAGTCTCGTGGCGACGCCAAATTAGACACCATGTTTCCTTCTACGTGAGTCCATGAGGACAAAACGCATTTACTGCTTTTAACAAGCTGTTACAAAACTTTCGCCATTCATATGTTGTTTTACGCATTTGCCACTTTGCTCATTGCCAGTGATGAAAGGGAGTCTGATGCACTTGTCATTTTGCTGGAGGCTGAACGATCTGACGTAGTACTTGTTCAAAAATTGCACTCCCAGGTATTTTTGACCCTAATGGCCATCCGTTGGTAAGGTCTTATTCAAACACTGCAATGATTCAGGTATGCACTGCTCCCTATCGCCAGGGAAAATACACACCATCATTTTAAAAAATGAATCACAAAAAGCAATGTCTTGGGACATAATGTTATTTAACATGGTTAAAACTTGTATCACTCATATGGAAAATAAGGCATCACAAATCATCAGTGTGTCCAAATTTAATCAAATAATGTTTGCCAAAAGGGACTTGGACCAATCACAGCCTCAGCCTGCGAGCATTCGTCTTCCCGATACCGTTGGATTAGGATACGTTCTCCTTACTTGACATGTGATAGAAGAATGATATGAAAGACAACAGAATGAGCGGAGCAGCTGATCTGAGGTGGTTGAACTGGTGCAACAGCTGGCGCTCGTGTGTGTGGATCAAAGCCATCAGATGTCTGCTCTGTGTGAACAGGGCTCTCTTGCCAATGGAGCACTAATTAGCCCTGCTCGAAGGGACAGAGAAGGAAATATGCCAGCCAAACATTTCAATTATCCTCAGATGATGATGACAGTAACCTGCGTGTGGAGTTGGTGCACGCTTGTTTATTCCATGGTGCACAATCAAAGTGTTGGAAAGCTGCGCTGGGGAATAATCCTAATTAAAAAGCACAAAAAATTCCTTTAAGAGGAAGTGAAACCACAACTTTTATCCTCTCATCAACGTCGCTCAGCCATGTCCTCAAGCTTTGCTGTGCTGGTGCTCTTCACAGCCTATTGAGCTGTGAATTTACCAACATCAAAATGAGCAGTGAGTTAATGGGTTAAGGAACGAAATAAGACTCTTAGGTAAAAATGCCAGAGTTTGTAGATGACTGTGTCTTGAGCTTGAGTGCAGATGGTTTCTTTGGGGAATTCTGCAGCAAGGAAATGTATCTGCTAGTGATGCAGTCAAGACCGCACCACCAGAGCCCAAGATATTACTGAGGCCAGAGAGTACAGAGACCAGGACCAAGATAAGGATAGCTTCTCCTTACAGGTGAAACTACAAAAATTAGAGTACGGTGCAAAAGTCAATTTATTTCAGTAATTCAGCTTAGACTAGGGCTGGGCGATATGGCCTAAACTCAATATCACAATATATTGCGGATGTCACCTCGATAATGATAATTGGACGATAACTACATGTACATGCAGAAACAAAAGTTGTCCACTAGATGGGGCTGTCACATGTTTTATGTTGAGTCACATTTTTGTGACTCAAGGTGGTACAGCTTCTTAAAGGGACATGAACGTTGCCAACCTGCACACGTCTTTACATTTCTTATCAAATTCATTCACTTCAGAAAAATTTCTGCCATGTGGTGGAGTTGCCAATGCTGATGAATAGCTTTTACCTGTTGAGACGTTCTCTGTTCTTTTCTGGATGCTAAACCAACAACAGCCTCCCCCATCGGGAGCCAAGATGGGTGGGTCCGTGAATGTTCAGTGACAGTGTGATGTAGATCTGTGAGGATTTTCAAATCTTAGCGATTCACCATCTGTTTTCTATCAGAAGCTAATGCAGGAGAGAAGTGTAGGAGACTATTTTTATGTTCAGCCTGCATGAAAAACTCAGAGTGACTGATTATAATCAGAAATAATTATTAACAAATGCTTTTTCAGTGTGCCACACCTTTAAAGGCTTTGCAGGGGTTTTGGATTAATTAGCTGATTAGAGTGTGACACTTTCAATCTAGAATATTGAACCTTTTCACAATATTCTGATTGTCTGAGATGTTGAATTTAGCTGTAAGCCATAATCATCACAATTATAACAAATAAAGGCTTGAAATATCTGGCTGTACATGTAATGAGTCTATCACATGTTTCTCCTTTTAACTTGAATTATCAACATAAATTAACTTTTACATCATTTTCTAAGTTGTTGGGTTTCACCTATCAAAAGGAAATCGTGAGAGATCTAAAGAATGGGAGATTTTTTTATTTACGTTAATGTAACAACAAAAAAATCTTTGCTCTGTGGTTTTCAAAGCAGCACAATGAAGCAAATCTCAAACCACAGCAAACTTGTCACGCTTCGCTTCTTGATAAAGTTCCCTTTGTCAAAAGTGAATTGACCTCACATGTCACCTTAAACCTTTCATTTCAGGGAGAAAGAAAGGGAAATGCACCTGGGGAAAATAGTTAGACCACCAATGATTGTTATTAGTTGTTTTTGAGAGGGTCCCTTTTCACTCTTAGGCATGGACAAAAAGCGTATCAGCAATGGTCTTGACTGGTGGTCCCCCCTTAAAATAATCTGTCTGCGCTGTCCGAAACTGAGTAAAAATGTTCTCGATACTAAGACGAGACCAAGAACCTTAAAATATCCTTAAAATATGGTCTAAAGATCAGTCTCGAGTGCTACAACTGCATCAAACAGCTGGCTCATTTGAAGGTAGTTAAAGCATAGTTGTCAGAAACTCCAGCCTGGGGCCAACAGTTGCTATAGAAACAGGACAAATGTACTGTACCCCCCCCTTACTGTTTCCCATGCCACCCTTCAATCCCTCCTCACGCTGTGATTCTCTGCTGCCAGCACAGATCCAATGCTGCTGGTAAAAATAGCAAGAATCAGTGCATCCATATTTCATAGAGAACAGCCGCGGCGGACTTCGCTAGATTGCATCTACAACAAAATCCTCCTGAGGGGTGGGGGTTTGGGGGAGTGGGGGGTGGATTTAAGATTATTTGTCTCACGCAATGAAACATTTGAGACAAAGACAAGTCTGAAAATGAGTTTTGCTGGTTCCCCAGAGAAGGTATTCATAAACCCAAGCAGCCAAATCAGAATGATTGGTGGGAGGACGAGGGAGGGGGGTGCACGGTTGTTCTCTCGTGTCACGGTTGAGATTGTGGCTGACAAAAGTACAGCGGAGGTGAAGGGTGATTGCAGAGGGATCAGAGGGAGAGCTCTGCTAAATTGATCCGGCAGTGTCCGTTATTGCTCCAAGGTGCTGCTCTCCACGTGTGCAGCCTCACATAATAGCATTGCGTCTTACGCTGTTTCATGAGCCTCAAAAGCTGAAGACGCTTTGTTAATATGGAGAAGAAAAACGTCCTTCCTCAAAAGAAGACGTCTGCTCAGGAGTGAGGGGAATTTTACACCTGTATTTAAACAATCACATTCAAGTTATATGATAAAAAAGTCACAAACAGGCTGTCCAAGATGCTCTAGATTCCTCCCTTCTTATGCAACGTTTCACATGAGTTTTACTTTCCAGAGGCCTTTTAGATATGTGCCCCAGAAAAATCTAAATTATTCAGCACGTTATCACAGAGCAGACCGGGGTAATGAGTAAAATGTCGCCGCAGAGTTTGTCACTGAGTTAAATCTGACTGAAGGGAGCCGACGGAGGTGACGATTAGATTGAAAATCAAAATTCATTAGTTGGATATTGAATATGCAGCACAAAGTGTCACACTGATATAATAACCACTATTAATGTAGATTATTCCGTTTGATTTCTTCATGTTATAGCAGATATTCGATTTTAAATTTGGTCACGCTTCTGCATTTTTCTTCTGCTGATTTTCACTTAGAGCAGAGCCTGTTGGAGCTTTTCCTGGACAGTTTCAGGATTATTTTCAAAGCCACAGATAAATAGAATAATAAATCTCTGAGAACAGCACTGATCAACACGCTCTTGAATAAGGTCTTTGTTCTTTAAGTGACATGTCTTGGCTCAGAAAACACTTTTCATGCAACAGCTTTAACAAGACAAGAGGCTGGATGAACAGGCCCAGCGCTCGCCACATGGATGCCCTATGTGCAATTTCATTGTTTCCATTTTTTAAAAAGAAGAAAAAAAATTACTGCTGACACTGGGAATCAAACTGGTATCAGGACATGGCAATACAGAATGAAAGGTAAATGCTTCACTAGACCACCAAATAACTATAGGTTCAATTGCCGAAGACGCAGGTGTTGTACGGCTATTGGCCGTGACGTTTGTTTTGTCGATGGACTTTCATGAGGGGAGTGGGTGCTAGCAGATCCGCTCTGTGATGGCCGAGGGGGAACGTCTTTTTTTCACAGGTCTTTTTTTTTACGCCAGATCGGTTAGCGCTCCCCACTTGGTGTCCTACTCATAGTATGTGATGCGCATGGGTGGAGCACCAGCGCTTACACTAAATACCTTTGCACAATCAAAATCTGGTGCATTTCTTTTAGTTTCCATTTTTTAACTTGTATAAAAAGATTACAACGAGTAAACATGTTCATTCAACACACATTGAGTTTGAGTCAAACAGTCTAAAAATCCATGTAGGGCCCATTAAAATTATGTGGGCAAAATTATTTCTAGGCAACCCCCTGTGGGGCCACCATGGAAACTGTGGACAAACCCTAGTGGAACCCATATGACTTATGTATTCCATATGGGACCCACCTATGGGTGCTGGCTAAGATTGCTGGACTTTGCTTTCCTGCCACATCAGAGAAGACAAACAACTCAAACTTACACCCAATCATCATCATGGCAACCGCAAAGATTTTCTCTCCATCTGTCGTCGGGGCAATGTTGCCAAAGCCAATGCTGGTCAGACTGGTCATGGTGAAATACAGAGAGGTGATGTAGACGGAGTCCTTGTTGGGCCCGCCCTCCCACTTCCCTGAACCGCTGGTGTTGAAGCGGTATGGGCGTCCCATCGTCTCAGCCAGGATGTAGAGCCAGCTGTCCATTCGGACAACATTGGTTTCCTCGTCAATGACCTCATAATCACCGATGCTGTACCTGAAGAGTAAAGAATTAGTCTTTTATCATTTACATTTTATCAGGCCGAGTTGCTTTAGATCATTTATTCACTTTTTTTTCACAACATCTGCAGTCATCTCCAGGATAAATGAATGCCATGTGAGTTGTTCTCTGTGAAGAAAAAGCTTTAGCACTCCTGTTTCAGGAAGTACAAGTTACCCAGAGGAGAGATAGCCTGGCCGGCCAGACTCATCCTCTGTTTAATCCTGCACAGAGAAAGAGTCTGGTAACTCACAGGCAGAGAGGCACATGAGGGGCGGGACTAAGCAGCTCAAAAATAACCAATCAGAAAAAAGATGGAAATGCCAACTGTACTGCGCAACACTGTAGTTTTCTAGCTCTAGTAAAAAAAAAAAAGGCGTCTGGCAACGGTGCAAACATCATTTCTTTTTTTAGAAGAAAGGCTTTTAGCGCTTCTAATTGTTGTTTTAAATACATTCAAGTCATTTAGACCAGAGGAAAGAGCCCAGCGAACTCCGATTCAGTCGTCATGTTTGACAAACTCGGTGTTATGGTGTGTGACGTACGCTACTCAGAGCTGATTGGCTCGGTTAGAATTCTAAGGGGGTGGAGTTATTTGAATAGGAGAGTTCCCAGACCCTTTCTCTGTGCAGAATTAAACAGAGGAGGAGTCTGGCAGGCCAGGCTAGAGGAGAGGGGGGCAGAAAACGGTAGGATTTGGAGTCTTACTCATTAATGTTCATGATAATCTGACATCTTGCATCCGACTGGCCAGCAACAGTGCAATGTTTCCCCTGCCTCTGTTTGCTTTAGCCTCTTTTATAAGACAGATCATCACGTCATTACAGAGTGATAAATCCGAATTTGTGGGTCTCGTAAATGCGGCAAGGAGCAAAGGGGAAAGGTGATATAACTCGATTCTGATGTGCTTAGCCTCGTAGTAATATTGCTGCATGAGTCCCTCGCCTCTGACGGCTAAACGCGCGTCAGCCCCGCTAATCCCTTTGGAGCAACTGTGGGAGGCCCCCCCAGCAAAAGAGGGTGGTCGCGTTAGTGACGTATACTGCACGCCGCATGCCGGCCAGAAGGGATATAAACACAGATAAACATGGCCTCTCACTAGTATCTTTCAACCACCTACAACATGGCAAACTGGACGGACGCGGAGAGCATGGGACAGCCAGCTGTTCGACAGAGTGGTGAAAACACTGGCTGAACGGGGCGTCAAGCGGGACAAAAAGTGGGTCGCATCAAAGCTAAAGGTCCTGAAAAAGAAATGTAATCAGTCTGACGTGTCTTCCGTCTGACGCTGAATGCGCGACCCTGTACGTCACATGCGGGGTGGGGGTGGGGGGGGGGGGTGGGGGGGGGGGGGTGGCCAGCGACCTCCCTTTATCCCGTCTTGGTTTGAGAGGTACCTGATGCCAGTTTATTCTAGCTTCAGCTTTGCTACTATAAATGCCAAAATCCTCCCCAGGGAGTCACGGCAAATCTCGTTTTGCAAACGTAATGGTCCTGTAAAAAGAGCTTGTGCAACACTGATGGTTTATCTCCACAAATAGCACAAGCCTGAAGGATTTCTGCCATGTTGTGGAGTCATAATGCTAACCGTTAGCTTCAACTAGAGACGTTTTCTGCTGTTTCCTGAATTCTAAACCAACAACAGACTTCCTCATCATGAGCCAAGGTTAGTCCATAAATGTAATTTTACAGTGTGACTCTCTTTGTGTATTTATTTTTTCAAACTTGAGTGTTTCCCTGTCTATTTTATTTTTGGCGGCTAATGCGGGAAACAGGGGTAGAAGCAAGCCCCCATAATTCGGGTATGAAAATTGAGTCCAATGCGGAAGTGAGGAAAAATTGCAGTTCCACCCTCATCCACTGGGGGCTGGTACCAGAAGCGAGCAAATCCTCATTGACTCCCATGTTAAAAATACCAATTTCACAGCAGAAATAAACATGTTTACAGCCTGGTACCAAAACATGTTTTTTGTTTAAATGATCTAGTTTACACTCATGACAACTCTGGGGGGGGGGGGGGGGGGGGGGGGGGGGGGTTTGTCACTCTTCTGTTTAAGTGTATTAAAAGCCTAAAATTCTGAATAATTAATGAGCATCAGACCCACAAAAAGGCCTCAGCCTGAGCCTCGGCCTCGCCTGAAAACTGTATATTTTGCTGCATTAGTCGAAAATTTCTTATCACATAAAACTCCGGAGGATTTTTTTTTTTTGTCCTTTACAGAGCTGGTGTTAAACTAGCTCTGAATCCACCTCCATTCTTTCCAGAGTCAAAGGAAAGAAATGACATCCGTGAGCAGGGAAGGGGCTGCTGCGGTTACTGCTGTCACCTGAGTTGGTTTAACTTTTTTTCACTTTGACGATGCAGATCTGCGTGCGTGTCCATGGCAACGGCTGAAACCACACAGGAGCTATTTATTACTGGTATCGCTGTCTGGTTTAGGAGCACCATCGGCTTTATTTATTCAGGGTTGATTATACCGTCTGGACTGACAGCTGACGCACATCGCCCTGCTTGGAGCCTTCATCTAAAACAATGGTCATTTAGTTTGTATGAAACAAATGAATAAAAATAACAAAGAACGTATGTGAGAAAAACTGAATGTGGATCCTTATGAACAGAGTTTCCCAGTTTTAATATGTGCAGTGCATTAAATTATCATGAGGACGTATGTGTTTGCAGATCTGCTCATAAACATTATAAATCAGACGCAACTTAATGCTTTCATCACTCCCTAATGCCCCCTGTTGAGTAGATGATCTGATTAGATTTCAGAGCCTCTCGCTCCATAAATTTACATATTGATGAGGGAAAACTAGTTTTAATGAAATTGTAGTAACTCTTTGGCTCTGAAGTACATATAAATAACAATATTTTGATGAATTAAGGCACAGAATTAGCTTTACTGATTACCCTGTTTGGATTAATTTACCTGTTATAATCAACTTAAATGATCTTCATGCTCACAAAGACAAATCATAGTTTAAGATTTTTTTAAAGTGGAATAAATGAATGTACCAAATGCAGGCAAGCCAGTGTGCAGCCAGGCCAAAAACACACACGAGCAGCACCAGAACAGCCGCCCCGTACTCGATGTAGTGATCCAGTTTACGAGCAACTCGACCCAGACGGAGAAGGCGGACCACCTTAAGAGAGCTGAACAGACTGCTGATGCCCTGAAAAAAAGAAAAACAACATTTATTTTTTGATGTCAGATGATGAAAAGTAATCTTTAGTAAGGCTTTTAGTGTGTTTCAGACAAAAAAGTCTTCGTAAAAGATGTTTGCTACAAATACACTCAAAGGTTTATCATTATATAGATGTTGTCTTAGTTTAGAAGCACTGAGTCACAATTCTTAATCTTTTATTTCATTTCATACTCTTATTTTCAATAACAACAAACATAATCTTAATTTTTATCTTGGTTGTTCATTGTTTCAGTAACTTTTTTATGATTTCTGTAGCTAAATCAAAGGGTTTTTTTATGGGTTTGTGGTTTTTAAATCTAATTTCCAACTAACAGTGTTTTCAAATGGAACTAATACTTTTATATTTCTATGTTTAGGCGTTATTCAACAGAAACAAAAGAAAGATTTTTATTATCTTCAACAAATAACTCTATTGTTTATAAAGTATAATACCTGTAATTCAACAAAGTCTACACTCTAAGAAATGAAATTTTGAATTTACTTAACCAAGTTATGTAAACTGGTTCCAGTATGCTTAAAGCTGCTTTAGCAAATTTACAGAACAAACTAGGATTTGAATGCAAACGTTACAGCCATTAAAAATGTTTTTAGCTGATTTGTTTTCCAAATATGCCATTGTAGCTTTAAATCCAAAAAAGTAATGTACATTTACTTTTAACTATAATAATTTATTGCAATGTAAATTACAGTTTATATTCAAAAAGTCACTATGCACCTTTTTTATATTATCTAAATCATTTTCTTGAGCCAGTATGCGCTAAAATGACCTTTTACAGGATTAATGAAAGGCCCTCTTGGCTTCTATCACTCCCTGCGGCCAGAATATTCCATTTGCAACTTCAGAGTTGCTGGTCCGGTCTGTTAGACTTAGAATAAATTGAGCTGACATACCTGGCTTTGCAATCTGCTTGCAGCACATTTCCAGCATTTTTTAGATCATGAGCACAGCTGATTTGTTTAATTTAGTGAGGAATAACCCCATTAGACACTAAGGAAAGCTGGGGAGACATTTCAGCTCTTAGATTAAGGTGTTAAAAAGATGAACGCACAGAGAGGAGATAAGTTTCATTTTCAGTTCTACTAAACGGACACTAGAGGGTGCTAAAAGCAAGTCAAAACCTTCTAGTCTCCTTTGATTAGATAAATTCAACATTTAATTTTTAGAGTGTAGAGAGAGCTCCATTTATGATCAGCAGAAACCGCCTTTAAACTTTATGATTGTTTGGAAAATGACTCTAAATCCTGTTGCTGCCCGTTCTGGAAGAGTCCAATAGTTCTTCATCAATTCATTTTTGTTATCCGATTCTATTTTTTATGGCAGATTTGGACCGTATGTGAGTCATGCAAGCACACAATCTCTGTATCTATACAGACAAGATTGAGTAAACTGCAAAAAGAAAACCTGGTATCATTATCAAAACTGTAACCAGACATCATGGGAAACGCTGCTTCCTTGTTAGAAGCATCTGTCTATCAAAAACTGTCCTTCTACTATTTGCCTTCACATGATGCATATAATGTCTTTTTTGTTGTTGTCATTTTCAAGTTTTTTGCTTTATTGCTTGTTTTTCAAATTTATCTTAAAATTGTATGGACTTCTGAGTGAAAAGTGTCAAAAAGATCTTGTGAATACACAGACTTTACTTATTGTGAATGATATTGAAGTTTTTCATTTCCTAAAAAGTTAAATTTTCAGGAATATGGACAAGGTTTTAATCTGACAGTGACAATATTCTCTTTGACTGATACAAGTTAGAACGGAGCCTTTTTTTAAAATCAGAAATCAGAAAATAATCTTATTGCTCTGACCATGAAATGTCTCCTGTCCTTCTGACCGTATGAAATGAATTTCTGTCCAAAGAACTTTGAAATAGTTTTGCACAGAGATGATACACGGCTTCTGCATTGTGTCAGGCACATTTTGAATGTATAGGTGGTCTGTGTTGAGTGACAGGTTTTCCTAGGTGTGATGGAGCAACGCGGCTGTCTTGGTGACATTGTGGATGTTCAACCGGCGCCTGAATACTTTATATTAAATTGTGAATCACTGACTCTTGCCACTGTGTTGCACAGCAAATGTTAAAAAATACAAGCTGGTTTCCATTTTGAAACTGAAAAATATTATTTTTGAAACGACTGAGTTTGACACCAACTAATCCTTGCTGGGAAAAACCATTTGTGCGCCCTATTTAAATAATGCATATTTAGATTGTAGATGATTAGTGTAGTGTATTCTCCCTCCAGCCTATGTTTAAGTGCAAATTCCTCCAGCCTGCTAAAATTCATGGACGAGTTTTGCATCATATAATTAGAGCAGTTTACTTTGTGAATCAGATATTGAGAATAAGCAGACGTGGGAAAAATAAAAGAAGCACATATAGTGTGCAATGACTCCTGACATCCTCACGATCAACAATTCATCTGAATTGTAGGAATTGTCTAGCTTAAAAATCTAGACCAATCGCAGCGGTAGAAAAAGACTTTGCTCTGCAGGTCGGTATAGCCATGCTCCATTATAGCCTCAGCAGGTTGACCTATGGACCAAACAATCTTTGTCTGGCCAATCACAGCGTTCTATATTTGTAGAGTGATGTTGAGCACCACAGCTGCAATGGAGAAAAAGTACAAAGATGACGATGGCTCTGGAATGGCATTGTTTGAAACGCCTTTGACATCAACTTTGGATTATTTAGAACTGAGCTTTTCTTTGAGACATGAGCAGATAGAGGTACTTCTGTGGGGGTGTACGGCAGATTGTCCCATTGGTCGATTTCCATAGCGATGAACACGTCTCGTTGTTCATTGTTCTGATTGGTCACAGTGCTGTCTAATTGTGTGAGGAGACAATCTGAAAGACAACCATAGATTTTTGCCCCAAGACTGAGCTCTGTTCATTGCTCGTGGCCAGACTATTCAGCGGGGTGGGAAAGTTTGGGCAGCGTTGTTAATCTTCATGGTTTCCCCTTAAAATCGTTGGTTGTTACGATGAAAAAATTCAGTTAGATGTATCTTAAAGGAGACACACAGTAATATTTGAGAAGTGAAACAACGTTTCTAGGATTTACAGAACGTGTGCAATAATGGTTTAAACAAAATTAGGCAGGTGCCCAAATTTGGGCACCACAAAAAATATTTAAACTAAATATTTAGTAGATCCTCCTTTTGCAGAAATAACAGCCTCTAAACATCTCTTATAGCTTCCAATGATGGTCTGGATTCTGATTGAAGGTATTTTGGACCATTCTTCTTTACAAAACATCTCTAGTTTATTCAGCTCAGTTTCCGAGCATGGACAGCTCTCTTTAACTCACGCCACAGATTTTCAATAATATTCCGGTCGGGACTGAGATGGCCGTTCCAGAATTTTGTTCCTCTGCATGAATGCCTTAGTAGATTTTGAGCAGTGTTTAGGGTTGTTGTCTTGTTTAAAGATCCAGCCCCGGCACAGCTTCAGATTTGTCACTGATTCCAGAACACTGGTCTCCATAATCTGCTGATATTGAGTGGAGTCCATGTGTCCCTCAACTTTAGCAAGATTCCCAGTCCCTGCACTGGTCACACAGCCCCACAGCAGGATGGAACCACCACCAAGTTTTACTGTAGGTAGCAGGTGCTTTTCTTTAAATGCTGTGTTACTTTTCCTCCATGTATAGCGCCCCTTGCTGTGGGCAAAGAAAAGGCTTCCTCTGCATCATTCTCACATACAGCATCTCCTTGTGTAAAGTGTGCTGAACAGTTGAACGATGCACAGTGACTCCATCTGCAGCAAGATGATGTTGTAGGTCTTTGGCGCTGGTCTGTGGGTTGACTCTGACTGTTCTCACCATTCTTCTCTTCAGTTTATCTGAGATTTCTTTTGGTTAGCCACTTCGAGCTTTCATTTGAACAGTCTTCCATTTTCTCAGTATGTTCATAATTGTGGAAACAGACAGCTGAAATCTCTGAGACAGCTTTCTGTATCCTTCCCCTAAACCATGATGGTAAACAATCTTTGTTTTCAGCTCATTTGAGATTTGTTTTGAGACCTCCGTGTTGCTACTCTTCACAGAATATTCTAAGAGGAGGGAAACTTACAACTGGGCCCCACAGATACTCTGTGTATGGAGGTCAAGGGTCGATGAGCTTACCAAACCAATTTTGAGTTCCAGTAATTCATTCTAAAGGTTTTGGAATCAATAAAATGATAACAGTGCCCACATGTATGCACCTGCCTAATTTTGTTTAAGCAATTATTGCACACTTTCTGTAACTCCTATAAACTGTATTTTACTTCTCAAAAATCACTCTGTGTGTGTGTGTGTGTGTGTGTGTCTCATATATGATATATTTAACTGACATTTTCTATCGTAACAACCAACGATTTATAAAGGAAAATCATGAAGATCAACAACGCTGCCCAGACTTTCACATCCCGCTGTATCTTCACATGTATATGGATGGTTTTCCGGAAAAGGAACCTTCCAAAGTGGCTTTAATTTTTAGTTCTATACAATTTTGTTTTCCTTTATCTTTCCTCTATCATTTTAAGTGAATTTCTTGTAGTCAATCACTTCTTTTTTAGATTAAGCAAATCTCATTAGCACTCCTGTGTCGGCTCTGAACCATCTGCAGGTGGTTCAAAACGCTGCAGCTAGGGTTTTGACCAACACAAATAGACAAAATGATATTGCCCTCGTCTTGGCACACATCCACTGGCTTCCCTTCATTCTCGAGTCAAGTTTAAGGTACTGGCTTTGTCTTTAAAGCTCTGTATGACCTTACACCATCTTTTTTGTCTGACCTGCTCATTCCTTATTTCCCATGGACTACAAATTGCAGGGAAAGCAGGCTTTTGTGTGCGCTGCCCCCACACTTTGAAATGCACTTTCCCTTTCTGTTAGACAGGCATCGTCCATCGCTAGCTTTAAACTGTGACCTAAAACCTATTTCTATTATTTGGTATTTTGCCAGTGACTTTTCTGCGTTGC